TGCCTACGTACTTAGAGTTGTGCAGAAGATGACTTCGGCTCCATCGAAGAGGGATTTCAGCGTGGGTTGGCCGTCAGAACCAGGCTCAGCGGCTTCGAGACTGATGTTTTGTGGCTAGGGCTGATCCGAGTCGTCTATGAGGGTGTTGTTATTAAAGTCTTGCACTCTAGGGATCGATCGATCGATGACGGTGATGCCCTGGATGTCTCCGCCGCGTAGAAAAAGCGCCACGAGGCGGATATGCCAGAGAGCCTGCTTTCCCACACCGAAAACAAGTGTGTTGTTGGTACGTTTGCTCTGCTTGGACAAAATCATGGAGCCGAGCGCCTTCTGGAAAGCGGTCAATTCGGCAGCGTTGATAATGCCTATGGCCTGGCCGGCCTCGCCGCACAGGGTAAGAAAACTTTCCAGTAATGGCGGAGGCGGTTTCGAGCCAGCTGCTCGGCTTGACGAATCATCCGCAGAACTTATTACAACGATCTTCACGCCACCTACTCGCTTCGTCTTTGCAGGCATGAACAATGTATTTTGTGCCGAACGACCCACCGCGCTTCGATGAGGCTGACATGTCTGCCGTATAATACGTCGCGGCCCAAGGTAGAAGACTCGGATCGGCTCGGTCATCGGCCCGATAGAAAGGTTCCTCATTGCTAATTACCTACACCTAGCTGTGCAAGATGTCGCGATACGAAAGTTCGATGCCCAGGCACGATCCGCTGCACGAAATGCCAGAAGAAATGAGCGCGTAACCCTGATCCAGAGGAACGCTTCCTTGTTGAGAGAGAGTGAGCACTTGTAGCCCCTACTGACGTGGTCTACAGTTATCTCGAGGCTTTGCAAGCGCGTTCGAACACTACAAACGGCGAAGACTCACCGCGTGGAGGGAACCACGGCGTGTTCTTGTAGGCTTCGCCGACACCTCCCCTAAGCTCGGTTGGAGAACCCCATCATCCAGACCAACCTCTCGCTTCTCCCATCTTAGACACCTCGTTTGCATCAGCGGAGATCGAACCTCGTAGTTTCCCGATTGCCGGTAGGAAAGGGGGCTAGAGAACACCATCCCTAGTCATTTTACTTTCCGGATCGCTGATATATTTACTTTATTGCTCCCTAGTCGGGAATGACGGTGGTAACGAAAGATGGAAGGGCCCATCTACTAGCGGGTTCTTGAGAAATCCTCTGGTTGATAAAGGTGAAACCTTCGCTCTGGATCCCCACGGAAATCCAATAAAAATAATAAATCATAGATGTACGGTGACCGGGGTATTAAGGGTGCAATACAAAATTTTAATTCAAACGATAATTCATCATTTAAACTAAACAAAGGTTGTCAATCTGTGCAGAGCCAAACAAAACAGCCTGGTTCAAGGTGCAATCAAAAGTTCCAAACAATAGACATCGCCTCAACACTTAGATCCAGTCTCAGGCGAGTACTTCTCTCACTCGCTCCTTGAGCCGCCACGGGTAAATCATGGTTTACCCATTTCTGCGGCTTCGCTCTGTGACACTCCATCGACAGAGTCATCTCCCTTTCCGTCGTGTCCAATCCCGCATTCGTCGCCGGACACAGGCATATGGGGCGCGCGTTTGGCGGGAATCGGGATCGAGATGGTTCGATTGCCGCGGGCACGTGCCTGGATAGTCTTCTCGGATCGACAGGCGTGACAGGGAACGCGCCTCCTGTTCATCTCATAGGGTTCTGTGGGATGCTCCTTGCACTGGGCTTGATGCCTTGAGCAGAACCAGCGACCTATTCCAAACTTGGGTTGGCACCTGTCAGAGTGTTGGGGGCAGGCTTTTTTCTCCTCGTCGCATTTAGGGCAGGTGGACGCTTTGGAGTGCGTGATGTCGTTATGGTATTTGCATGTTTCCCGTTCCATTGCTTCCTTTGCCCTTGCCTCGCTCTCGGCTTCAAGGCGGCACAGCCTACACCCCTCCTCTCTCAGAAATACCTCATGGTGGTCGGAGCAGAAAGTCTGATGCGCCGAGCAACGTGTTGGATTTGTGCCCTTTCTGCAATTGCCCTTAGACCGTTCCGGGCAATGATGGACGGTTGTCGAGAAAAACTTCGCCATGGCGGTGTCTGAAGTGGAAAGCCGTATAACAATCAGGGGCTGGGTTCAATACGAGAGGAGGGTTGACAGAATGAAGTTTCTCACATTTCTCCCATTTCTCCCATCTTGACCATCCAACTTCATCCGTTGCTTATTTAAATACGTGCCCGCCATGCTCAAGTGCCTGTGAATGCTTTGATTCATTTCGTGGTAACATGATGATGCGGTTGCCGTTTCGTCTTCTCTCAGCTCAAAGAAAATAAGGAGGTGTAGTTTTCAAGATCAAGCACCGGGTCTTTCAGGCAACTTAAGCAATGGGGTTTCAACCACGGCAGCCAAGTCTTCCAAGCCAATTAACGAATCCATTTTCAACATTGGGGATCAACTCAAAGGATGGGGCGGTCGTGGTCTTCGGCCAATGATAAACTTAGACTACAGCGGTGAAAGAGCACCTTTACTTGGTGGCAAGACAAGGCGCGTGCACTACCCTGGAACTCTAGGGACGGTGCGGCTTAAAGGTACTCACGCCGCACTCTCTGGCGTGATTGCCTGCACAAGCACACCCATGTAAAGGAATGCAGAGGAATGCAGAGGAAAGGAATGTTGTGGGGTCATGGGACTTGCCCGGAAACGAAGACTAGCGAATGTTCTATTATCCGCCTCGCGAAAGATTTGCGAGCGGCAATAACAAAAGCCTCCATATCTGCTGCCTGATCGGGTACTGGTTGCATCTTGCTCCAGTGGAGCTGCAACCTCAATTCCAGACCGAAATGAGCAAGAAGCCGAAGTTTGCTTGCCCCATGCGCTGCAAACAAAGCCGTGCTCGTTCCAAACAGGTAAATGGAATGCAAAATGAGCTGTTGAGGGCAAAGTTGTTAACTCACCCTTCAAACACATCGACCGGATCCGGAATAACTAAGAGCCACTGTTGGTCTTTCCAATCAGCCTAGAAACGAAGTCCAGGTCCTGTTATATCCTCTTGATTCCAACTCAACTTGATGTCGACGCTTCCCTTCTGTCCGTACCATCGAGCCGGAAAACAAGAAGGCCGAAGAAAGATGGCGAATACCGTGGATACTACTGAGGGCACTCCCCGCAAGTCTTCAGCTTCCGATGCGGTGTCAGAGACCTCCTCAGTCATCTACTATGAGGAAGAGCCGTTTGCAACTTTTCAGCACAAGGCCCATCTCCTCGCCCAAAAACAAGTCTGGAAAGATGCAGACGAACAAGACATCACGGTGGAACGTATGCTAGGCGGCGGATACAACCGTGTCATCGGGCTGACGCGACAATATCGAGAGAAGCCTCGACTAATCAAACGAATCTTCGATCGACTCTTCCCCTTCTCCGGATGGGCCGAAGGAAAAACCCGAGAAATACCTTATATCCTCCGAATTCCGCGATTCCCCGAAGAAGATGTTATCGACAATGTCGCCGCCAACCTCTTTGTCCGACGACACACCAAAATACCGGCGCCGAACGTGATCATGTTTGATGGATCGAACAAGAACGAAATCGGGTCTCCCTATATGATCCAAAACCGCGTCAAGGGGACGTCGCTGCACTGGGTCTTGTCGGAACTCAGCCCTGAGGACAAATGCCAACTTGCCAAAGAACTCGGGAGCCTCGTCCGGCAGATGTTGGCTACCCGGAGCGACAGCGGCGGCAAGCTTGCACTCCCAGAGGGCGGGAAAACCCTCAAGGATCCAATCCACGTCATCCCCTTCCGCCAATCATCTGGCAAGCCATTCAGACGCTCCAATAGACAGCGTGAAGAGGAGGTCGTGGAGGACCTGATTGATGACGCTATTCTGGCCTGGGATAAAAAGGAGATCACGGACCGTAAAAAATTTGTCGGTAAGGTGGAAATGCTCTCCAAGTTCCGCAGCATGACAATTGAATTGAGCAGGGCGGGGTATTTTCGTAACCTACACTATACGCTTGCTCACCTCGACTTCGCTCCTCGGAACATCCTTGTGGATATGACACGTTGCGGTACGGGGAGGCCACTAATCTCAGCCGTTTTGGACTGGGACAGCGCCATTATCGGCCCAAGTTTCATGGCGTGTTCTCCGCCTGTCTGGCTCTGGGGCCGCACCCGTGAAGAAGAAGAAGAAGAAGAACGGCTGAAGAGGGAGCAGGACCCCACGGCGAAGGACGTGGAGACACCCGAGTGGGAAATGACATACGAAGTCAACCCGTCGCTTGACCCCGAAGAGCGAGAGCTGAGGCAAAAGCTGAAACAATTGTTCGAGGAGGCCGCAGGCCCGACCTACATGCGGTTTGCCTACGAGCCTGCATACCAATTGGCGAGGCGGCTTGTGCGGTTTCTCCTGGAGGGTTTGTATACGGGCGAGCAGTGGGACGCAGCGGAGGTGATGCTGGCTGCCTGGGCTGCTCTGCCTCACGAACCGGTTGTACCAGAGAGACGGAACCTGTGCTGCCCCTTGCCGTGGAACAGCTAAGAGTCTGCCTAGCCCAAGCCGATCCAGGGCTCCGCCGAGTGCTCACGTAAAGAGGAGGAGGGATCTTGTCGTGTGGTTGTTAGCCATGTATCATTAGTCTAACTAGAAAAAAAATAATATGCCCCCAACCCCATCAAATAATACGGATAATCTCGTTTGTCTCTGATGGATCCTGTGCCTGAAAGAATTTCCCGTCCCTGTACTTATGAATGTACGCGGGCCCGACAAGTTCAAAATCCCCCACTGAGCCGGTTTCACGAACCACAAACGGAAAGAAAATCGCGACGCGGTCCCCCCGACGAAGCGCATCAGGTCCGAGGCCCAAATGCCCGTTCTCCGTCGTGAATCGCGTAGCACCACGCCATGCCTGGAGAAGAGCCGCCGTCAATGGCGTATTGGCCCCCCAAACCCTACTTCCCTTGATGTATTCTAAAAGATAATCCTTCGTCTCCTCAAGGTCGTGTTGGAGGTCGGACAACCTCTACCTCGTGCCGTTGCGGTCGACCCCGCCGGCCAAGGTAAGAAGGACGCCGAGATATGCGCCGTGTGACTCGAGAAAGCGGAGCATTTCTTTGGCTTCTCCTCGTTGTCGAGTAGCGGGCCTAGGTTTGGGAGAGGGTCGATGGCCTTGATGGTATCGACAAAAATTCCCGGCACGCGAAGAGCATTCGAGGAGTCCACCTCGAAGTGGGGAGTTGGGACGCTGTCGTCTTTCACACCTCCCGCGGTGAAATGATGCCAGTGCGGCATCATGGTGCCCGGAGAATTGAGGTTGGGGCACTACGATGGGAGGCCTGGTAACCTAGAGACCGAAGGGGCCAGGGTGAGGACGTGGAACCCTGGTTGCTCGAGGAGGACTTTGGCAAAGGAGATGTACGCTTCCTCTCAAGGCGCGTCGTACCTGATGGGGATTTTACTCCGAATTTCCTCGGGTAACAGACCGAGTAAACTGTACGCCTTGTCGTGTCCCTCCTTGCAGGCTCGCCGGCGGATGAGGTCCAAAAGGCCAACAACGTGGTATTGGGGACGGAATGCCCACTCGAGGTTGTTCTGGTTAATCACGCTCGACCACCTCTCCCCTCCCTTGGCCGAGCTGGCAGCCAGAATCATGTCGAACGGGGATATGGTGTCGTGGCCAATTCTGTGTCTCTGAGATACCACAAAGTCGTGTCTTCCCAGTTCCATGTAGGCCCAGTATCTCAGAATAACCTCCCAGGGAATGACGCGCTGGCCGAAGACGACGCGACATTTCCTGGCAAGCAATACCTCTTGGGCAACCCACGCGCGCCCGAACCAAGGCCGGCAGAAGAGTTCCTCGGCAGCTTTCCACATGGGGTCATTCGCGTCTGGGATGGTTCCAGGCACCGGGGCCGTGCTAGTGAGAGCCATCAGGAAGCGGAAGTCTTCGATGCCTTGGATAGCATCCGTGGTAGCCTTGTCCGCGTCGCCGAGCCAGATCGTTACTGTCAAGGCGCCGTTGTATATCTCTCCCATCTTGGGAATCTGTACGGATTTTTCTTGGATGTCTGCCTGGTTTATGCAGATGGCGTCGATCCAGAGCCATGCTGGCTCGAGCAAAGACGGCGTTCCTGCGATGCGGTCGAGGATGGCTCGGAGCTCCGGTGTGATTGGGATTTCTCCGCTGTCCAATCCAAGACGGGCAGATGGCGCCGAGGTGCCCCAGACGTAGGAGAGCGCGGCGTAAGGTGGACAATTGGCCCGAGGAAATGCCTGTAGACTATATCTGGCGCGGCCGTTTTCATGATCGATTTTGAGAAGCCTGAATTCGTCTTAACCCAATGTAGAGTACTGATATGTCGCCATTGCGAATTGCAAAGTCGTAGGAAGGCTCGCAGTGAGGACGATATTACCGTCACTTGATGAGAAGAAAAAAGATGGGAAGAGTAAGGGCAGAATGTAGAATTCAAACCTGTGGTGTCCAAGCCCAGGATACTTAATCTTAAGCAGGCGAAATACATCATTCCACCATTTATCAATCGATTGGACCAGCACGACCAAGAATGACCAGGCTCTGGGGGCTATGCCAGACGCCACCAAGTCCTCAACGCTGCAGTCTAGTAGGGGTTCGGTGGTCATGTAATACTTATGCCCCCGACTTTGAATCTCATTCTTCACAAGTTGTGTTTCCCCGGATTTCATCAACATATTACTTCGTACATATGTTTAAATTCATCAAAGGCTCCGGGATGCGGTCGCGGCTCATAGATCAAGTAAATACGTGTTAAATTCTAACTTGTTCTGTCCCTTTTGTCCTTGGCTTCTCTCACGAGGGACTTAGCTTCACTTAAGTTTAGCGAAGCAATGGAATCCCATTTCTCTGCGCGTAACACCGTAACCACACGCCAGCCCCTCGGCCGTTGGGCTCATTCGTGAATGCGGCGACGGCTGCCAACACTACTAAAACAGGGAACAGGGAACCATCTAGGCCAAGAAAGCTCACTGGAGACGGAATGGAGGTTGAGTCAACCCGGGCCGTATCCGAGTGTCCACTTCGCGGACAATCTATAGATAAGGGCTATCGTTATGGGAACTGGACAAGCCTCTACGTCCTCTCAAATGCATTTCCCCCGATCCCATTTCCGTCCTTCCTTTGGGGCTTAGCGGCCCCAGAATCATTTCTACTGTCGGAACAAGTCCAGCGCGCCCGTAGTAGGCCCAAGGATTAGCTGACGCTTGGGACTCTGTTTCACCATCCCAGAAATCCGAGACCGCCCTTGCAAAACAACGTTTCTCCAATGCTGGGGTTCGAGACGTGGAATCCATTCGAATACACCAAGCATAAGGAAGTGCTTTCCAGACATTTCCCCCTCTTTTTTTGAGCCAATCCAAGCATGGCTCCTTCCATTGACCCTCGACAAGTATTGCAGCCCATACGCTTGTTTTGAAAGGATTGATTGGCCGTACCTTCGTGGTCACTTCAAGATTCGTATGTCTCACGGGGAGCGCCTGCCCGCAATTTGTCGTTTCCATTCACGACGTGGCTCCACTGGAGCAAGACCTCCCAAGGTAATTCATTGGACGACATAGGTGGAAGCACGCAGTGACAGCTGAGGTGTCTGAATCACAACTCCACTCTCCGCCTTGTTCCTGACCGTGAACCTAAACACAAACAGACCGAGAATTCAATCCCCTTTCTCACCTCTTCTTTTCTCGCCCTGGTCCCTTTGATTCTGATTATCGGCACCCGTGTGAGCCCTCCATTGTGCTTCCGAGTCATCCTTTCCTCTCAGAAGGGAAAAGAGTAACACTGGGCACACCAGACAGCTAGAGTCCTTCCCGTCCTCTATCGTCGGAAAATGGTTGTGGAAGATTACTATGTGTGCGGGACCTGTGACAGGGCCTTCCCTGCTGGTCTGCGAGCGCGGGAGAATCATTGCCGTTCCACAGGCCATCAGCCGCCCAAGTTCGAATGCGCCAGTTGTCCCAGATGGTTTGGGAGCCAGAGGGCTTGCGATCAGCACATGAACGCACTCAACCATTTCGAATTCGAGTGTTCCATTTGCGAAGAAGCCTGGCCGACGATGGAAGACTGCGAGGCTCATGAGATTGAGGATCATTTCTATTGCGCCGACTGTAATCGGCAGTTTCAGAGCCACAACAATATCAAGATGGTTTGTTCTGCTTCCTTTCCTCATCTTCCCTCGCTCGTCAGCCATCGGGAAAGGCGCCTCAGAATATCTAACATCATTCCTTTCACAATGACGTGTAGCATCTCAACTCGCGCGTCCATCGGGGCGACCAGATCTCGTGTCCCTTTTGTCAGAGGTCTTTCGTCTCAGCCACCGGCGTCACTCATCACCTCGAGTCAGGCAGCTGTCCTGAAGCACCCAACTTAGACAGAGAGAAGATCTACCGAGCCGTCCGGTCCAGGGACCCCCAAGGTTCCATCACAAAGAAGCTACTTGAGTGGAATGGACCTAGCCAGTACACGGTTACCGATCGGTCCTGGAACGGATATGGGTTTGAATGCTATTTCTGCCATCGCGAGTTCGATCGCCTTCAGAGCCTCAATCAGCACGTCAACTCGCCCGCTCGTAAGTTTTTCAAAAATCGTATGTACTCTGCGATTCCCTGTGAGCTAACTCGGAGGATTTTTCATGGCAGACCAGCAGAATCTGTACCATTGTCCTAATCGCGGTTGCGGCTTGGATTTCAAAACTCTTGCCAGCACCATTAACCATTTGGAGAGCGAGTCTTGCGGATTCATGCGCTTCGAGGCCGTGCAGAGGAACATGGGGGATCTAATTAGCAGTAACCGTCGTCTGACTTTCTGATTAGGAGGATTTCACCCAGGTGATCCAAGACCCCAGGGACATTAAAGGACTCATTAGCCATTGAACCAGGCGCTGGTTGAGGCTCTTCTCAACCTCAGCACCCGACGGCGCATATATTAAGTTTGTGACATTAGAAGGCTTATGCATTGGTGGACTCATGTACCGCAGGCGGCAGAACAATTAATGGTACAATACGGTCCTGTTTTTCTCTCTCTGTGCTTCGAATGTACGAACACGTCCCAGTTTTGAAGAATCTCCAGGGCATGAAAACGCCAAGAAGCCCGATCTGGACATTCTGTTCAGCTGGCCTGCCTGCAGCATGGGCGGCCCAAAAAAGTGGAAAAAGCGAGGCGCAGTCCCTCGCTCAATGAGGGGTATCGAAATCATTCCATGACCACCTAGCGCTTCCCCCTCGTCTAAAAAACTGGTGATGAGGGATGGCGGCAGTCCGAACCACACTCCCACTCAGACCTTTACTTCTGCCCGCTTATGCTCATCATTATAATACGAGCAACCCAACATGTACAATGAGGAAATGTTACAGTGGCAAGGCCAGACATGCCCCAGGCAGGGAGGACGGATGACGACCCTCGGTGACTGGCTCGCAGGCGTCACCGCCCGGGCATCCCACGCCGGGAGGGTCTGCTGCAAGACCTGCGTCAACTTTGACGTCTCCAACCTGCCAGGATGCATGACGGCGTACTCGGAGCGATACTCTCTCTACGACCACACGATCTCGCTCGAGCGCCTCTTGGAGACGGCATCGTCCGGCTGCCAACGATGTCAGGTCCTCGCCCAGGCCTACTTTTATCTCTGTCCAGGAGATGACTGCGATATTCGACTGAAGTTCTTGCCGTCGTCCGTCGTTATGTCGAGGTCCTTGGCGTGTCTGGAGATACTCCCGGCGGAGGAATCGGCACTGGGATTCATGGGGTTTCCCACGCCTAAGAAGGGACGTCACAGGCATTCTAGGATAGACTCGCGGGAGCCCTATGAGGCCATCGTACTAGCTATCAACGAGTGCATCCGAGACCACGCTGACTGTCGGCCCCCGACTACACCAGTCCTACCAGCAAGGCTCGTGGAAGTGCCGCCCGAAAACGGATTGCCAGTTAAAGTGGTTGCGTTGCCACCTGATTCCAAACCGGAGTACACGGCCCTATCTCATTGCTGGGGCAAATTCCCTCTGCTCAAGCTACTGAAGCGCCACGGAACTGGAGACGTGGAGTTTCAATGGGAGGATCTTCCGCAGTCATTCAAGGACGCCTGCACCGTCACGAGATACCTGAACCAGAAGTACATCTGGATCGACTCTCTGTGCATCGTACAAGACGATGCGGACGACTGGAGGAGAGAGGCGGCAAAGATGGGCTCCATCTACGAGGGATCCTACGTTACAATCGCCGCGTCAGATGCCGCCGGCAGCGTCGACGGGTTCCTCCACTCGCGGTTCGAAGCAAATAACTTCGTCGTAGACGACAACAAAGGTCGGCTCATCCGCTTCGTGGCACGCGACTATAATCTCGAGATGCACAACTCCAAGTTCTTCCACCACGGAGACACGCCCGACCACGAGTGGCTCATGCGTCCCGTCGACATGGACCATAGATTCATAAATCCCATCCTACTCCGCGGGTGGTGCTTCCAGGAGCGTCTTATGGCCAAGCGCATTCTGCACTTCAAGCGCTACGAGTACTTCTTAGAGTGTAACAAGGGCGTAAGGTGCGAGTGCTCAGGCATGGCCAAGACGCGACAGGGTACGATCAAATCGTATTTAGCCATTATGCTTAAGGAGATGCTTGATAGCTTCGAGCTCATGAAGGCCGCCAAGATGCATGAGAGTCTAGTGGAGCATCTCGGTATGCGAAGAAGCATCGAACCGGCCTCGGCAAACGCCGATGAGCGCCTCATGCAGGTATGGGAGGCGCTTGTCGAAAATTACTCGCGGACAGCCTTCACCTACGAAGAGGACGTGCTCCCAGCACTGGGTTCCCTGGCCAGGTTTTTCCAGGCCAAGAGGCCAGACTGGACATATCTGGCGGGGTTGTGGAAGGAGGCACTGCCGAGAGGGTTAATGTGGACCATGGAGAACTCTAGGGGTCTAGATGCCCGAAAGGCTCGACGCGGAAAGCCCGAATCGTCACAATTACAATCCCAGAGCTCTCCGTCTGCTCGACCGCCAGTGGCACCATCTTTCTCGTGGGCTGCGTTGGCCGGTCGAGTCCGATACAAGACGGCCGAATATGCGAGGAAGCAGGAGGTAGACGTCGTCACCGCCGGAGTCGACGCCATAGGAGACGAAATATTCGGAGACGTCAGTTCCGGCTTCATTGTGCTTCGCGGCCGGGCCGTTAGCTTCCGGTTCCCTCGATACTCACCGGGCGGTAACGCCATCGCCCATAACACAGCGCAGGGGGCATCAATAGCAATCTACGATGGATGGGAAGGGGGATACTGCGAGAGTTCCGAGCAGGACGTTGAAATCTGCAAGGATATCAAGAGTGATGTTTGGGAGCCGACGAATAAGGTCGAGTCTGGAATGGAAACGATGGGACGGGTCGTCGGCTTCGACACCGATCATGAGCACTCTGCATATTTTAGTGCACAGCCTGGGGTGTAAGCGTTTCTTGCGGACTTCGCTGATGGCCGTTAATATGTTGATACTAACGTGGACTGGTTTATTATAGGCGCCGCAATGACCCTTCCGACCAAAGCTCAAGCATATTAGAACCACTCATTCTGTTACGTGTGTTCTCAGTCGTCGAACATGGCATGAGGGGTGTTGGCGCGGCATGCCTGATGCTCAGGAAGTGCCATGACAGGCCAGATTCTTATCGGAGGGTCGGGCTCAGGACGGCGAAGAATAGGATCTTCGAGGATGCCAAAGAGTACGAAATCCGCATTGAATGAATATGCTAAGCAGCAGCTACGTATGGTGTCTAAATAAGATCAACTATCGACGTTTTGATGTCCTTCCTTAACTTCGAAGACTATCTCCTCTAGGCAACGCCGCTAACCAGTGTTACCGTCTTACAACGTACTCATAAGCGGGAGACCGTTCCGTGTCCTACTTTATCTCTCTTTCAGTTTCATTCAAAATGTCCAATGGTGCGAGCCTGAGGATATACTTCCAGGTAAAGAACATCCTCCAGTGCCCGCTATCAAAGATCTGAGCAATGAGGACTCCTCGATATCAATCCTCGTCTGTCTTCCAGAGTCGTAGGTTTCTCTCCGGGGATCCAGATGTCGCCAGGATTGGATTCACCGGCTGCGAGCTACTACTTTGATATCGGAGACCATGTAGGAAGATTATTGAAACAGTTTATTACAGTCCCCAGGGATATCTATGGTCGCTCTATCTCTTCCTGTTTCAAAAGCACAGACAAAACCCCATTTGTTAAAAGATCACTGATACCCTCTCTCTCTGCGGGCCCGAGGTGGGACATGGAGCTTCCCTTAGACGCCTCCAAAAGTGTGTCAAGGTCCACATGCTTTCCATCGATAAGATATTTCCAAAACTCGACGTCCTTACTGTCTCTAGATGGAGACAAAGGCGATATTTCTGCCCGTGCTAGGTTAACCTTGTGAAGTACGCAGAGCCAACTGCCCTTGTCGCGAGACGACACCTTTCCTTCCTCGACAAGTACGCGAAGCATGTTTAAATCGGCCTGATACGCCGCGGCTTCCACGGAAGGAATCGTGTCCCAAAGATAGTATCTCCTACGGTTTCCCTCGGGATCCGCTCCAGCCTGGATTAAGAGCCGGACGATCTCGATGTGTCCCTTGCGCACGGCCGTGGTGATTGGGGTCTCGGCATCGTTGCGGACAGTCAGTTTCCCGCGTAAGGTTCTCAAATCCCCCGACTCTTCTTTCCACGCATCCAAAGAAAGGAAGGAATTATCAGCTAATATGTGCGGATACTTCAATAGTTTCTCAACCATGGGAGTATTTCCGTTCGCACAAGCTTGCTCGAACACGGGAACGCAGGCTTCCACGACCCCCTCGCCATAATCACGCAGCTGGTGTGGATTGAGCTCTCCGGGAGGTTTGATCGGATACCAGGTCGTAATTAGTATGTCGAGAATGCGCTCGTCTCCCACGGATGTAGCCAGCTGTATCAATTTCGACTTGACCGTTCTGTGTATCTTTGCCCTCTCCATCAGTAGCTCGATCATGTCACAATTCCCCATCAGAACTGTCAAGGCGACGTAGCTCCAATGGTAATACTGGCGGGAATGTTTCCGTGATGATCCTGTGTGTTGTTCGGCTTTCTTTTCCATCGAGCACAAATCATGCTTGAGCAGGGTGACAATCAAGTCCAAATTGTCTGCCCGAATCGCTGCTTCGAGAAAGCTCCCGAAGAGAGGTATGGAACCTTCAAAAGGGACTTTGGTTCCATGTCTTTTCTGCAATTTCATGAATTTCTTATAACCAAGTTCGATTACCATAAATAACACTTTGACCTCTATGCCCGGGGAATTCAGGTAAATGCGGGAGACCAGAACAAGTGTATCGAAACGCTTGTCCTGGAAAATTGGCGTAGCTGGGAATAGCGTATCTAAGATCTCAGACTGGATTAAGGTTGCGATATCACACACTCTCGACCGATGTGCCGTATTTAGCGCCTGTTAGCACAGCTTGTGGATAAGTTGATACCGTTCAGGGCCGTTGGGGTCTAGTCCACCCTCGGTCATGATTGTATCTACCACGGAGTTGATGAGAGTAAAGAGATTGGCGTTCCGTGGCAGATGACGAGACGGCAGCACCATAAGATATCGTGCTAGGAAATAGCTGATATCCATCTTCGATAGGGAGGAGTATTCGCCGAGTGACCGATGCCGAGCTGCCTTAGCTGCGTATGCTTTGATTTCCGCGGTGTCATACAGCGAAAGGAGGAGCTTTGACGTGGCTATGGTATACATGACCTCGGTGGAAAATAAACCTAGACTCGTACAAATGTCAGAAAATTGCTGTTCAACGACCGTTCGGGGCCGAGAGAACAATTGGATTCCGGCGATCAAGCCAACGCACTGTTTATCTGACGAAGACGAAGCATTCGTGCCAAGTTGTCGGTCCTGGCTGGATCAAACTCGACCGCCTTCCTTATCACCAATCGAAGAACATCAATCGGGAGATCCATTAAAGACAATGGGGTCTTCGGACGACCCGAGATCGAGTTTGCCTGATTCACGGGCTCCATAGCTGAAGGCGTGGATGTTAAAGAGTGTGCTGTCGAGCATTCAATGTTTCCGGGCAATGGCTGGATTGACAGAACATTTGAAGAGCTGAGGTATCATCCTTTTTGTCCACAGTTCGATGCTGCAAGTCAGTCCGCGCGAATTAACATCATCGTTGGGGTTAAACATGGGCTGCGCCACGCTTTCTATGCAGGGGACTTTTGTCAAAACAGAGAACTACTTGGGGTAAAAATAGTGCTATCTACCATCCTTACTGGACAAGCGGTCCTCACTCCGCCTCCCATGATCCCAATTTGACAACCAACTTCAAGGTCATGGATGAATTATCTCTCCTGTTTTTTTACGCTAAGAGGATGGTGGAAATGAGGAGCCCTGCCTAAAGTGGCTGCTAACAGATGGCAGAGTGGAGAATTTGCATTTTGCGCTCCAGGCTTGTGGAGTTGTCTCCTGCGCCTCGTCTTGTCCCCGGTTTCTGTCCCCATATCTCACTGCAGATCGTTGTCCGGGCAACCTGGCCTCCTACCTTATCACCCAAGGCCTTCCGCGGGATCCTGACTGGAGCGGGTCTCGGCCATAAGAGAACCTTTCTCCAAGGCTCGACAGAGTGTCCATCTACACGCTCTCAGGTTGGTGTTGCACAAGCTATTGACCGAGAGATATCCTTCTGGAAGATAGTTGCGAGTGAGCAGAGGGCGAGGGGAGCGTTTGTCGTCAGTGCTGTGCAGCAATCGCGAAGAGCGACCTCTGTTTAGCTCCCAAGGAAGTCCATCATACAAACAAGTCCGACTGGCACAAGAAGGCCTTACAAGGCAAAGAGCCGATTGAAATAAAACCACTCAGCGTGGAAGGTTACTCAGGATTGAGGGAAGATTATACCCCCAGGGCCATTTGTCGAGCAGGCGCCCTAAGATGATGGTAACGTTGATTGGCCGAAGACTGTGTAAAACTCGACAAGCCCTTCGAGAACATTGGCGAGCTGTATCGTCAATGGCGACGTTTTAACGATATCTGTTTGAAGAGCCATCCTTTTAATCGCTCTAGCAGACGCAAGCGGCCTCAGTTTTCGGATGGCGAAGCTGTTGGCAGTTCCTGAGAAGTGGAGATCGGAGCGATATAGATAACTAAGGCACTGCAAGCCAACGCTCTTCGGTTGTTGGACGTTTCATGCCTTGAGATGCTCCAGTCTAAGGTATATCTTTCAATCCCCCTTGGGTCGGATTTTCGGGAGCAAGACCATGAAAAGACGCTAAAACAGCTATGGGATTCAGTTCAAGGTAAGTTTGAGATCCCAAGATGTCCTCAATGAGGCAGGATTAAATAAATTAATTAAATTAAAATAACGTTAGAGGAAAAAGTAGGAAATTAAAAGGAAACTAAGAGATTAAAAAAGAAAAAAAAATCTCGCCCCGTCTTTGGCTTGGACGAGACGGACGTCCTGTCAAGTCTCGACGAACCAAGCGAACTGAGACTACACCCCGTCTTAACCATAGATAACAAGATTGGACTTCGACGAAATGCGCTTCCCCACGCTCATAACATAATGCTCCCTTTGTTGACCCCGATCATGACCAATCCGATTAAAGAACTCCTCACAGACACGAACTCCGTATCTCCTCAAGGCACGGTCATCTTTGTTCCTCAAACATGCCGAAGGTTACCTCAGCCCTCGGTGATTCTCTGGAATTCATCCTCGGTATGCTCCCATACTTTGTCGTGGACTCCTTCCTGCCTGAGTTTCTTCAATACTTTCTCGGCTTTCTCTCCCAGCGCAGTCCCGTCCCAGCTGATTGAGTAAACCCCGCTTCCATTGTTGCCGTCCGTTCCTCGCACAGCCTCAACCCCTTTATCCCTCGTCAGGCCTATGGCGCCACCTTCACGAGGTGGGTACCTTCCAGACGTAGAGAAAAATAAATGCCGTTCCCCCGCTTCCTCATTCGGAATAGCAAACAAAGGCAAAACAAACTTGTAAAAGCGTGCCACAAGTCTCAAGGGCAGAGCCGAAATGTCTTGTCCGAGATCTGTTGTGACCATGCCAGGGAAGACGTGAACGAAGCTCACTTCTGGAGCTTTCTTCGCTAGGGTCTCGATCGATAAAGTTATCATGGAGGAAACGTGGCCGCGGCTTGCCATTAATGAGAGCTTCCGGGCTTGGAAATCACTGGTGTCGACCTGTCCCTCTTTGGTCCCTGCAAAGACGGTGACAACACGGCGGAGGTCGGGTGCCACCCGCAGAAGAGGTAGCAGGTTAAGGATGAATCGTGTTCTGGCGTAGTAATTGAGTGACATGAAGAAGTGGAGGTTCTCTGGAGTTTCTAGACAAGCGAAGATCTTAGTACTCCATCCCAGGGCGAACCCACAAAGCGCGAATCGCAAGTTGGCACTATGAACAATGGCACTTACCTGTGTGGACAGTAAAGGTCCCAGGTGTCAGGAAAAGTAGATTGATTGCCTTTTCCCGACTCGCAATATCCTTGCACACCTCATCGACGGAGCGAATAAGGCTGATATCTGCGCCGATGAAATTGTATTGCCCTTCATTATTCAAGGCCTTGCATTTGTCAATGACACGCTTCGCGTTCGCTTCTGACCGGCCGATGAGATAGATTCGCGGCTTGCGCGTATGCTTTGCGAATTGCTTCAAAGATGTCTCGCCTATCCCACGGGTTCCACCGACGAAGACGGCGACAAGTCCCTCGGGCAGGTTGGTGGCGAGCTTGGCATTTGATGCCTGGATGTCGGATAAGGCAACCATTTTGGGATAAGGATATGATGCTGAACTCTGAAAACTTAGTGATAAATAGATAAATAGGCAGGGAGCGGTGTGGATTGATGCGAAAGGGCTGAGAGTTGGCCATCTGTCGCGCGGTCGCGTTGTAGATAAATACTCTCCTCGCCAGCTCCAAGTGCATAAGCCCGATGTTAATTCGGAATCTCCGAAAAGCCCACCTGCGGACTTGTGCTCTGTGCCTGTGGACTTGCGCCTGTGCCTGTGGACTTCCGCCTGTAATACGGCAGATATCACGCCTTGCTCCGTTGGAGAAATTTACTGCTCCGAGTCCGATCTTACTGATGACGTCACCTCGACTGTCTCAATCGGAGGACAACGCCGGCTTTCCGATGCCACGGTCTCCGACTCGTATCTGTGGCGGTGTCATGCGGCTTGATTGATGTCGCGATTACCTCGGAAAGCGGAATGTCATCGCCCGCATTGCTCGTATCATACCATTCTAAGTCAACAACGAGGAATACCTTGTTTTTCCACTTACCATCGTTTTTGCGTCACTTTCCATACGTACCAGCCTGCCGCTCGAGCTGAACGCCTCAACAACGCCCCAAGCCGACATTCTCAGAGACTATTATTGGCCGCCAGGCATTGGCTAGTGCCTCGAGGAATGAACCCGACAAAACCGAAAAAGAGGGGCGTTTAGATATGGCGGTGTTACATCAATATAATCTACAGAGGCTTTCTCGGTTTGACAGCGAGGTTGATTACTCCTAGGAGTCGCTATCTTACCGACGAAGTCCAGTTACCCTCGTAGAATCCGCCTCAAACAGTTAGCCCTTCCTGGCACATAATTTGGCCAAGATGGAAGTAACTCGTAACAAGTGCAGAGTCCCAAGGGCAGCTCTTGATTTAGCATTGGGGCAGACCTCGCTCTCGGGCCTCATCTACGGCGGCACTTATATGCAAGTACATTCGCGTTGGGATCTAGTCAGGGATAAGCGTCTTTCCCATTTCGCCAAGCATGGGGCTGTGCAAGTTCACAGCCCACAAGGCTATTGCTGTGGCCCAGATTAACCATCGTGAATCTTGCAACTTGGCTTCCCGAATTCTCCAGAACCGATGCTGTTTCATTCTTCAAGATGGCTCTCTGTTCCAAATGCCTCGCACTTGCGGATATACCCGACAACGATTTGGTCAATCACCCTCATCATCCCAGCGTCGCTTCGCTGCTGGATGCAGCCAAGTCCTGTTCCCTATGCCAGCACTTTCTCGACCTAGTCGTCGGGATTCGAAATATTGAGCATGACGCACAGAATGGATTCTGGACTCGATCTTTGCTGAGAACGACTACCCCAGCCAAGGCTGCGGGGCCGAATATGGCATCGGTGAGGGAATTCATCCTTGTATCTTCGAGGACTGAGCGGCAATCGGAGCCTTTTGTAATGTCCAGTGCTGGTGAGTTCAACAAGCTAAAACACCCGCTGCGCTCATATATCGCCCTTGTCACGATTAAGAAGATCATTTTCTAACACCATTCTTGTAGGACTTGCTGCTACCCGGCCGATTTGGTATGAGAAAGACCTCACCTTTGCCGCTCGTGCGACCACCATCATGAGGTGGCTGAAAGAATGTGATTCGGCCCATCCCCATTGCCACAGCGGTTTCGCCGGTGCCTCACTGCCCGGTCGACTAATAGACGTCGGACAAGAGCCAAGTCAGCAACTTCGCTTGGTAACTGTATCCGGATCAACCATGAATCACCAATACGTAGCCTTAAGCCACCGTTGGGGAGGGAAAATCCCATTTGTGACTACCCGTGAGACCTTAAACGAGCGCACCAACAATATCTCATTACATGATCTCCCGCAAACCTTCTCCGACGCCGTCCTCGTAACTCGCACCCTCGGTCTCCGCTACCTCTGGATCGATTCGTTGTGCATCGTTCAGGATGACACGGAAGACTGGAAAAAGGAAGCATCCAAGATGGCATCAATTTTCCTCGGAGCCTACCTGACAATTACGGCTGCGGATGCAGATAATTGCCATGGCGGACTCGGTCTCGGAGATGTACCTACATCAGTACTATTTGAAAGATCATCGCCCATTCCTGGCGGAACCACAGCGCGACTCTGTCTCCGTCCCGCCGAGGTGACCGGATACCAGCTACACTCTACTCTCAAGAATTCTGCACTCCATAAAAGAGCATGGGTATTTCAAGAGACTATTTTGTCCCGCCGCAACGTGCATATGACGAAAGGGCAGTTCTTTTGGCAGTGCCACTCACTGTTAGAATCGGAAGACGGAACTCTCGGGCAGACAAACCACCAGCCTGATGATCCCGAAGATCGACGTATGCTTCTTTCAGAATATCCCCTGTTCAATTTTGGACATCTTCGAGAGAACCGTGAGGATGGCTCTGGCTGGTGGACCTGGATTCAGGAGCACTGCCGTCGTCAACTCACCTTTGAGTCTGACAGCCTACCCTCCATGGCTGGGATTATGGATCTGTATCAGAGATTGACGGGAGATATTCCCGTGGTGGGGCTCTGGAGGAACAACTTACTCCTTCATCTTTCCTGGCGAACCAGCCAGCGTGTTGACCCTTCGCAACGCGACTTCAGCCAGCCAACCTGGTGTTGGACTTCACTTCGACACTCGGCTCGCCAACAAATATGTACGGCGCAGATTCCTTTCCAATCAGTGCTGGAATCCTCACTAGACAAGTCCCCAGGATCAAGCAACGAAATTTTTTGGACGGCCCCGCTGGACAACGTAGATGTGAGCTGGGATGGGGATCCGATGGTGTCGCAGTTGAAATCTGCCGTTTTATCTATAGGACGAGTTCCTTGGCCAGATCCTGAAAATTTCAAACGCTTTGACCGCGTTAGCGTCGACATGTCATATGATTCCGTCACGATAGGAGAGGGAAGGGATGCCGTTTTCCTTCCGTTGTGGATGTCTTGTCAGTGGTGGGATGATCCCGAGGAGCCAATCCTGTTATATGTGGCGTTCTTCGTCTCCTGTTCCTTGATTTTAGAGCCGTGCCAGGGTCCCGGTCGGTTCTACCAGCGGGTTGGAGTTTGCTTCCACCGTTGGACATGCAAGCGACCGGGCAGAAGAGCAGCGGTGTGGAGGTTGCGGGACTTGGCAGTAGCTGAAGTCATTCATCTCGTGTAATTGAATATAGTCATGGCTGAAGGTGGTATAATCCCGTGGGCATAGAGCTGGATTCCTCAGATCCATGAAAGCCATAGACCTAGCAACCCGTTCTCTTCCGCGCCTCATATATCCTCCCATCTCAAATTGCCTCGTCGTCTGCCTCATATCGAGATGAAAATCGGCCGGACCTAGACATTAACGGCGATCACCATAAGAATACTTCAGCCTCTCTCAACTGTCTCCAACTTTCCGCGTTCCTATCTCCAACCTCCATTTACGCCTGCTCTGCAGTTTCCGTAGAATGTCGCGTCAGGCCATCTCGTGAGGTTAAAGTTCCGGGAATCGCTGGGGCCGCCGGAGGTTCAGCGAACGACCACAAGGTACTTAAGGACAGTAGGTACGTTCGATCACTATTGGTAGAGGGAAACAGAATCCTGAGCGATATGAAAATGGGCAATGAGATTTCAGAAACATAGTGCCCAGAACCAAGCTCCAGAAATCTCGAGAGGCCACATTAGCGAATGTGCTTCGAGCATCCTGGCCGACGATGGACAACGTCTATCAAAGACGCATGCATGCTCAGAAACATTGGATGATGGGGGGGCGAGAGCCTTAAAGCCGTTGTGGAAACCATATGCAGTGCCTACTCTTCCATTTAGAGTTGACTACTTAAGCACCCAAGGAAAAGAGACATCTAGTCTTGAATCGAGCCATGTATTCAGTGGCGTTCACTGCCGAGAAGTTGGCGCCTGACTGCTCTTCACCGAGTGCAGTAATCGCCCAAATGAGGATCCCGGCGCGGGGGTGGGTAGCATTCGAGATGATGAAATATGTAGCGATATGCTGCGGAATTCGTTATGTAATTTCTTCGTACATGCTGCAAAGACAGCAAAGGCAAAGGCATGGTGAGCTCGCGCCTGCACCTGCATGCCGTACTGGAACCGGAAGAGTGGCGGTGCAATGGACTCATCCTCGAGTACTTAGCACGGCGAGAGCGAGGTTTCTCTTCCAGAGGCCTGCCACGTCGAGTGACGAAGCTTGCAGGTCATGTGTATTCTGATGCTATTCGCCCACATCAATTGAGGGCTTGTCTTGGGCATGGCCCGTTTTCTGATATGTGACATGTCTGGGGTACCTCGTCCGTGCTTTGTCCAGGATCTGTCCCGTAAGATCACGACGTCGTCCGAAGAAGTGGGGGCGAACGCCCACCGGTTGGGCAGGCCGAGGATATTAGCATGTTCTTTAAAGGTTGCAGTGCAGAAAGCAGAAACGCAGACGCTCATTAGGCTCTGCCGGGCGGGGGTGGTGCGGATAGTCCCGATGGCTTCCTCAGAGAGGAAGAACCGAGTCTGGCGAGGTCGCGAAAACTATTGCGCAGTCGAGCCCATATTTAGTCCCACCCTTTTCACCTTGGCTCCGGCGCGTTGCTCCACATGCCATCTCCATCATTAATAAGAACCCCAGCATCCGATTTTCGCGGACCCTCGCCTTAGAGAAGGACTCGGTAAAAACAGGAATCCCTCGTCAAAACATGGGCGACAAATCACCCGAACAGGCTAGTCGTGGCAAGAAATCGCCGACCTCTCCGAAGGGCGCCAAGAGTCCGAAGAGCCCCAAGAGCTCAGAAGCCGGGGCACAAGATCCGACGAGTGAGACCGTCGGCATTCTACCCGCCCAGCACTGGGTCCAGTCCGCGCAGGTCCGTCGCCAAGTCTTAGCTGGGCCCCAGGCTTTTGACTTCCGAGTTCCTAGTGTAATTAATCGAAAGGTTTACCTCTAGGATCATGGCTACGACGACGACGCGGAGTCGGCTGTAGGCAGTCTGAATCCCTCCTCGACGGCTTCTATATCTTCGAGCATTCTTAATTACCGGACCCTTCACGGCCGGACATACCACGGCGAGGTCGGGAGTGCGGAATATTGGTAAGGCTTACCGCTCATGATAGATACTATTCCGCGGCATGCTCGAGCAATTGGCTTCGCCGTTATTTCGTGGCTGACCATGCTTCTTTGCGGAAAAGGGGCGCCAATGATGAACAACAGAGCGAATCTTTGGATATAAAGTAAGTAGAGGTCACCAGCAGGAGATGTCCATTTCATATTTGCGCCGGCGTATATCTAGTAAGCTCATCTCGGCAACAGCCACCATACCATGACCTTCGGCTGTGATGGGAAAATCTTCCTAGCACCTTTGAAAGCAGGAAAAGTTAGGGTACGAAAAATGTTCCCGATTGCGAGTACCGGAAAATTCCTTCCCCATTACTGACACCGACTTGATGTTTAGAAAGCTGTTGACATTGGGACTGGAACTGGTATGTGACTTGGTCTTAGGAGCTTTGACGTCTTCGTCAGATCCGGCGCCTGGATATGTGATCTAACACCCTACGCCCCTGGAAAAGCATCTGGGCAATGTATGTTTGATAACCATACCCAAGTCCACCCACGTCCGTATGTTTCCTAACCCTTCGTTCAGCGATTTCGCCGATGAGTTCCCTGAGGCAGAGGTGATCGGAACCGACATCTCTCCCATTCAGCCTACCTGGGTCCCCCCGAACCTGAAGTTGTGGGTGAACCCCGAGAGAACTTGATGCAAAAACAAACCGCTCATCCGTTGTTTCTCTTTGTGTAGCGAAATTGAAGATTGCACACAGCCATGGACCTTTGCGCCTGATACGTTCGATTACATCCACATGCGGTGGCTAATCGGTAGCATTCCAGACTGGTCAGCCCTCTTCACTGAGGCCTTCAAGGCTTGTCGGCCGGGCGGCTGGTTCGAGAGTTGTGAGCCCGAGTGTGGATTCACCAGCGACGACGGCACTGTCAGGGACGATACGGCTCTCGGGCAATGGCAGAAGTTCTATGAAGAGGGCCAGAGGAAGACTGGTCGCGTTTTCACAGTAGTGAGGGATGGTATCCAGAGGAAGTGCATGGAAGAGGCAGGATTTGTCGACATCCAAGAGTTTAGCTTCAAGGTATGAGAGAGAAGGCAGCGGTGGCTGGGAGAAATTGGTGTGTGCCTTGTTCTTGCTAATCGTCGTACAACAGATTCCGATCGGCTCCTGGCCCAAGGATCCAAAGTTGAAAGAGCTCGGCCAATATGGCCAACTCGTACTCGAGGCGGATACGGAGGGTTACATATTATTCATGGCCAACACGCTGGGCTGGACGAGGGAGGAAATCCAAGTTTACATTGCCCATCTCCGCCGAGAAGTGCGATCGGGCAAGATCCATGCGTACTACAGGCAGAATATAATCTGGGGTCGCAAGCCTGAGTCGGAGTAATATCATGTCGCTCTTCGGCCGACGTCTCCCAAAGCAGCATCACCATCTTAATTTAGCAACCTGAAGCCATAATTATTCCAACCCTGAGGAAGAAGCTTACTTTTCTGTATTCAATACTGTCTGTGTCGTTCTTCCCGCCGACTGTCTACTTATTTTGCTAGATCCTGGACTTGATCTTGGGCTTGGTCCATGAAGGAAAGAAATGTGAATTTCTATGGGGCGAAACGGAACTCACCATCACTTTCCATCTTGAACAGGGATCCGAGCTTCAAATATATATCTTCCGCAAAGCTCCGTATCACAAAGGGAGAATCAATATCAAAGCGGGAATCAATAGCATACAAACAATTAAAGCTGGCAATGGGTTTCATACTGTTTCATACTCACCCACCGCCCTTACCAAAACAGATCTTCATTGTTGATCTTGTTGAATCCCAATTCGGCAGGTGCGACCTCCTCAATGAGCAACTTCAATTGCATCACACCCCCCCTCTATTCATATCCTCGAGTTCGGGAATAAATATTGAAAAGTTCAATGACAAACTCTATTAATGCATAGCTCCAGTCCGATTGCCCCGATAAGGTACGTCATCACGAGCCCGCCCACATCACAAATTTTAGTAGGTCTCGTGCGGGGGAAGGCGGGAACACATTCCTGTCCCTGTCCAAAACCACACAAAACATTCAAACCATCAGCAGTTTAGCTCCTTTAGCTCCCGCTTTTCTCAACCAAACCTTGTTCGTTCCCCTCCCCATCATCGTTCATCTCTCTACTTTCCAAAAACCTTGGCGGACAGTTCCTTGTATCGAAAACTGACCGATCCCTTTCCAGAGAATCCTGAGAGACCACCATCCCTGTCGCCAAAATGGCCGCCAAGTCCCCAGTCGGACACTCCAAGACGTTTGACGGTATGCCTTCCACTCTTCCGCTTACCTCCCCTCCGCTTACCTCCCCTCCCATCTCTCGAGCTCCCTGAGAAGACCCAGCCCAGCTAACAGAAGCCTACAACAGTCAAATCATCCGGCAAAGCCAACGGCTCCGCCCACGGTAACGGTACTGCCAAATCCGGTGCTGCCGAGGACTCGGGCGAAGACTCCAACGACGACGCAGATGGACATGTCGTCATCGAAGCCACCGCTACTGCCGTAGCTGGCGGCGAGGGCGGCTCCAAGAAGAAGAAGAAGAACAAGAAGAAGTCCAAGAAGAAGAAGGCTCCCACTGCCCAGACCGACCCTCCGTCGGTCCCCATTTCCAAACTTTTCCCCAACGACAACTACCCCAAGGGGGAAGAAGTCGAATATGTTGATGAGAATCGCTTCCGTACCACCAACGAAGAGAAGCGTCATCTCGACAACATCAACAGCGATTTTCTGTCTGATTATCGCCAGGCGGCCGAGACCCATCGTCAGGTCCGCCAGTGGGCCCAGAAAAACATCAAACCGGGCCAGACCCTCATTGAAATCGCCAACAACATCGAGGACAGCGTCCGTCGGCTCGTCGGACACGATGGCCTGTCCGAGGGCGATGCCCTTCTTGCCGGAATGGGCTTCCCCACCGGCTTGAACCTCGATGATATTGCTGCCCACTACAGCCCCAACGCGGGCGACAAGACTGTTCTTCGAGAGAACAATGTCATCAAGGTCGACATCGGAGTCCACGTGAACGGTCGCATCGTCGATAGCGCCTTCACTATGGCGTGGGACCCCATGTACGACAACCTCCTCGCGGCCGTAAAGGACGCGACCAACACCGGTGTCCGTGAAGCGGGCATTGATGTTCGCCTTGGCGAATTGGGCGGGTATATCCAGGAGACCATGGAAAGCTATGAATGCGAGATCAATGGCGTCACCTACCCCATCAAGCCCATTCGCAACATCGCCGGCCATAACATCATGCCCTACAGCATCCACGGCACCAAGAGTGTTCCATCTGTAGCAACTAACGACGTTACGAAGATGGAAGAAGGCGACGTCTTTGCCATTGAGACCTTTGGCAGTACTGGCAATGGCCGATGCTACAACGAAGGTGACGTCTCGCATTACGCCATGCGCACCGATGCTCCGAAGGTGGACTTGCGTCTGTCTTCTGCTAAATCCCTCTTGACTGCCATCAAGAAGAACTTTGGCACCATTCCTTTCTGTCGACGCTACTTGGACCGAATCGGACAGGAAAAATATCTCCTCGGTGTATGTGACGCCCCAGGCCTTCCAAAATATGTGTTGCATCTCTGTTGGCTAACGCAGTTTTCGGCAGCTGAACAATCTGGTCAAGTCCGGCATTGTTGAAGATTACCCGCCTCTGGTTGACAAGAAAGGGTCATACTCAGCCCAATTTGAGCATGTGAGTAACCCACATCCTGGTGCACTTTTGGAAGATGCCTACTAACCACACCCGCACTAGACCATCTTGCTCCGACCTACCGTAAAGGAGGTCATTAGCCGTGGAGAGGACTACTAAGAAAATTAGGATTTGTTGCTCTCGGGGCATATTTAAGGGCTCAGAGAGAGGGAATTTCACATGCAGATGAGGATAAACCAGATTGAGCACAACAGGAGGAACCAAAGTGTCTCGGCTGTTGTTCTAGCAGCCTGACCATGCCACTCGTTTAGTATTGCTATAGCAGCTTCCTAAATTCAAATGTCCTGAAAACGATGTTTGAGCACTGCCGCTGTCCTAAATTACCTATCCTTGCAAGTGACGTAAACTCTTCGAGCAAAATCGTCAGGTATTCGGTCTCAATGTGCCTCGATATTATGCCCATGGTAAAGTGACAACCACGACAATCCTTCCCGCAAGCCAATGCAAAGGAGGACTGAACAAAGATGCCTCATCCTCGAGGACTGGCCCCACAATATCCAGCACTAGGAGAGGGCGATATCCATTACGTAGCAGACTGGTGTTCAGTTACCACGCTGATGAGGCATGCTGGCCGTGCAGGGAAACTTATCGCCAACGGCTACCTAGACTGCCTTGTCCAACGCGCAGCTGCGATAAGGAGGCGTCATGGAAGAGGGTAAAGCTGTCAGGCAGAATCCCACGCCGATCATCATAAAGGAATACTAACAAACGCAAGAAAATCCCGGATGGGGCATTACTCTACGCAGCCCTTTCCCAACCAAGGAGTGTGGGCTGCCTAGACCCTTGTTCAACATGCACCACGGTGGCGGGGACAGCAATCCTCACTGGACCTTCGTCTGCCGAAACTTCGAAAGTGAGGGCTGCAGTTACTATGCCCGCTAGTTGGGGGCTCTACCATCTAGGTTGTAGAAAACGCTGCACTCACATGCCCTCGTGCCAAAGGAAGTCTCGCGCCCCACGAAGCACCGGGGCCGGTAAGTCGGGTATTGGTTCACAGGTGGAAGCAATAACATCAAAAGCTGTCATGGGTGTTTCTGCGAGAGGATAATACCTGTTGTACAAAGGTACTGAAGAACCTTTTTTTTCTCCATGTCCCGGCTTCATCGAAACATCCCAGTCGGACCTTTACCGAAATGAAGAATCCTTCATGCCGGAGTGAGTCTACTTAGTAAATCCTAAGGCACTTTTTCACGAGATGTAACCGGATCCCAGGAGACTACTTCGTACATAACTCGCGGTTTCCGACAACCCTTGTGGTGGATGATCCTGTGAATGATTCTGCGGGTCTATCATTCGATGGTCAAAATAGACTCTAGTCACGGGGAAGAGCTTCCGCTACTACCTTATCACCCCCTATTCCAGGGTCTGAGGGACCCATCTCGCTAGAGTTTAAGCATCGAAGGGTTTACACCATTCCGAGGGAAGCACCCTGGCACCGGGTCGCAGCGCAGCTCGTGGATCAGCGCTAAGCATGGTTCCTCGTCTCACACTATTATGATCAGCGGTCAACCAGGGTGATTTGCCCTCCAATAGGAAGGTACTTCGTACTAAGTAGTTAAAGTGCTCCTGCCAAGTTTTGCAGTGTAGATGGCCGTTGAGCCCATTACATACCAGCGACATACGACCGGTGTCATGGATGGAAAATGTTCTCCTTGTTCCCGTGTGTCCCACGGTCTCTGTCTTTCTTCTTCCACGACTTGCTTTTTCTACGTCCTTGAGGAGGAAAAAAACGAATAAAAATAGTTCCAATCATAGTGTCCAGTACCAGCAGAATCCTCCTTACTGGTGCAACCGGTTACGTTAGCGGCACCATCCTCGACCATCTCCATCTCATCAAAAATGAGGAACCCAGCATTCAGGGATTGACCTTCGATCTCCTCGTCCGCAGCGAAGAGGCCGCCAAGAAGCTACGCGAGGCCTACGGCGATCGTGCCAATCCCATCCAGTGGGCAGGCCTTACCGATATCCCCTCATCACCGAAACGGCCTCCAAGTACGACATCATCGTAAACACCGGGTCGGGCTTCATCGCCGATGGAGCCAAGGCTTGCGTACACGGGCTGGCCCGCCGCATCAAGCCCGGAAATGCGGTACCGTGGCTCCTGCACATCGCCGGATGCCCCAACCTCGGAGATCGACCGTTGACGGAGACGGCTTACCCCGATCGGGAATGGGACGACGCGGGTGGAAATGCAGTATACGAGTTTCTCAAGGCCGAGGACACGGAGACACCCTTACCTGCAGAGAACCACCGAGGTAGGCGTCCTCACGGCCGCTGAAGAGACGGGCATGCAGGCCATGAGCCTGAATACGCCCTGCATCTTCGGTACTGGTTACGATCTCAAGACCTAATGCTGTTGGGTGTGGTACAGACAGATATATTCCGCATCAACTGCAGGCAAGAAACTAACTATCGCAGGTTTGCAACATTGGCTTGTCAGTAGCAAATATGGTTTGTACGTTAGTATCGTTTGCGACCGAACTGAGTTCTTTACTGACCGCACCATCATAGGCACCTGGTATGGAGCCGGAGTTCATAGTAAGGCTTCCCGTTTTCTTTTCCTTTGTCCCAGAGTCCCCACCACTCAAAGACAGCCTCCTTTCTAACAGGCAGGCCCTGGCCCATACAGTCGAACACATATCGATCGAGAACTACGTCAACCGACTTCTCTACGTCGTAGCATTCTGCTTCGTCAAGCTTAGCATCCTCGCCTTCTACATGCGGGTAGATCACAGAAAATACACACGCTGGGCGATATACTTTCTTATATTCACCGTCGTCGGCCTAACTGTCTCGACCGCCTTGATCTGCATCTTCGAGTGCTGGCCTTCGGCGCTGTACTGGGATTTGACAGATCCCTTGCGAGAGAAGTGCATGCCGGCCGCCCAGCGACAGATATTCTTCGAGGCAAATGGCATCATCAAGTAAGTTTTGTCCTGGTTTTCTTTTTCTTGCCTAATCAGAAGATATGCTTACCTCCCAACTCCCACCACCGCCCAGTATTGTCCAGGATATTTTCATTTACCTGTTGCCGGTTCCCATGATGCGGAAGCTGCAGGTTCCTCGTCGGCAAAAGTTCGCTGTCCTCTTCCTTTTCTACATCGGAATCGTCGCCCTAATTGGTATGTTGGCCCTCCTTGGGTTTATTCAAAACTAGCCTAGCAGTCATCAGCGGCTAACATCTTAGTGAACAAGCGGGTGGCATTCGTTACTACTACGTCCTGAAGCTCAAGAACGAAGATGACATCTGGTTTTACTTCTCAGACTCCCTCAACTGGTGTAGTATCGAGGTTTACACAGGTGAGTACTCAACAGAATTCCTCCTTAGATCCTTCGACAGATCTTGAACTAATCCATAATTTTTAACCACCAGCCATCATCTGCCGTTCTGCATCGACCTTCTGAGTAATGCTGAGGACGTACTTACCCCGCCTCTGGGGAAGCTCTCGAGGCAACTTTTCTGGACAAAGCAAATATCCATACGGCCACTCAAAGAGTGGCAACTTCGCACTTCGATCGTACGGACAGGGAGATGGGCATCCGCGCGAGAAGAAGCAAAGCATGCGCGACGCCACTATCCTCGATAGCCAGAGCGAAGAGGCAATAGTGCCGAAGCCGGATTATTCGAGAACAGTCCTTGCAGGGAACCGTATTACGGGACGATGAATCTTGTCGGCTTGCCTTATAATAGCGCCAATACAGGATGCACAGGCGGTACACCCACATAAATGATGGAACCAGTACAGGTCTGAGGTCTCTTTTGATATATCAATTTCCTCCACCACTCCACAGAGGTCCCCCTGATCCCCAAACAGTAGTGGACAACACTATATATCAATTTCTACCAGTTAGATCCCCTCACGGTCAACACGAGGCTAGTAGTAGATCTAGAATCAAATACAATTTTTATAGAAATTCAGGTCTTACCTGACGGGTCAGCTGATTTCGGCCCAGGGTGGCTAGCGTGCGGCTGGAATGGAGGAATTCGAGACCTTCCATAACATTGACAATGACCAAACTCCCCATTTTCACGACTATTCGAGCCATATTTCCATTCTACAACCTCTCTGTGAGGACCTTGAGTCATTATTTTGGTCATTCTTACCCCCCAAAATTTCATCATGTCTGGAATGTTTCTCAACTTCGGTAAGAAGAGGTCAGCCTCGCCGCCAAAGCTGCATGACATTGGCAATGAGCTTTTCACACACGACGATATCCACGACATGTTTCTGTCCATGGTCAACGCGCAGATCGACCACGTCCTGTCCGATCCGCCGGCCCCAAACGCCAAGTTCACCGAAGCCGACCAAGGCGAGCTGGCCAAACTCGTGCAGGAGCAGATGAAGCGCGCCATCGACACCCGCAAGCGGGCGGTGCGGCAAGAAAGGCGAACCAATGTCTACACGCTGCTCAGCCGAGAATCGCTGGAGACATATCGTCAGATCAACTCGGCAGTAGTGATGATCGATCTCGGCGCTTGGCGCGGGGTTCACGTTCACCGTCATCTTTTCGGACGTGTCTGAGCCAAATACGGCGGTGGTATCGAAGGAACACGTCAAAACGTCTTTGGCTGTGGCGTGGTTGCTTTTTGTGCTTGCAATCTTGCGGGCGAGCTTTGTGAATTCTGTTCAGGCAATGCGGGAGGGCGCTGTCATCCATGCGCTCTTCAAATGGCGCATTCTCCGAGGTGGTTTTCTGCTGGGGGCATTCGTGGCTTCCGCTGAAGTGATTAGGGCGTACCAGTCGGCTGTCGCTATTACGGCTTTTGTTGTTATTGGGGCGATCGCGATTTTTGGGTTATATTCTAGTCTGAGAGCAAAGTGGTTGTATCGCAAGACTCTCAGGGAAACCCAGACCCGTTGATGAATTCAACTCCCTTGCAAATTGACTTGCAAGACCTGATTATGAGGATACTGGTTCTTGTTTACAAGAATTCAGGTGCGGTAAGCAATAATGGTATAAGATATACAGATATGCTAGATGTTGTAGCCATTTACAGAAGAGGACTAAGGTATAGCGTCATCGCCTTCTTTTTCTTGCGAATCATGGACATTGCTGCCCCGCTTCCTAGCAATTGGCCAAGTCCCTACCTGTGTACATGAGAATGAATGAGCTTTCCCTCGCCTACCTCCTCCTTCTCTCGCAAAAAATCGGACCAATTGACGCAAGGGTTATGGTCATCTCTTATCTCACAACCATACTCGTTAGAAAAGGTGTCCGCCTCCAGAAGCCCAAGTCAAGCGCTTAGGAGATCCGTCTGCTGAAATCCGCCAACATCAGAGAACTAGACATGACAGAACCAAATCCTGCTGATGGTGATGATGGAGGCAAGCTCAGGTCGGCAATTCTTTCTGATTACGACCTCAACAGTCCCATCTCGGCAGACCAAGGTGGGTTGCGATCGAACCTACCCGGATATGGCGATGTCCATTTCAGCCTGTTCCTCTGGAAAGTCTTCATCAATGCGCTAGGCTACACCGACGAGTCTTTAAGCAAACCCATTATCAGCATCATCAACACTTTCTCTTCCTTCAATCCATACCATAGTCAAGTCCCTCAACTCATCAAATCTGCGAAGCGCGGGATTCTGCTAGCTGGTGGTCTACCTATGGAATTCCCTACCATCAGCATCCACGAAAGTTTCTCCAACCTGACCAGTATAAATCTCAGAAATCTCATGAGCATGGGTACTGAGGAAATAGTCAAGGTGCAACTAGTAGACATGGTGGTGATGATTGGGGGTTGCGATAAGACTGTTCTAGCGCAGCTCATAGGCGGAATCTCTACCAACGTTCCCTTCTTACCTCTGTTAACTAGGCTGATAATACCTGGATCTGTAAAAGGGATTAGAGTCAGAGCTTGTATAGACTACAGAAATAGCTGGGATAAGTTTTGTGTAGACGAGGTCGACATTGAGGACATCATGGATATCAATAAAGAACTTACGCCAACGGCCAGGATAAGTAGTGTTATGGGAACTGCGAGCACTATAGCATATATTACTGCTGCTCTAGGTCTTATTAATCTTAAAGCTAGTACTATAAGCCCTACAGTGTCTTCGATGAAGCTATGTGTAGCTGAGGAAATGGGTAAGAATGCAGTAGTAATCCTCTAAGATAAAGGGGGGTTTAGGCCCTAGGGTCTCCTTGTGTATGAGAATTTCTTAAATACTATAATTGTACTGTAGGCTATTAGAGGGAGTACTAATACTATCGTGCATCTCATGGCTTTGGTCAATTGGCATCTAACTGTTAGGGGTCGAATTACAATTTAAATGTTTGATGAAATAAGTAGAAAGACTCCCCTACTTGTCGATTTGAAGCCTAGCGGCGAAAACTATATAACTGATTTCCATAACCCAGGAGGCATGTTAGCTCTCATGCATATACTCCGGCCTCTCCTCTACCTTAATGTGTAGGTATATAGGTTAGACACTTGGAGAATTACTTGACTAAACACCTTTCCACCTATTCGGCTATTCCAGGTATATTGTATAGTTGTTGGATGATCTTATCCATCTATCTTCTAGTTTAGTTGTCCTGTGTGGCAATCTGGTGCCCTAAGGAGTGGTGATGAAAGCTAGTGCGTTGAAAGACACTCGCCTGCTTCAGCATTGCGGCAAGGTATGCGTGTTTAAAAACAGCAGAGACCTCGCCTTGCGCATTGACTTGGATGACCTGGACGTTATGGAAGATTCGGTTCTGGTATTGCAGGGTATTGGGCTGGTGGGGAACCCTGGCATGCCAGAAGCTGGGCTTATCCCCATCCCCTGGAAGCTCGCTAAGAAGGGAGTCACGGATATGCTTAGAATTAGTGATGGAAGGATGAGCGGTATAGCTGGAGGCATAATTGTGCTATATATTTCGCCTGAGTTGGTGGACCCTGACTCAGTCTTTGGCATCGTTCAAGATGGCGACTTCATCTCTTGCAATGTAGCCGAGAGGCTGCTTCAGTTGGAAGTCGAAGAGAGCAAGGTTAAAAAGAGAATAGAAAATAGGAAGAAGAACTTGGCGGGAGGCAAAGGCCGAGATTCTTGGCAAGCGAGAAAAACCCAGCGCGGATACCTAGGGCTTTACGAAAGGAACGCTAACCAAGCCGAAAAGGGGTGCGACTTTGACTTTTTAACTGCATATCCAGAAGCATCAGTAGATACTATTTAGATATTTAGAATAAAAAAAAAAAGTGTTGCATGGTCTACGGCTCATGTCAGAACCTTGGAGCTCAGGCCACTAACGCTAATCCTGGGTGTAGTTTGGCAAGTACTGAGGAACGAGTACCTCCAAAGCCAGGCTGTCGGTCGCTGAGCGCGTTTGGGATATCGGGACTGATTGCGCAATAGCCCAATCAACATTAGAACAGTGCCACACATAAACTGGCTTTCAATATTGTTACCGGGTTCGAGAAGCCAAAGCAATCTACGCATTGGGATCGTGATCCAAGGGTCCAGCTATGGACGAGATGAAGCAGCACCAATGCCCGGCTCGGCCATCTTGTTCTCAAGCTGCTAGAATTATTGATTTAAAAAATGAAATGAAATAAAAAAAGAGGGAGGGAGGGAAAGCGGGAGAATTAGTCTAATAACGCGAAGGGGACCCAATGCTATATAGGTATGGGGGAATGCAATACACCTTTGTTTCTTGACAACCAGTCATGGGCACCTCGTCGCCCAATGGGCAATTCGGCACTCAAACCCAATAGTAGTCAGGCCAAGTCGGCATATCAGCTCAGGGGAGGGTGAAAAGGGTCTTTGTTTTTCGAATTTTGCCTGGTATTGTGATGCGCTCCTAGCCGTCCATCACTCTACTTTCCTGCGCAGGGGTTGTTACTGGTTGCTAATATCGCCAAGACTGTTCTCAATATCCATCATCCACGCAATCTCCTCACAAAGAATCCCTGCCTCTTCCTCAGAAAGATCTTGCATTGGCTCCCTCGGCTTCCCACCGTACCCGTAAAACTTGTCCAAGATCGCCTTGAATCCCGGAATCGCCCGCTTCGTCAGTGACCAATCGGCCCTCGCAAGATCCTGCTGAGCCTTCATCGCCTCCTTGGACATTCCGGCCACCGCGAGGTTATACACATTCACGCAGGCCCTAGGGAATACATTTGCTGCCCCTACTATTGCACCGCTGCCGCCGACCCAAACGGACGAGGAAATGAAATCCGCGACGCCGGCGAAAGAGAAATATAGGGACGACGACGCCTCAGCCTCGCGCTTGAGAAAGAGCTCCGATACGGATTGAGTTACGCTGGCGACACGAGCGAGCTTCCCGACGTTTCCGCAGGTGAATTTCGTACCAACTATATTTGGATGTTCCGCCAGCCTGGTGAGAGTATCCGAATCAATGTCAATTCCCGACACGGCGCCCGGGTAATTGTAGATGATAACAGGTAGAGGGCTCCCGTCGGCGACTTTGGTAAAGTAGCGCTCGATCGTCGGCGTATCCATCGCCCATTTGAAGAATGACGGTACCATGAGTAGCACGGCATCGCCTCCCTCCCTTGCAGCAGCTTCACATAGCCTCAGAGTACCTCTGACGGATTGATCTGATGCTCCGACAATGAGGCATGTTTTGGTGAAGCCTGCGGCATCGAGAGCATTGCGAGTGACGCGGGTAACTTGAGCCCGCTCTTCGGGAGTGAGGTAGACGGCTTCGCCGTTTGAACCATTCGTGACGATCCCCACCACGCCAGCGCGTGCCAGACGGACGGCGTGCTTTGCGATGGTGTCCGTGTCGAGGTCTTGGGTCTCGGGGTGGTAAAAGACCTGTGTAGGTGCGTATATACCGGGGAGGAGCTGTTGAGGCATGGTCGAGGTTCAGGATATGAGATGATGACGATTGAATTGCGAGTGTAATGCTTGTAGTTGCTGAGCTTCACCTCAGTGAAAGATCCTGAAAATCGCGGTAAACTTGTGTAGGAGCAAAACTGGCAAACAGCTTCCCTTCTCTCGGAAAGCTCCTGAGCTCTGAAGCCTCCTAACCTTTCGAAGCTCCGTGAGGGGCCTTTGGCCTGGGTGCCTCATCCGCTTACCCCCAAGCCGGTGGCAACCCTCGGCCATGATCCTGCATAGAACTATGTTCATCGTATGATGGAAGTGGAGCGTGCTTCCACGGGGCATTAAACCGTCATTCGGCTCTAAATCTAGCAGACCGGCCCACATTCACCTACTTCGTAGATGGGGCTCCATGGGGAAAAGCGGCAAAGTTGGCACATCGCCAAGACTAAATTTCGACCAGCTAGCGGGGGTAGGCGGCAGGACTTCCGGACACCAAAAGACCCTGGAAACGGCCCCCTCCCACATTTTGCTAGCTTTTCCAAATCGGGAATTCGGCGATGACCTCCACTTGGTTTACTTTCCCTGGCGGAGCAGGAACGAATACCCAGTAACCCCCGTTCCCCGTTTTGATTACCACGCGGGGGGAGGTGGGAATGAGAGATCCCGGTAGCCTACCCCAGTATCGACTTCTGTTAGCTCATGAGTCTAGATCCAGATAATCAGGTCTCTTTATGAGAGATGCACTTCGTCCTTAGTTTGACCGGTGGAGCCTTCGCTTTCCAAGGCTTGTAATCCGGTACCCCAGAGCAACCCTTATGGCTTTGGAGCTTATCCTTCAACGGATGTTCCGACCCGGTGGATTCTCTGGACAACAGCTTAAATTTGGCAAGCTTGCTGCTTTTAAACCTACTCTTCTTGTCACTGTCATAAACGTTGCGTCGTGTGTCCCGGAGAAGCCATCACCCTCAGTGACCTCTAATCCTCCAGACGGCCTTTACAACATTGATTCCTTTTCATTTTCAAATTCACATCCACCTCCCCCTTTCCCATTCTTAAAATAGTTACAGCCAAGATGACGGTGCCAGGCCCCACGGTCGAAGATGTCAAGATTGTTGACTTCAAGGTATTCGACCTTCGCTTCCCGACAAGCTTGAACGGTGTCGGCTCCGACGCGATGCACGTCGGCACCAATGGATCCCAACCTTATATCCAGCTCATCACAGACCGTCCCGGCCTCATAGGGGAGGGGATTGTACGTTTTTGCTAGAATCCCATTTCACCTGACGTTCCCCAAAGTCCCGGGACTAACAAAATCATGTCTTCAACGAACAGGCGTTCAGCAACGGCCGAGGCAACGAGCTTATCTGCATGTGCCTCGAAACCTTTGCCAAGCGTGTCGTCGGTAAGACTATGCACGAGCTCACCCGCAACATGGGCAAGACCTGGCGTTACATGGTTTCCGATTCCCAATACCGGTGGGTCGGTCCCGAAAAGAGCGTAACCCACCTCTCCATGGCTGGAGTCATGAACGGCGTGTGGGACCTCTGGGGCAAGATTCTTCGCAAGCCCGTGTGGCAGATTGTCTGTGACATGTCACCCGAAGAGATAGTGCGGTGCATTGACTTCCGGTACATCACCGATGTCATCACCCCTGAGGAAGCTGTCGAGATGCTGAAGAAGGCGCAGGTGGGGAAGGAGCAGAGGTTGGCGGAAGCGTTTGGGAACGTCGCCGTTCCCGCATACTCGACCAGCCCCGGCTGGATGGCGCTGTCGGGAGATAAGATGCGAGAGGTGCTAGATGAGGAGATTAAGATGGGGTATAAGGTTTTTAAGTTCAAGGTCGGGTCGGGTGTGGAGGCGGATAGAGCCAAGTTGGCGACTGTGCGGTCGGTGATAGGGTATGATAAGGGGTTTCAGTTGATGATTGATGCAAATCAGGTACGTTTCTGAGTTTTCCCGTATTGAAGATGAACTGATATTAATATAGCTGGAGTAGGTATGGAGCGTTCCCGAAGCTATCGAGTACATGAAGCAGCTGGTCGAGTTTCAGCCGGTATTCATTGAGGGTAAGGGAGTGGATATTGAGGAACCCAATCAGCGGAAATGCAGTAGCTGACTTTTATACGATTAACAGAACCAACCAATCCTGACGATGTCCTTGGCCACGCTGCCATCCGGAAGGCTCTCAAGCCTTTCGGCGTTGGTGTCGCAACTGGAGAGGCAGCCCAGAATCGCGTCACATTCAAGCAACTTCTTCAGGCTGACGCCATTGACGTCTGCCAAATCGATGCTGTCAGACTTGGAAGTGTTAACGAATGCTTGGTAAGGACTTCGGATAGCGCAGACTTGGAAAGCCAACCCACCTAGAGCCTCCAGCACACTAACGGTATCCTAATGCAGGCCGTCATGCTCATGGCCTCCAAGTTCGACGTCCCCTGTGTTCCACATAATGGCGCCATGGGCCTTACCGAGCTTACTTCGCATCTCAGCCTTATCGACTACGTGGCGATCACCGGCCGCAAGTCCATGCTTGAGTATGCCGACAGCTTCCGTGAAAACCTTCGCCATCCAAGTAGGATCATCGATGCTCATTACGAAACTCCTCTGGCTCCCGGATACTCTATTGGGTACACTGACGAGGCGTTGGAGAGGTACATATATCCTACTGGGAGCTTTTGGAAGTCTGAGGCTGGTTTGAATATTATCAATCAGCCTACCGGCGGGGAGCTATAGGGAGGATGTTTTAGAAGATACTTCGTACACAGGACAGATTCAACGCGTGTATCATTGCAACTTCTAGACTTGTTGTTTCATTATGATATTGGGAATAATTTACAGAGTATTAGATACATGACAAGATTCTTTGCTTTCTCTGCATGTCTTCTAGGATTGTGACGACTGTGCCTAGACTGGAGATCGCCCAGGGCCGTATGTTTTGAATGGCCAAAGTTTGTAATTCATCAATGTCTGGAACTAGGTGCTTCAAGACTGGACTAAACGACGAAAGAGTCAGGACAATGACGGCGCCGAGGGATCTACACTTCCCGCATTAGCGTTCTTCGATTTTTGTGTCTGTAATATCTTGTTACTCGTGCGAGTGAAACTTACGACAGAGAAAACGTCCACGTGTACGGGCTTGGTTTTTTGAGGACAACCGTTGCATGCTGCAGATACAACCGACAGCTTTCGATACTCAGCGCCGCCTTTTCTATGATTGACTCCGGATGCGGCCCGGGATTCATGGAAATATTCAGCACAAATGGACGATAGATGATGTGCCGCGCAGCAAAGTAACGAATCCTCAAAACCGCCTCACGATCATTCGCTGCCGGACCCACGACCAAGGAGGGTCGATAGGCCTCTGGTATGGACGCGTACCACAAATTGAGCTGCCTTTGGAGCTCGTCACATACGCCCATCATGGAAGATATCTCTTGAGTCGAAAACTCTTCGGGCGCCATCAGGGATGTGGATGACAGAGTTAGGTCGTACCTCTTTCGGCTAGGGTAGAGGGAATTATGGATACGATTTAGGAGCCGGCGGATGGAAGTTTCGGCCAAGAAGCAGGTGTGTATCATCCCGCCGAGGTTACTGCAGGAGGGCAATGGCGTCTCGTCGATCAGCTGTTGCAAGCCGCTCCGAGGAAGTTCGAGCTCGGCGAGACGGTCGCATTCGACGAGAAATGAGGACCAGACTAACCGGAGGGTGCTTTCACGGGATTCGGCGCTTTCATTACGGGCATCAAAACTAGATTATAATGTTAGCTCCCATCCCGGGAGCGAAAAAGAAAGGAAAGAAAAAAAAATTAAAGCGAGGGCATCACAAGGAGAAAATCCGGCGTACCCTGACAGCTTGAACTGTAGAAAGGTACAAGCTGAATGGATCAACCTCCAACTTTGCAGTGGCCTAACGATGTAGGCAAAATAAATGCTCGCGAGCACTAAAGTTTGGGCTAAAGGAACACTGTACGAAACCGACCAAGACGATAGCGATAGCAATGTCGGCATGGCATGCTGCATGAATTCCATTCCGGGAGGCGACGCAGAGAAGTCCCTCGTCTCAGGTGACACCATCGAAGCTGCGCCGACGGCGAGGACGGAGAGGCACATGGCAGACTCGACGCTCGAATCTACACCACGATCAAGGAATGCGAGATATATCCTGCGGAATGACTCCTCGTCTAGAACCGGGTGGTTGGCGTGTGCCGTGGCGAAGAAGCTGTCGACGAGGCAGTCGGCGGTTTCCCGATCAACGCGGATCGGTGGCGCTGGAGAAGGAAGAGATTCGAAGGACAATTGGGGTGGGAGCGGATTCTTCGATTCGAGGAGGAAGAATAGGTCATTTGGGTAGTCACCCACAAGGGCTTTCATGGCTGGAAGGCCCAGAAGGTAGCTAGACGAAGTCTTGTGTTTGTGTGGGATCTCAAGGGGAGGTAGTGCGGAGACGTCTGGCTGTCGGTCGCAGGCCTGGGAGGGCCATGGCGTAAGTGGAACATTGAGGCGGTTGCCGACCCCAGGTACGGAGGAGGTGTGGCTGTTTGGCGAAGTGCCTTGAACATCTTCTTGAGCGGCTCGAAGTTGAAGTTCGGATGATAGGGCGTCCACGGCACGGGTGTGGAGGTCTAGTGCGGACTCAATGTGTCGAAGTTTATGCAGGATCTCTCTCGTGCCTCCAGATGTATCAATCCTAAATACAAAATATCTTGATGGTTGATATCTACCGTCTCTGGCTCGTAGAATGTACTGGAAATGTCTTGCACATACCTCTGGGAGGGCATCTCATCATAGTGACACTCCACCTCGGCCTCCAGACAATTCCTGCATCTTGGCTTTCCAGCATCGCAGCGGCGTTTCCTTAGGGTTTCAAGTTAGCACTAGAGAGAGGGCAGGGGCATTGAACAATACACCCAATCCAAAAAGACCCGGTTACCCGCCGAGTGGGGATCGCTTACCGGTGACGGCAAAACGAGCAAGCCAGAGCTACTCTTTTCCGATTAAAGCTCATGGCTACAAGTCTTCTGCAGCGACTGAAGATAAGAGATAGTGAGATGCAAGGTCTCAGGCGGCAAGAGAAGCCGTCGGGGGGAGGAGGAAGAGAAACCTGGGGCGTTGGGGGATGCAGGATCTGGGGGGTTACATGTAAATCTGCATTGATTCGGTTAGGTTCACCCGAACCCGCATTTGGTTAGAGCTGGACCTAAGCTAGACCCTCCTGAGTCCTGACCGCCCCGATTTACACTCCCACGGTGTGTGCGGGTCTACAATGAATCTAGTGCCATCAGCCGATGATTGGGGGGCGAGTCTGTAGACGCAATTTTTCGTATCCCTTGTGCTAGTTATAACCTCTCGAACCATGTTAAAAATTGTACATAGAATACGGAAGACAAGCTTGAAAAGCCCTGGGTATTGATATCTGGTTGCCGGGCTTTTGTACCGGACTTATGGAGAAGAAAAACTCGAAATTAAAAAGAAAACCTTGTTGGCTCGGTCTGCCCCTCTGAGAACGAAAAGTGGAGCTGGGTGGTCATAAACTATTCCGACCTTAATTTCCTATTCCATGGGTCATTTAGACACGCCCTTCAACATGCTCAGAGCTCTCACTCTGCTTGCCTTCAGCAGCTTCGGCAATCCTTCGCTCTTCAGCCTCGATGAAGGCAAGAGGTCTTTCACGCTGCGTAAGATCAGGCTTGCCACAGACGAAGATGGAGGGGTTCTGGATGAAAATCTGGTCCATATCCTCCAGGGTTCGACGAGTGGTCTCTGGGTAAAGGAGGTAGACAACAGGGAAGTACGCCCAGCAGATGACAGCGAAGACTACTGCAGTTAGACACAAATACTATTCTGCTTCCTTTCCTTAGAGAATCTTATTCCGAGGGAGGGGACAACTTACTAAGATAGAATCCCCATTTGAGGTTGTCGACGCCAACTTTGGTGAACTGTGTGACAATAAAGCCGCCCATCCAGTTGGTGGCTGTGGCCGCCGCCGCACCCCTAGTTCGCCAGCCGATGGAGTTGATTTCGGAGTTATAGACCCAAGCGACCTTGGCGAAACTAGTTCCGTAGAAGAAGTAGTAGAGGAAGAACATTGCTGTTACAACTCGGCCCAGCTGTGATGGTGTTAGCATTGTAAGCCTATCATAGGATGCGTGCTTTCAGTGAAAGGGCACCCACAGTTGCCTCCTTAGATTCATCGCTCTGGGCAGCCTTGAGACAGAGAGATGCAATAAGATAACAAGAGCCCATTGTAGAAGCACCGTACAGCATCATCCTGGAATGTAGCGGTTAGTACCATATCTACCTTCAGGAAGTCTCTCAGCAATGCGGTTTCACTTACTTGCGGCGGCCAAAGTTGTCAATAAGGAGCAAACAGCAGAATGCAGCACCTAGGTAAATGGTTCCATTAACGCCAGTCAAGAGTCGGCTTGTCTGCTCATCATAGCCAACGCTCTGCTGGAGAAGGGTAGGAAGGTAGTATCCGAGAGCGTTCACACCGCTGAATTGCTGCATAAACTGGGTACCGCAAGAGAGCAACAATCGGCGGAAGGTCTGCGTCTTGTCTCGGCCCCGGAGAACATCCGTGACCGGGACCCGATCCTTCCTTTCGAGCTCGATAGTACCTTGAATGGAGAGGAACTCGGCCGAAACTTCCGGATGATCAAGGGGCGTGTCCTTTCCATGAAGACGAGCAATTACCTTGCGAGCGGCTTCATGGCGGTCCTTGAGCATAAGCCACCTAGGAGATTCTGGGACGCATAAGAGGGCGGACGCAACGACGATGGGGAAAAGAAGCTGAAATCCAAGGGGGAACCGCCATTGCAGGGGCCCGGAATGGAAAAAGAGTCCATAGTTCATCCAATTCGCGAGGCAAAAGGCGGCAGTGTTGCAGAGAGAGCCGACAACGACGAGCTTGCCTCGGATGCGAGGCTTGGAGCATTCGGCTTGAAATACCGGGCATGTGGACGAAGAGACGCCTATGTAGGTCGGGATTACAAGTATTAGTATGCTTTCGCGACGATGAAATTCACAGATGGTAGTCGAGGCTATAAGAAACTAGCTTACCCATTCCGAATCCGTTGATTATTCGGCCGATAATCATCTGGGGGAGGTGCCAGGAAACGATCTGTAGAAGGGCGCCGATGAAGTTGGTCGTCAATCCCACCGCGATTGTCTTGCGCCTTCCGAGTTTATCTCCCAGCGTAAAGGCAAAAATGGCCCCGAAAAAGGCTCCAAGCTAATGAGGATAGGGCCAATTAGCGAGATGATCGTTGCGAAGCCCACTCTGGGGCAAAGGTGTTGGACTGTGCTACTACTTACAGCGAAGCAGCTGGACGTGATACCCGATACATTCGCCTTGCTTGTCTCTGGGAACCATTTTTTAAAGTCCTTGGAGATCAGGACGCCCGAGAACACTCCCTGATCGTAACCGAACCATGACATGGAAGCTAAGAAGAGTTGAGAAGTTAGTCGGGCACTCAACAGGTTGTTGTGGAGACCTGGTGCTCGCAGGGCATGAAATTTGAAACGTACTGGCATTCACCAAGGTAATGAGCACGATCAGGGCCGTGCCGCTGAAGCGTTCGCTGAGCCTGAGCATGGTGGCAATTGCGGCTAATAGAAGAGATGTGCCCTTGCGAATGGATGCTTGGGAAGGAATTTGAAAGAACAATGTGTAAATGGGAGTTCCCGATAAACCCTTATTCCGTCAGGCGTTGAGAGCGCTCCGAGGGAAACGTACAGACTCGACGAATATATATATTCGTATGTCCAACAACAACGCTTCTCACAGGCGATGTGATGGTGTTGACAGGGATTTGCCTCAGTTTCGCCTTCCTGACAGGAGACACCTGCGTGAGACTAGTGTAGAACAAGGAGTATTCGAGCCCTTTCCTCATTGGACTTGAATGTTAGCTAAATCGAGCATCGGATGAGACCCCACGGGGCCCGTATGCGGAGATGGAGTGTATGGAGAAAGATGGGGAGTGGCACCCTGAGCGCGGGGACGGAAATTAGGGGTCTGGAGGTGGATGAGCTGCCCCATGCATTATTTCACGATTATCGATCGACTTGTGGTTGTGTGAGGTGCGGAGAAGTGAAGAACGTACGTCTGTCTCCCCTTAGCTTCTGTCATTGACCATTCGAGCGAGGAAAAATTAATTCTCAGAGCCGAGGGTTCGCCAAGACCCCGGATCGACAGCTTTAGCATCCTCCTCGTTTCCCTTGGGTCTAGTTACTAGTACGAAGGCTGCCGGTCGCACGCTAGTGTTCATTATGGGGATCGAGTTAGTCCCAATCTGCCTACTCCGTACAGTGTCTGGTAGATCGGGTCTTCGAGCACATCTGCCGGTTCATGAGTGGCTGTAAGAAAAAGAGACTAGCAGGGGATGCGGGGATGAACGGCAGGTTGAGCCGCATGCCGATTATCCCACGTACATACCAAGACAGCAAGACAGCAAGACAGTAAGACAGGGGTGGTTCCTTGGCTGACCTGACCGAGAAAGCCAAGGGTATCGGCGGCAGCAGAAGCCGAGGGGAAGGAACTCGTGTAGGGAAAGAACCCAAGGCCAACTCCGCTCCTCCATTTTCAATTGACATCATTGACATCGAAAACCACCACGTTCGGGGATAGCCGTCGCGTATCTGCGGAAGCCTACCCTCTCACAACCAGCATCGAGGTTTCCCATGCCGTCAAGTTTCAACGTTTATGGCCGGCCCAAAAGAGATTAATATTAGAGTGATCTCTACGTCCACCATCGACAGCTCGTTTCTGGTCTTACCTCCGAACAGCCTCGCACCACCTTCGCCCAATAGTCCAAGTTTCCCTTTTTTTCGTGTTTACTTCGTCTCGGGATTTCTCAAAAAGCATCAAGTCTTTCGGCCCTCCTTTGTCGGCGAAACCTAACCCCTCCGAGAACATCGAAAACCGCCACGATGACCACCAGCTCGTAGGTAGTAACCTAGACACCAGAAATCTATTACCACTCTCCCTCCGATATGATAAAAATTTAATTGCCACCCAGCCACTAACTATACTAGCAAAAAACCAATTCTCGTCACAGGTGCCACTGGATTCATTGGAGCTCACATCGTTGATAATCTCCTCTCCCGTGGCCTGAAGGTGCGAGGTACTACACGATCACTGGCCAAAGGTCAGACCATGATCAACGCACGACCACAGTATAAGGGCCATCTCGAGTTCATACAAATTCCCGACTTTGAAAAGTCTGCCGATTTTACTAGTGCCGTTGACGGTGTAGGCGCTATCATCCACACAGCAAGCGTATGCATCCATCCCCCTTACTCCCGTACACCCTACGCATAATAGACTAACATGGTATATATATAAACAGCCGTTGAATTATGCTGCCAAGGACAACGAAAAGGAGCTTGTTCTCCCAGCCATCCGTGGTGTTCGTGCTATCCTACAGGCAGCAGCGACGAACCCTGAAATTACACGCGTGGTCATCACATCTTCCTTTGCTTCAGTACTTGATACTAATCGCAAGGCCCCTTCATACTTTACTTACACTGGGGCAGATTGGAACCCCATAACCTACAAAGAGTCTATTGACAGCTCTACCCCTGCCTTTATTTCTTACCGTGGTTCTAAGAAGTTTGCTGAGCTTGAGGCTTGGAGCTTTGTCAAAGAGAACACGAAGAAACCGACTTTTGACATTGTTACACTCTGCCCTCCTATGACGTTTGGCCCGATTGTACATCCCATCAACAGTGTCGATGATCTAAACGAGTCTAACGCCAACCTGTGGAGTATCGCTAAGGGCATCAAGCCCCTCCCAGTGTCACGAGTTCCTTTCTGGATCGATGTTCGGGATTTAGCCCAGGCTCACGTCGAAGCACTGCTACGACCTGAGGTTGGAGGAAGACGATATACACTAGCATCGCCAGAGCGGTTCTCGTATGAGAAGGCTGCGCAGATTATGGTGGATTGCTGTGTAGCCTTAAAGGGTGTGGAGTTTGAGAAGCAGGTTATTGATGAGTCGTACGGTCTGGATGGCGAGACGGCGGCGAAGGAGCTTGGTATTGAGTATCATTCTTTCCGGGAAACTGTAACCGATTTAATCTCTGGCTTGATTGGTAGTGGCAAATAGCTGAAAATGGGAAAAAAAGAGAAAAAAAATTGTTTCGGTAGTAAATGGTGTTAGAGTCTGTCTAAGGGGTAAGCGATCGTCTGACTAGAATCCCGAGATGGCTCGTGCCGTTCAACCCGATTTCCCAAGATTGTCGCCTCCAAGGTCCCCACATACTCTAGAAAATCTAAGTATGCATGTGCAGATATAACGGCAATAGTCTACTCTCAGACGCGGGAGTGATCCGCACATCTCCATCGTAAAAACTAACTGGAAGGCACAACGCTAAGCCTTCTCCCTACAGACAGTTAAGGTAGCCCAAGAGACCAGCGCGGAAACACGGCATATTCAGAGTCGTATGCTCCCGCCCCATGAACGGCCCTTGGCGTGAGAGGAGGCAGTATGATCAGATCTACACCGCGCTAACGCACAGCGGCGGCCACTTATACCCGCATGACAATCGGGGGTAGTCGGGCCGCCACTACATTCCCTGTTCCCCGCATAAAGAAGACCCGAAAGAACTTTCGTGAATACACCCGACTAGTGGATATTTTCCGTCGGAGCTTGGACGCAAAATCTTGGGATTTGGTCGATAAAGAGAAGTTCTGTTCGTCTCCCCCGAAAATTATATCTGGGAAGGCACGTTGTCATCACGAGAAGGGACAGCCCGAAAACGGTGGGCTCAGAGGCTCATTTCAAAAGAGAGAACTTCCTTTGCTGGCTTCCCAAAGATGTATCCTGACACCTTTGAAGGTTTTGCCGTTTATTCGGCTGACAAGTGGAATCAGCCAAAGCGGTTTGAGGTGAGCTGTGAAATTTTACATACGGACATACTAAGGTGCTGACGTGACATCTAGTTTAAACCAAAGCCCTTTGGCGATCGGGATATCGATGTCAAGATCATTGCTTGCGGAGTCTGCGGTTCCGACGTCCACACTGTCACTGGAGGGTGGGGAAACAAAAACTGGCCCATCATCCCTGGACATGGTAAGATCACAACTAGGAACTCCGCTGCGAAATCTTGATCTAACAAAGGCTACCACCTAGAAATAATCGGCGAAGCCGTGCGTGTAGGGCCACAGGTCACTACCGTAAAGGTCGGTGACCGTGTCGGCGTTGGAGCTCAGATCTATGCCTGCCTCGACTGCGATACCTGCAAAGAGGGCAACGAGACCTACTGCAAACAGCAACTCGATACCTATGGAGCCGTGTACCCCGACGGCACTCTCGCACAGGGCGGTTACTCTTCTCATATACGTTCACACGAGCACTTCACCTTCCCCATCCCAGAGGGCCTTCAGACTGAGCTTGCGGCGCCTATGCTTTGCGCTGGATTAACTGCCTATTCTCCGCTTGTGCGAAACGAAGTCGGTCCCGGAAAGAAGGTCGGAATTGTTGGAATGTAAGGCCTTCCCCCCCCCCCCCCCCCCCCCCCCCCCCCCGCCGGAGGACGGAGTCCTAACCACTCATCGTGCTCCTGTATTATAGCGGGGGCATTGGCCACTTTGGCATCCTATTCAGCAAGGCCCTCGGCGCCGAAACATGGGCCATCTCCCGTACCGACCGCAAAAAGGATGACGTCCTCGCCATGGGCGCCGACGGCTTCCTCGAGACCCGCACTGAGGGGTGGAACGAACCCCACGAGATGACATTTGATGTTATTCTATCCACGGCTAGCGGTGATGACGGCTTCGACCTGAGCCCGTACCTTTCTCTGCTCCGGGTCCACGGCAAATTTGTTGCCGTCGGCCTCCCCGAGGGCGAGGGCTGGAAAGTGAGGCCTCAGAGCCTGCTTGGTAATGGTTGCTTCATAGGAAGTAGCCATCTTGGTAGCCGAGAGGAGACCTTGGATATGCTGAAGTTGGCGGCTGAGAAGGGGATTAAGAGCTGGGTTGAGACAATTCCAATTGGTGAGGAGGGGTGTGGTAAGGCTTGTAGGTGTTTTACCATTTCTTTTCATTTCTAGTTCTTCACGAAGGTGGCGTTAACATATGATATTTAGTGGAGCGTGTGCATAACAACGACGTCAAGTATAGGTTCACTTTGACAGACTATGACAAGCAGTTCAAGTATTAGGTGGCCAGGCCAAGGTGGGTTTGTGGAATCGGACGGAGGCTACCGCGTTGGGGAGGAACGGTATGGATGGAAATATATACGGCGCTGGGGACATAGACTTAGACTACTTGGAATCTGAATTTCAACCGATGTAGCGAGACTGGTTACTACGGCATCGGGCTTGGTATTGAATCCGAATATGCTCAGGTCGTGATCTTACAGTAGTGCCGAGATAGATACTCCATTGCAAGACTAGGTGTGTTGGTTTCCTTCTTCCTGTTCTTCTTTTCTTTTGAAAATTCCGCCAGTGGCGAAATTTCAGGTGGTGGGATGCGTTGGTGCATAGGGCAGTTGGTAGCATGTGGCAAGCGTGGCTCGTGGAATGTGGCAGTGGCTGCCACATGGCAAGCATGGCAAGCGGAGGCATGGAATAAAAGGGGAAGAATTTCAGTTAGACCAAGGAGGAATTAGGGACAGTTAGAAAGAGAATAGAAAAGAATAGCGATGTGAAGAAAAACGCCCTGGATTTATAGGCGACTATACTCCAAGCTGGAAGTAATAATAGTCTGAAGTGCTAAACTTGCGCCCTTTAAACCCTCCTTCGACGCCCTTGGGCTGGGAAGGTGTCTACTATTATCCGGCGCCACATGAGCCGATCCCATCTCTTAACAGACGCTTCAGTGACACTGGTCGACGCGTATGTCTACCTTCCGGTGATTCCAATCGAGTTGGTCTTGCTGACTGCCGCCATGCGCCTCTTCACTAACGTTGTACTCTCTAGTAACCAAGATTGCCTGCTTATTCGACCCAAAGCCGCCGTTTCTCATTCCCAGTTCCGCATCTGAGGATGTCCGCCTGGTAAGTTCGCGCGTCGAGCTGTTCTCTTCGACCTTATCATCGTCGCCAAGCCGCTCCGCGCCCCTGTAGGATTTCTTGGTGAAGAGGTTCGTCAACTGATGACTTCGCGAGTCCTGGTTCCCCGTGAGTTCGTTTCCACTCGGTCGGGTCTGTTTCGAATTGCCAGTCGAGGCGAGCGTGCCGTCTCGGAACTTCTTCCACAGGGCGCGGAGGGCGGGCATGTTGGACGCCAATATGGCAACTTCCATCTCCGCCGCCGACACGATGCAGATGTTGCCGACCTCCCAGAGGAAATCATCAGTCACAGTGAACCTGTGGATGACGATGAGCCGGAGACAAGAGACGAGAACCGAGGAGCCACCGGTTGTGATGACTGCTAAGACCTGGAGGCGGCGTTTTACCGATAGTTGGAGCGAGAGTACGGTGCTCAAGGGAAGAATGAAGATGGCAAAATCGACGACGATGAGCTTGGCGAGCAAGAAATGTTAGAAAGACCTCTAGTCTCGGCATTCTTCGGACAGACTAGTAGCACTTACCGCCGTGGCAGGCAGCCATAGAGAGACGCTAAAGGGCAAGCATACCACATCTGGATGCCGCTCGGGGTACCAGTAGGCTTCGATGGGGATGCACTGCAACGAATACAGAGCCCAGGTTCCGACAGTCACGAAGACATTGGCGCCCATCACACAGTATACACCCGTTCGGAATCTCTTGGACCGGGACAAGCGGAGGAAGAATAACAGGAAGCTCATTTTGATCCAGAAATGGAGGAAGAGATACCAGATCTCCTCCGCGAAAAGATACTGCTTCAGATTAGTACCATACGACACACGTCTTTGATGACAATTGTCATTATTTCGCACCTTTAGCATCCTACTCATTGCCCGGGGGTCCTCGGCTAAAACCTCTTCCTGTGGCCTTTAGAGAAAAATCAGCTTAGTCTGCATTAGTCGTCGCGGATCGGGGTTTACTCGTACAGCCCGGCGCCAGCGCTGATGAAGAGATAGAGAATCGCATGCTGGCCGGCATTGACGACCTGAATAGGCCCCGTTAGCTTCCATCACCACGCGACACCATCTCAAATAGGGAACAATTCGCACCACAATGATCACCATCGCCCAGTCATCCCACCCAAAGTTCTTTAGGATGGCGAACCTCGTCCATATGCGAGCGATGGCGCTCGCTTCGCCAAGGACGAAGAGAAGATTGATGACAAAATGCACGATCGGCTGGAGGTTTCTTGGAGAGCCCGCCATGGTTGAAAGGGATGGAGAGGAGAGGAGTTGAACACATCGACTTCCTCGGTTCGGGTTGAGTGATTGTGGACAGAGTTATAACATTGAGAGCTGCAAATGACGGCGACCTAGCCCTCCACGCACATTCGGGCGTCCAGCGCCTTCGTGTTGACATCTTGGGGGATTTTCTCGACCTCATTTCTAAGTTTTCCAGGATTTCGGGAAGTAGTTTAGCCCCTGTGTGACAGGTCTGGGTCATCCTGGTCTCGCCGCGGTAATACCCAGTCATTCCATCAGGGGATCGGTTTGTATGTACTCTCAGAAGTGATGCCCGGCCCTGGTCCGGAACTGCGGACGAACAGCCGGCCCTGATATGGTTACATCCCAGCATGGGCCCGTTTTCGGAGCCTACCCTACCCTTCCGGCCCCTGATACCATTGCAGTGGAGCAGTCTAGTCCTAACTAGTACCCACCTCGCTTGGCATGGTACTCACGGGAATCTCCTGCGCCATTGCGAGCAACCGTTTGAGCGATGAATTAGATAATATGCCAGAGGTTATGGTGATTCTACGGGTCGGCTTGCATGAGGCGAAAGGGATACTTCTTAAACAATGACAGGTGTACTTGTGTAAGCCCCGAATGGCTGCAGCCGCCACGCGTGTCCCAAGGGAGCACTGTCAGAAAACATGCGAAAGCCTGAATGGCTATTTATTAGTGGATACGGAGGTTTTATGGGTCCCTCGAGATTCCAACGATCAAGAATCCTAGCGGACGCCAAGTGTGCTCAAAGTACTTCGTAATCTTTTAGACTTACGGGACACCCCCTGAACTGACGCCGGGCCGCACCAGTCCTTTGTGAGGGTCTGTACCACCAACACACGCAGGGTGGGAACCTGCAATATGGAACATCCTGGAGGAAGGATGGCGATTAATTAGGATCTGCCTAAAAGGGGGTACTCGAACTTTCTTCTTAAACAGTGATAGGTGTAAATCTGGCTGACTACCTCGTATTTATTAGTGGGTGCGGAGGCTTTATGGGCCCCTGGAGATTCCAACGGTTGGGGATCCTAGCAGCCACCAGGGAAGTGTGCTCAAAGTACTTCGTACTTCGTAATCTTTTAGACTTATGGGAGACCCCCTGAACTGCTGCTGGGATGCACATAACCCTTGTGAGGGTCTGGACCATCAACACACCCAGAGTGGTAACCTGCAATATGACACATCCTGCAGGAAGGATGGCGATCAGTTAGGATCTGCTCGAACGACGTTGACTGTGATGTACCGCATAGAGATCAGTCAAGCGACGCAGACGTGATACGAGCGTGTCGATTCAAGGGCATCCCAAAGTATAATTAAACTGAGATGCCTGCGGTGTACGCTGATAATCTTCCAAGACTCTTCAGTAGCCAAGCCAAGTCAATATCCAGGTCTACCTGTTCCGGCTCTGCTGCTCAGTGCTTCACGATCAACAGGACCCCGCTTATAGTGTCTGCCAGGATATCAGGCACGACTTGTAACATTTCACCCTGCTATACCTGCAGCCTTCGTGTCCTTGGGTGATTGGTTGTCTGCCGATCTCCGCAGGCGGTGTTTCATGCTCGATTATTCCTTACTCGATGACTTCTCTGTCCCCCGAGCCTCCCCGCTATGCGAAGTACACAGCTCCGTGTTTACAGGGATTATCGGGTATCAATTGATGTTTTCATTTTTCTCGCCCCTCTTCCTAGTCGTCGCTCAGGAGACTCCACTGCCTCCTGATAAATGGGGTTTCCCAAGAGCCTACTACATAGTATGTAGAGACGACATGATCGAACTAGCGGTGTAGCGGAAGAGGGATTCTTTAATCTTGTACCATTGTATCATTTACGGCTGCGGTGTAGACGTGCTGGAGCCAGGCTTTAAAGTCGCTCTATGCCCCTCTTGACTGTTTCCTATTCTGTTCTCTCTCCCGCAACCCCGCCCCCCAAATCCACGTCGTTCGAACCCGCACAACAATGTCCGCTCAACTAGACGACGCCAAGGCCCATCTTAAGGAGCATGGCTGGTGCCGGATCCCCTCCGTTCTCACCACAGACGAGGCGGCTGCCGCGCTTGATCGTCTCTGGAAGGCCAAACATGAGGCCGAGAAGCGCGGCGAGGAAACATACCTGGACTTCCTCGACCCCAACCCTAGCAATATCCGTGTCTTCTACCTGATGGAGCTGGACAAGATATTTCGTGACCTGATCGCGAACCCGACGGCAATTGAAATGGTCAAGTCGGTACTGGGCGAGAACTTCCTCATCTCCAACTTCACGGCCAATATCGCCCGCCCGGGCTCTCGGAGCATGGCGCTGCACTCGGACCAGAGTCTCGTCTTTCCGGATCCATGGCAGGACATTTGGGCACTCAACGTCATCTGGTGCCTCACCGACGTGACCGAGGAAAATGGCGCGACCCGATACATCCCGGGCTCCAACAAATACGTCTACCGTAGTGAGGTGCCCGCCGACGCTCCCAAGCTGCTCGTGCCATTCGAGGGAAAAGCCGGCGACATCATTGTCATGGACGGTCGCCTCTGGCACACAAGCGGATCCAACGTTACCAAAGACCAGGACCGCGCCCTGCTGTTCGGTTATTACACTGCGGCCTTCATGCGGCAGCAGGTAAATTGGACGGCCAAGCTACCCAAGGAGATCCAGGACACGCTGAGCCCAGAGATGAAGGAATGGTTGGGTCTGAACCCAGTGGGCAATATCGGGGTGACGGGAGACCTGAGATACCTGTCGGTACAATACCCCGAACCCAAGGTAGCCGCGTCGGAGTGAAAGGAAGCAGTGTAGTCCGGTTATGTTTAGATGAATGACACATGTGAGCTGGGCTGTGATACTCTAGCAGTTGAATCGACAGTGAGACCTGTGCCGTAAACTTGCTCATCGGAACACGTAGGTATTATCACGACGACTAAACCACGAGGAAAGGTGGTGTTGCACAGCAAGACAAGCATTCCCGTGACAAGGTAAGCAGCAAGCCGGAAAGCGAGGGACTAGGCGAGTTGCTAGGCATCGACGGGTCAGAGGGGCGAAGACTGACTGATCGACCGGACGGTAGACGACTGTCTCGAAGTCCTTCGAGAAGAGTTGGCAGAGGGAAGCGTCCATATAAGCCACGAGAACCCCCATGTGCTTAGTCTATCTCCCTAGACTCTTCAGTAGTCAATCCAAGTAACCTCTAACCCTACCTCTGCACGTTGCTTACGCGCTACTCGATTGCCTTCATCATGATGCCGTTTGACTGGGCCGGGATGTTCAAAAACGGTCCGGAAAGCCCGACTATGATCTGGATGACCGTGCCGCCCTAATTGACAAAGAGGACGTCGGCATTGAATCTGTCTATTTCAATAAGAAGGCAAACCCAGATAGGCCTGTTCGTCCCTCACGGGATAATTAGACTAGTGAAGGCGAGGGCGATGATGAGCAACTCTGGCTTTCCTTGGGCAAGGTACTGGAGAATGTTTAATCTGTTGACATCTGGGTCATCGTCCACAACGCGGAGAAGAAAGGCCAGCACTTTGGTCAAGTCAAAAATGCGTCCACTTAGCTGTTTAGGGGAATCGATAGTAGAGAAGAAGGCGAGCTTGCAAGTTTTAAGATCTCCAGGGTGGACTTCTCTGGCAAGCCAAGCTTGCACATGGCAACTATGTTCCGGACCAATATATGAGTCTACTGCCACGCAAGGAAGGAGGCTCATAAGGACCTCCTGAAGGGACTTGATCGTTTTCTTAATGACTTGGAGCGCATTGTCGGCGGACCGGCCTCCACTCCGGACAATCCTGAGATTCTGCGTCGCAGATATAAGGAGATGGCCAATCGACAGAGGAAATGCACACCTCGAACTGGAGAAGCGCCATGAGTAGTGTGGCGTCTGAAGCACGGGTATAACTTTCCAAGCTGCTCTCCATATTGCAGCAGTTTTCACCTTTGTTTGCAGAGCTTTCCTAACTATTTAGCAGACAGGAGAGTGCGCGTTTTCATATACCACGCCCACGCACCCAGAAAATCGTTGCCGAGTAGAGCGGAGTCGTCAAGAAAACCTCAAGGAGACGCAGGATCCATTGGAGGTAAATGCGTATTGCCACGCATCGTTAATCGAGCAAGAACAATCACGCGTGTAAATGTACTCAGGCGGCCGCTTTCAACAATCCCACACTCAGGCTACGCCAGGAAGCAACTCGGCGACCGAGCTTGCAACTATTATTGGCCTCCATCGCCACTGTTATCGCCCGAACGAACATCCTTGGGGGATTCCGACAAGGCCTGACCTATCCTGTTACATGGAAGTTCGCGCCTGGAGCTTCAACCTCCTCCTCAGTCCGTAAAGCTGACTACCGAGGCGGCGGCTTCTGTCTCGCCAGGGCTTGCGCATGATATCTCAGCCCCCCCCCCCCCCCCCCCCCCCCCCCCCCCCCCCGGGTTCGACTCTGCTCCTCAACACCGACGATAGCCGCCATGAGAACGAATCTGGCGGCTGCTGCGCGGTTGGGGCTTATTCAAAATCTGAATCGTGAAGTGACTAAGGGCCACGGAGGCAGGTTTCATTGCGCAATGGAAGGATGCTTGGAAGTTCCAGATGGCTTCAAGCGTCGCTGCGAGTGGATGTAAGTCAATGCCTTAAGTTCCTTCCTATCTTCGACTCGGCATTTTATTTTATTTTATTTTCGTAGTCACTAACAGATCCCTCATTAGTAAACACATAGATAAGCATGAAGGGCCATATCGACGCGAGCACGGGAGCTGCGAGAAACTGCATGGGTTTACCTATTCAGGAGGCTTAGTACGACACGAGAGAAAATCCATGGGAGTAGGCCGAAGAAGACTCTCGAATGCCCTTTTCATAATTGCAAGCGAGTGGGAAAGGCTTTTCGAGACAAGAAAACTTAAACGATCATCTGTGCCGAGTCTACACGAATGGCCGCCCGACTCGGCGGACGAGGAAACTTTGCGTGACCATCGGCCAGTCAGGGACTTTAGCTGATGTCCCTCTCCTAAACGCTACCTACGATGGAATGACGTTCGCTCTTGGTTCGGAACGAAGACTGTAGTCTGCGTCTCCGTGCCCTGCCTCCTCACCACTCGAGGTTACGGGGAGGATCTCCACGGTATCTGTTCTCTATGAGTTGCTTGGCCGGCGTATTTTGGGAGCATCGTGTCCTAGTGTTGCAGGCGACTGTGGCCCTTTGTCCCAATAGCTGGTAGTGAGGTTTCTCCCCACTGCGATGGTGGCGTCCGGAGGCATCTCGGTACGCTCCTCTAGCAGCGGAAGCCACAGCAGACCGAGCAGCAGCGATGAGAGGATGACTGCAGAGAAGGACTGGATGGATTTGCAAAGGGAAATCCGGTGCGTTTGGTTGGGGGAGAAACTCGTCCCGAAGATAGGCTGGAGTTGCTGTGGAGAACGTAGATGCGGCATGAACATACGTAGTTACTCGAGTAAAGACGGCCGATCGCCTGGAGTAAGAAGCGACCAACTAGGAGACGATCAATCTATAGAAGAGGATGGGAGGAAACAACTATATAGGCTACAGAAGCTACCGGGTATTCGGATAGTTCCTCTAGACTCTTCAGTAGTCAATACCAGTCACAACTACACCCTACACTTGTATACGCACTTCTCACCCATCACTGTGTTGATCCCGCTTGACTGCCTCGCTTCACCTCATTAAACAAGCCCCACGACCCCAACTCCAAGAATCCGAGTGTGATCCGCTGTTAGGATCGTAACAGTGATGAAAAGTGTAATTAATTCTCATCATTCAAAGATTTCTGCGCGTAAACAACACGGCTATATAGCGTTAGCTCTATATTATAGTAAAAGAAAGAAAACAAGAAGGAAATGATAGAGGAGATAGAGAGGGAGAATATATACAAATAAATATATGCGTGAATACGAGGATCAGTTAGCTCCTTGCGCAGCTGAACAAGGTATAACTGCGCCTCCTCGAAGGAATACTATTGTGCTTGTCAGTGTTTCTACCTGTTATACAAAAACAATAAGTTTATCTCAGAGCAAGGAGGCTTACATCTAGCATAGTAGTCAGTCCGCGGATAGAGAATCCTTCAATGGCTTGCAGTAGAAACATTCGGTTCCAGGCACCCCACTGCTTGAGCACTGGATCGCGCGGCCACGTGCCAATAGGAAGCTTGACATTGTGCTCTTCGATGTTGTCGAAGCCTGCCTCGCGGATGGCCGCCGGCGCTTCCTCGCTTGTCATGAACGATTTGCCTGTCTTTTCGCCTAGTGTAGCAAAAATGGAGTACCACTGACGTGCGGCCGAGTCGGGCTTTACGGTGCCGTCATCAGACTCCACGAGCCCAGAGGCTTGCGCATGCTCAAACCAGCCGCCCGGTTTAAGGTGTCTAGGATTGTTAGTTTTGGTGTTCAATATAAATGATTTTTTTTCTTAGGTTAGTTGAATACCCACCGCTTGACTTTCTTAGCAAACTCAACAAAGTCTGGCACACAACCAGGTGCGCTGCGCATGAAGATTAGATCAAACTTGTTTTCTGGAAATGTCCACTCCTGGTTCATATCATCGATCTCGAAGCGGCAGTTGGGCGGCACAAATGCCGGTTGGATTGGCGAAAGATCGATGCCCGTGACTTCTGCGGATGGTAATTCGTCGGCGACGTCTCTGAACAGTTAATAAATACTGTAACTTATAAATATGCATGGGTGCATATTTGATATATGTTATTAGGGCTAGGGTGTCCAACATACATGCACCACGTACCGGCTCCGCAGCCTAGGTCCAGAACGGCCTGTGCATCGTCAGGAATGGGAGACATGAAGAGCTTGCCGCCCAAGACGCGGCGGTACATCTCGTGCCTAGAAGCGTGAGTATTAAAGGAAGATAAAATACAAGACAAAGACTTGGAACCCTGCACCTACTGAAGAGCCTCGGCATCCTGTTGTATGTCATCATTAGGAGCCCTGAATATGACCCAGTTAGCCGCCGAGCCGCCGTGGACTGATGGCCAGCTACTGGACGCAGAGAAGATGGAGGAAGACGTGCCAATACTCCCCATCTTTGAATGCATGGTACCGCCGTCCGTGCTCCCACTTGTAGCGCATGATTGATGACCGCAGAGATTCCGTGTCGCTCTGTACCGTTCTAGCAACATCTATGTTAGAGTTTCACGTTGACCACGATACTGTTCGCCGCTATCTTCGGTAGCCGAGATTAGGAACTATTGCACACCCTTCATTATATGTAGATTCTACTTCATCATTGTCCTACGGCGAAGGGAGGACGATTAGCGGCCAGCAATAACAAGAGCAAAAAGGAGGAAATTTCAGATAATGTACATACAATTTCAATGGTGTGGAGCGGTCCGGGGATTTCGGCGCTGGGAAGTAGCTCGCCTGATAAAAGGCCGCCCGGCGACGTCGCCTGTGGCGAGGATGATTTCGATTTCGCTGGTGAAGTTGATTTTCTAGCACCCGGACTAGTGGAGGGGGATTTGCTAGTAGTGGGCGCGATTTCCTCGGCCGGTCCGGCTTTGTGGGGCGACGACATACTACTGCCGAACTGCTTATTTGAGTTTGATTTTCGTATCGTCTTGGTTGTTCCTAATGATTTTCGCGATGCTTTTTTTTTCTTCTTCGGCGGGCTGTCTCGGGGAGCTACTGAGGTATTTAAGTTTAAATAAGGATAAAAAAGAGGGGACAGCGAGGGCAAGGGCGGTCAAAGGCAGGGCGGGGTAAACATCACCCTCCTTCCTTTCAGCTACTCTGCATCCTGGACGGACTGGGGCTGTGATTAATAGTCCCTTGTTCGCTCTATAGGGAAGGACGGGTGTCTTACGTACGACTTGTCTCTTGGGGTTACCCTAATAGTGGGCCCCTTACGCTCTTTTAGGACTGCATATACTGTAGTGTACGGAAGACTATAAAAAGGAACACCGAGGCTAGAGGGCACCAATCGAACTCTTCACCGGTATATCCGGTCAAGCACGCCGCCCAAACTCACATTATCCATTCACAACGGGGCGACATGGGGAGCTCTAACTTCCCAAATGGAACCAGATCGGAGCGCCGCATCAGAATCAGTTGAGTTAAATATATCGCAGACTTTGAATGCCGCCAACGGAGCACCAACTGGGTTCCGGGAAATAAGAGGTGCATCCTGTTTGGTACTATATAGTAGGTGGCCTTCTGTTACAGTAGATTCTTCAACTGGGTAGTATGACTGCCTTCGAATGGCTTTCCGAGCTAACAAAGTTGTTAAAAATAGAAGTTGTCATGGTGGCTTTGAATCAGTCTTCTCCATCCCCATACCCGATGGTGGATTGCCTCTGCAACTTTGCTAGAGGTGCGGGCCATACACGCACAGGATCGATACAAATTCTCGACTTGGATAACCCGCAAACCTTCAAAAGGCTCATCCTTCGGTGCGCACAGGATATGACAAGGGTTGGTGATGGTGTGGCTTTGGCCAAATTCCTGGCACAGGGGGCCAACGACGGTATACCCCACAAGCTGCTGACACTACTACCGACTACTCGCTCAGCAGAAGAGATCGGCTTGGGATCGCTTCAGCAGCAGCATGGGCTGTTCTGTACTTATGTGGTACGCCGTGCCTGAGTGACAGCTGGGCAGGTTCAGATGCGATCGAGATTATCGAGGAGTCTGGCAATCTGCATAACCACGGTTCATCGAATAGGCCAAAGCATTTCCTATGTTCTCAAACGCCATGGGGACGGTCTGGCCGGGGACGAAAATTATCGAATCACCAGGATAGGGAGAATTCACGATAGAGTACTATTTGCTCTTGGCGTTCTCCTAATGGAACTTTGCCTAAACACCACCCTCGCTCCACTTCGCCAACAGTCGCGAGAGAGCAGTTTTGCGACGGAGGTCGGGATTGCTCCCGCTGAACCGGACGACTTCGCACTGGCGATCCAACATGCTGATCAAATCTACAGGGAGGTTGGCCGCTCTTACGCATATGCGGTGCAACGATGTCTGCGCCGCGAGTTTCCCGGACCAGATTCGAAAAAGAGCTTTGGATTCGAGAACTTTCGGAAGGATTTCTTTGATAATGCAGTAGCGCCAGTTCAGGCCAACTATGATGCGGCGCAATTGGAAGGCTAAGTTACTATCACATTCCGTTGAAGAGAAGGGCGGAGAGCCGAATATAGCAGACTGCAGTTATAGAAAGGAGCGCGGCTATCATGTGAAGCAGTTTATTAAGATAGCCGGAGACTCGTCTATGCGTCAATTGCAATAAACTATGAGACTATACTTTTGGTCTTTTTGATAGCCACCAACTCGGTGAGCACTCCCCCTCTTTCGGAACACAGTCTCAGAATCCTGACTCGATATCTGTCGCTTGCCTCCGAAATATGCCCACGAAGATCCGTCAAAATATTTCGTATAGGCCCACAACAGCAGCTAGGAGGAAGACCCAACCAGGGGCTACATGGGATCCTAAGCTGTCTGCTGTCGTTGTCTCGGCGGGCGGATTAGGTACAAATGTAATCGTGCCCGACATCTTTGACGGCGTCCCTGAAAGTGACGGTGAAAGTGACGGTGTAACCGTTGGTAAGAGATTGGCTATGTCGAGATCTACTGTCAGTGCATGTTCGTGCCGATTTGAGGCAGTTTGGTGTAATAGTCGTTGCGATTAGGAGGTTTCCTTACTCAAAGTTATCCCGAAGCTAGCTAGCAAACTCGATTGGGCACCCCAGTTTCTAGCAGGCCATGTCCTTGGGGAGCTGACGCGAATGATATTAGCCGCTGCCCGAGTGCTTGAAGCCGAGCGTAGCGGCTTCGGTTCCAATGAACATACCCATCGGAGTTAGTCAGGAGTCCATCAACGCATTCCCACGGAATGTCTCCGCCTTTCTTCTCCTGACACTCCGTATAGACGCTGCAACACCAGCCATCCTGGCAAGCAATTGCACAAATATTCTGTCTCGGATCGAGATGGCTGAAAGCGAATGCTAAATTTAGCATTAAAAGAATAGCTGCCACTACGTTAATAGGGTATTTCATTGTGAATTGCCCAAACGCCGCTACCCGATCCAGGTTCACGTCAGGAGCCGACGTGAGGTAGAGGTATAAAGTCTCCGTCACATGTAGCTCCGCACATTCCCGTTTTTGCTATATCACGCAAGGTGTCTGCGGACCGCGCTGAGTATTGTGCGGAGGATACATATAAACGTCGCAGGTCTAACCCCACGACAAAAACCGCACAAAGCTCCTTCACAGCAGACAAATTTGAAAGCTATGGCCCCCAAAATCGAAGCCGTCTTCACCCCCGAGGCACCGAAGCCTCGTCCCCAATTCTCCCAGGCCATCAAATATAACGGCCTCGTATATTGTTCGGGCAACATCGGGGCGATCTCGAACACGAACGGCGAGCTGGTGCAGGGAACCATCACGGATCGAGCGGTAAACACCGCTAAGTTCCCTGGTGCCTTACTTCGCTATGCCTAGGTAGAGACTTGCCCTCGCTGACATGAGAAGTAGAGACAAGCCTTGAAGAATATTTCCGCCATTCTGGAGGCATCCGGAAGTAGCTTGCGAAATGTTCTAAAGGTGAACGTTTATATCACAGACATGGCAAACTTCGACGCTGTCAGCGAAGCATACGACGAGGTCTTTTACTGGGAGCCGAAGCCGGCTCGGACTTGGGTAGCGGTATACCAGCTGCCCCGCGGTACGGATGTCGAGATTGAGTGTACAGCTGCGCTCAACTAGTAATCTTGATACGATAGCGGGCGTTCGTATGTTCTGCAGGAAATAGGCATTAATGAGATGCAAGTGTTTGGAAATGGACTTGAAGCGTTTCACAAGGTGGAATAGAACTTTGTCACCAAGTTCGTCCCGACATCGATTCGTTGAGCATCCCACGAGTACGCAGTTCCTCGATGACACCTGCTGCCGCCACCCACACGGAGATCTCCATATTTTTAGTAGCCATCTCTAGCAAACGATTGGTGAAATGACCGAGACAGTGGGCATCACCTCGGAACGGATTTCACCATCGACTAATCAATTGGAGAGCGGCTGCTTCGCTGAATTCCAGATTCCCGATTTCCCTGGTGACAAAACTCCGTTTGGATCCAAAGTATCCTTGAGCAGACCTGTAAATCGTGAAAATGCAAAGTCGTTAAAGCCTTGCTTCGCTGCTGTATCATCCATGAACTTCACATGCGTCCGGTATGCCATGTACCCCTGCTTTACACCGTCCTCCATCAGATGTTTGTAAAGAGCCAGGGCCCTTTCCTCCTCCTCGATCGAGTAAATCACCAACTCGATCCCGACAACGTACCGGGGATAGACGTGGAAATCTGCAAAGAGGTCGAACCTTGCGTCGATAGTTCGCTGCTTCGCGGTCAAGTACCAGTCGTAGAGCTCACGGCCTGATGGAGGGATGATGGGCGAGTAGTCAATATGGGCACCACCCTTGGTTCCCCTCGTGTCCACAAGGCCGAGCGGCGCCAGCGTCGGGATGCCGCTGTGGGGGATCTCCTCCTCCCCAATCTCGGCAGCGGTGATGGTCTTTTCAGGGGAACCGGGAAACTCACGCCAATTAATCTTGACACCGGAAATAGAGGAAAACGCACGCTCAACAGTCTTTTTCAACGCTGGTAACATTTCCACGGAACCGTAGAGGGAGAAGTAGGCTTTCCAGAATCCCCACCCATATTGGAGCCGGATCTCTTCGAGCACATCGTAAGGCACGTAGGAGCCGGGCTTCATATACTCGGCCAATTTAGCTTGGACTTCAGGAACTGGCGACGTCAAAGCTATACGGAAGATATTGGCAATGGACGGCGAGTTTAGAATAATTGAGCGGCGCATAAGGTCGGAAAGGATTCCAACTAGCGGAATAAGGTCCTCTTCACGAGGAACACTAACATCAACTGTGGCGTAAGCTTCCGGCGCTGGCGTGATGTGAATGCCAATCTTCGTGACAATCCCTATTTTTCATACGGTTAGTTGCTGGTCAGGAGTCTAGGATTGTTCAGGTGGGCGTTGGGAGGAGGCTGGTCCTACCAAGGTTTGTCTGATAAAAGAGGCCGTCAAGGCTTGGACCGAAACCTCTATTAGGGACGAGAAAAGGAATCGTTAGCATAAGATATATTTGTTTCTATGCCTGTGAGGATGGCCGCATACCCTTTATACAACGGGAAAGCTTTGTTATTTTTCATCGCGCCCGATCCTGTTCGGAGCAGATTTCCGTCGGGTAACACGACTTCCATACCACATTGAGACTGCGAGTGCTCTCCATTAGGCGTATATCCAAACCCACGGTCGACGGTATTTCCCAAAACAGAACCCCATCCGATTGCCGGGACGGACGGCCAGAGAGCCAACCCCTTTCGTTGAATCTCCTCGTAGAGATCGAAGAAAGAAACACCAGGTTCGACAATGGCGTACCCGTACTCGCCGTTAACTTCAATGATCTTGTTCATCCTATGAAGGTCGAGAATAACACTCCCTTTAACAGCAGCACCAGATCCGCCGTACCCCAAGTTTTTCCCTCGGGAAATGGTCCACAGGGGGATTTTGTGGATGTTGGCAAGCTTGACAGCATGTTGTACCTCTTCAACCGATCGAGGACGAACTGCGCCGCTGGGTTGGTTGTTATCGCTAGCAGAAAAGCCGTCGCCATAGCTATCCTCGCCCAGGCGGCCTTTGAGGGCTCCATGCTCGGGGTCTCGGGAGACATGTTCCTCGCCAAGGAGGACGGCGACTTGATCGAGGAAGTTTTTCACCGACTGAGCGTCGGGGGCGGGTGAGCGTGATGGAAGAGACATTTGATCGAACAGGTCCTTCTTGGATATGGGCGGTTTGGGTAGGTATGTGCTAGTTTTGGGGCTTTAGAACTGCGTTCTGTTTGGAGCGTAGAAGTTCATGGTGAGCCATCGTGTTTACACTCCTGTCGTTATATAGAAGGAAGGCGGAGCATGCGTCGAGAAAGCGAAGAGCGACTTCAGCACTTCTGCGAAGGTCAGTGACATTCTCTGTGACAAATTGATCCTTTCGCAAGCTACAGGCGATAACAGCCGGGTGTGCCGGGTGTGTCGGGGAGTGATTCCAACAGCGGCAAAAAGCAGAAAACCCACCATAGTCTCGTATTGGCCCGGCCTGGCTCGGTCCCTCTCCTAGAATATCAGGGGAGTATTAGCGTCTGAGGTATTTGGGGAAGTCAACCAGGTTCCCCACGGGGACCTGGAGATTAAGCTCCGGGGACATAAGATGTCCGATATTTTTACCCCAAATGCGCTGTTAAATCCTTGTTGCAGCCTGAGGCGAAATATCGGCAAAGTAGGCCTGCTCCCGTGATTCCTTTTCTAACTTCAGGGGTTCCCAACTGTGACTAGGAAGTTGAGAGATATGAAATTCGCGTGGTATCGAGCGATAGAACTGTAGGACGATAGACTCCAACTGGAACTGACTCCCAGATGGACGACAAGCGGGCTGGTGCACATCTCCAAAGAGATCACCGAGGTATATTCGTACAAATCTAAAATCTTTTAATCGACCATCTCGTTTTTATTTAATTCTTATGCTTGTTTCATGCACATTTTATATCTGGTCAAAGTGGACAAGGCTAGCGAGGGCGTTCCGCAGTTGGAGGCCATCGACACGGAACAACCATGGCAGTAGTGTATAGAGCTTATCATACTATTTGCTATACTAAACCATATTGGTGCCGAGAAAAGTGAATTTGAAATTCAGGGTTTTGTGTTATTTGTCAACACCGTCGATACCCCGGGTCCTTTCGTTCGATGTGATCTCGCTACTGTCAACCCAGTTTCCATGAAGCCCTGCCCTCAACCGGATCGGTAGCAGGATAACCGCCTGGGCCTTTGTGAAGTCTCTGGTGTCCAGCAAATGCAACTCACTGGACATGGACGCGTAGTTGTTTGCGAGTGCCAAAACATAGCCATCCCCTTCCTCAGTAGATCCGCGACGAGGAATAAACACTGGCTCCTGCACCATATGGGTTCGACCAGGGAAGTATGTCTCAATCTTACGAGTGACCACATCCAAGTGTGCCAGTGAATTATACAGCGGATAGCCGCCCCCCAGCTGAGGAGCGATGGCCTGGAAATCTGTCCCAAGGGTCGGGTCCATCAAATCAAAGTAGCAGTGACGGTAGACCTGGGTGGCAAAGCGGTCGTCGATTCGGTAAAATTCCGAGTTGTTGTCCTGGAGGACTTCGGCATTGCCCAGCTCCCGGTTCGAGGACTGCGGGTCGAGTGTAAACCGGGTCAACTGCGAATGGATCGAGCTCGGCTCGGGCGCGTTACCGTTGGCATCCGGCCACCAGAAAAACACGTTCTGCTTACTTAGACCGAGATCTACCACGATGTTTCCGTATTTATCCTCGTATGCGTTGGAAATGTGCCCTGGGAAGGAGTTGTTGTAGGTGAACCACTACGGCAGAATAAGTTAGGCTTGGAATGAAAACTGGTGAGCCCTTTTATGGTTCTCTAGAATTCACCTTGATGTCGGCGGACTTCGCCCCGTTCCGTGGAAGCACGCCGAGATAAAACGGAGTCTCGGGGCTCCATTGCCAGTGCTCGCCACCCTGTTTCATACGCTCGACGTCGCAAAGCAGCGGGATGATAGGGAAAATAACCTATATACCCGAGAATTAAGAGTTAGGACTTCTCTTCCTCTAAACGCTTATGCCAGAGGTGGTGGCCCGGAGAGGAGAGGGAAGGGGGGAGCCTCTTTCACGTACCCAATTTTCTGTGACTGCAAAGTCATGAATCATGGCTACAATGGGGGAGCGCAACCATACCACCTCGAGAAACTTGCCGTCTGGGGCCACACGATAATAACAGATATCCGGAGTACCGTCGCCCTTGGCTTCGTACCCAAAGCAAAGCATCTCCCCCGTCTTTGGACAGAATTTTGGGTGGGCGGTGAAGGTCAAGCTGGGCAGTTGGCCATCGAATGTGTACAAACCATGCGTCTCCAAGGTTTCGGGGTCCAGGGCATATGGTGGGGCATCTTCCTTGAGCGCGAGCAGTTTTCCGTTGAAATGAACGACGTTCGTGTTGGCCGTGGTGCGGGTATTGAATTCAACGGCGTCGGTAAACTTGTTGCGATATTTGCCTTTGAGAGACGGGGGCTAAGTTAGTCTATGGACCTGTCGAGCAGAACCAATCCAACACGCGAGATGCTTTTTCCTTTCTGCTTCTACTTTTTCTCCTTCTTCTTCCAACTTACCAAGAAGGGCCCGTTGTGCCTCTCGTTCACGATTGAACTTCTCGGTTCGCACGTATCGCTGCTTGAAAGAGACCCGCCGGCCCTTGATCCTGAACGCGCAGATGTTTCCGTCGCCGTTGAACCACTGTCACTATCGTCAGCCTCTGGGTTTCGTGCTCGAACATACCATGGGTATATCCTGGTGCCGTGCGATACCGGATCATCTTCAATGAATGGGGGAAACTGAGGATCGGGCATCACGCGATAAAATGTCCCGTCAATGTCCGCCGGAATCTCCCCGCGAACCTCAAGGTTGAACACTTCTCCTTCGACTCCGCATGGCTTCATGAACCCGGAGAATTGCGGGCGGTCCGGGAAATCCAAGCGAGATTTCTGGGAGAGGGATGAGGCAGACATGGTTGTGCGGTTTGTTCTCTACTGGGTACTAGTTAGGGAGGAGGGGCCACAACGCGGCTGGAATGAAAGTCGACCAGATGGGTAATTAGTCAATTGCCTTTCCCGAGTTTACCAACAGACGGAACCCGGCCGATTCGAGTTATAAAATAAAATGTGATCTGGGACCCTGTTTTAGCCCATGGGGAACTTTGCGGGGATACCGGGTATCCGGGTATGCGGGGGTGTCCTCCCCGGACGGCATTCGGGAAATGCCACGCCCTTTGCATGTTTCTTGCCAATATTCGAAGGGACCCTGCTGAATCTTTGGTTTTGTACGGGTTAAAGAATCAAGAAAACCGATTAACATGAAGGTCTGTGCTTCAGTGATTCCTAATATATGGTGAGGCACGGGGGGAGGTGGTGGAGGGAGTAGAGGAGGTAGAAGAGGAAGAAGTGAGGGTGTGTTGCAGCGATTTGCGAAAATAAGAAGGCAAACCGCATCCAAAAATAACAGATGAAAAACAAAGTCTTTCTATCTCTTCCTGTCTTCTTCCTTACACTTGACTGTTTTTCCCTTGTTTGTATTCGTCCCTCTTTGGTGGATAATCTGTCAAGCATGTCCTATACTATATTCACCGCTGTGGCTTTAGGTCTTTGGGCCACTGGTACTTGCATCTACAACGCTTGCTTCCACCCTTTACGTTCAATCCCGGGGCCTTTCTTTGCCAAGTTCTCTCGATGGTGGTTGTTTACTTTGGAGATGAGGGGAAACCCCCACCTCGATCTGCTCGACCTGCACCGTGAATATGGTACGCTATATTATGGCTGTGTTGCATTGGTCTTCCTTGAGAGGGATGCAATTTGCTAATATTTGTCAGGACCAATGATGAGGATATCACCGAGTGAAATCTCCTTCGCTGATGTAGAAGCATTTAACATCATCTACGGCCGGACATCCAAGTTCGAGAAATCCGAGTACTTTTACCGCCCGTTCGAAGATCAAGCGCCAAATCTATTCACAATCCGCGACCTGCAACATCACTCTCAAGACAAGAGACTTCTCTCCCACGCCTTCTCACGAGCAAACATTGCCCAACACCAGACCGCCATCTACGACAAGGCGTCACATCTGGTGGAGCGCATGAAAGAGCTCGTCGTGAAGAACGAGCCCATTCCGCTGTTTCCTGCGTTCCGCTGCATGACCTTGGATACCATTTCCGACTTTGCTTTCGGAAAGTCGACGGGTGCGCTAGATCTGGAAACTTTCGAGTCGGATATATTTGATGCCATCGATAAGGCCACCAACTCGGTGCCATTTGTAAATTCTCTCTCTCCTCTTCTCTTATATACTTCCTTTTCCTTGTCCCCTGTTTCCCTTCCATCACCTACCGAATTTCGTGGCCCTTCGAGACTCACATAACGTGCTCTTACAGTTTCAACGCTTTCCGATCCTTCGAGAAGCCCTTCGGTGGGCGAGTTATTACAATCTTAGTGCTATTCCCAATGGCTTCCTTAAACTTGCTCATGCCGGTGAAACAGCGTTTGCGCAGATGAGTGATGATGATTCCTGGACCATGTTCGGAAATATGATTGCGTCCGCAAGGAAGTCATCGTTGGAGCTGACAAAAGACCATCTCGTCGCGGAAGCCATTGTGATGTTCGTTGCCGGGACCGATACTACCGCCGCGGCCCTGGCCATCGGGCTGCATAAGCTGCTCCAGCACCCCGAGTCTTATTCGAGACTCCAAGATGAAGTCCGAACCGTCATGCCGACACTTAACTCTAGACCGCTAATTGAAGAGCTGGATGCTTTGCCCTTCCTCGATGCTTGTATCAAGGAAGGCCTCCGTGTCTCCTGCCCCAGTCGCGTTAGGATGCCACGAACAGTGTCAGAAGAAGGGTGGAAGTACAACGGTCACTATCTCCCAGCCGGCGTAGGTGGCTCCCCTCCCCTTCCTCCCCTCGCAGCCGAAAAAAAAAAAAAATCAGATGTCTGATTTTATTTGGCTAATCTCTACCCAAGACATTCGTTAGCGCCTCGCCGCTCTATTGCCTGCTCGATGAGAAAGTGTTTCCTTCCCCCAAACGCTACGACCCGTCCCGGTGGTTAGTTGACGGTGATCGGAAGCGGGAGATGCTATCCCATTTCAACCCCTTCTCGCGGGGGACTCGACAATGCATTGGGCAGAACCTGTCTCTCATTGAGCAGAAAATTGTCTTGTCAATGATTGTAAGAAGTTTTGACTGCGGGCAAGTGTTGAAGAAGAACCTCAAAATTGAGGAGGCTATCACTGTCGTGATTGAGGATCCCGTGCACGTCAGATTGTATCTTGCAGAAAACTGAGGGTAGTTCCGCTCCGGGGTGTACACATGAATGCAAACAGGTATCCAAGAACCTTTCGATCGTGCCAAGACTTCGTAGTCTCAGCTCTACTTCGTATTTAGTGACTTTTTTTTCTTTGGTTTTGGTTTTGGCCACTGCTCCCCAGACCGCCTAATTGGCGGAGAGATATACGGAACTTCCACATGACGTGGCCCTTGTGGAGTGTTAGGGGAAGCTTTCCCCGATTGCCCCGGTTAGCCGAACATCCCGAGCCAGCTGCCGGGGCCAGGGAATGCCTTGAGCTAAAGAAACTTGGAAGTTCGGTCTGAGAGTCCCATCTCTGGGCCTTTCCACACTCCACGAGCTTTTAGAATAATAAATACACGCTACTATCACGATTGAACGATGCTCTCCGTACATATCTGTCTTGCACTTGGTGGCACAATGGCAGGTATGCCTCTCTCTGTCTCTCTCTCTACCTTACCCTACAGTGGCATAGATAGCATGCATGCGTATCTGGATGGAGATAGTGCTTTGTAAAGTACCCAATGGGAAACAAAATTGGCATTGGATGGGGAACTCAACCTCATTCGGAGCTGCGTGCATCAAGGAACAATACTACTTGTCAGAGCGCGTCGATGATATGGTTACAGTTTGTGGAGAGACGATGAGTGCCGAGAAAAGGGGGCGAATTCCCCAACAGCACTAGTCCTATTACTACCCCGCAAACCCTAATAGGAGAGAGTAGGGAGTAGGCCAGCCACCCAAGCTTCCCCAGGTTTGTCTGCATGGTGTTACCTTGTTTCTAAACCGATTTTATCTCCGCGCATTTCTGCCGGCTGTCATGTCTCCAATGTGCATTGCCTCCTTTCCCAGCCAAGGTAGTCTTTTGTCTGGTTCAAAGAACCCTTCCGGCCCCAATTTTTCGCTCATTGCAGTGTTCACCCACCAAGTCCTCATTCTCCAAATCCAAACCTGCTTCAAGTCCCGTGTCGGTCGGGCGGGCTCACATATCATGTCCTCGACTCCATCCCCAGTCAACCAAGACCAGGTCCGCTCTGCGGCACGCGAGGGTCGCAAAAGAAAGAGAATCTCAGTTGCTTGTCGGTCATGCCGGACGCGTAAATCCCGAGTATGCCAACCCGTTCCCCCTTCAATTACGCGGATTTTCTGATGGGTCTCATGTTCGGATAGTGTGACGGGCGTAATCCATGCGCTACCTGCCAAGATCTCGACGCTCCGTGCCTCTATGATCAGCCCGTCAGTCAGCCAGCGGTGATGACTGGGACTGGGGCTGGGGTTGGGGCTAGAGCTGAGGTTACCGAACTGTGAAAATATCCCCCTTCGCCTCCCTTTCCACGTCGTCAATGCCTGCGCAGGGCCACTGATTCGTTATCGTTATAATTAGGCAAAGAGAGAATAGAGCCCTTGAGCAGCGGCTGCTAGCACTGGAGCAAAAACTTCAGTGCTTGGAACAAGATAGGGTCCCCACCAATCCAACGAGTGATAGGATATGTGAATCCATCGAAGCCCATGTCTCCACCTCTCCCCGACCGAGCACAGAGCTGCAAGACAGCATTACTAGGAGTTTGGGAGTGTCTTCGGGCTGGGGCGATGTAGTAGATGGCATGGGGTCCGTCACCCTTGAAGACGGGGTGGGCGCCGACGAGTATTTCGGTAGTGTTCCTCCCTCCCTCCCCCCTGTGCATGATGCCGAAACTCTCGCCGAGCTCATCCTAACAAATCTCCCTCGCTTCAATGAGAAGGTGCCTCGTCCAACGTGGCGTTTTTAAGGCTCATAGTCCGTGCCGCCGGCGTAACGGTAGAGCTAGGTGACGACGGCTCCGACGCATTCCTAAGGAGGCCGACCAATTCCGACATCTCAAGTGTGCGCGATCAAAGTCAAACAGTGGAACCTTTTGACCTCCCTCCTACAGGCGAAGCGGAACAGCTGTGGCGCTTGTACTTCACCACCGTCAATATGATGGTTCCATGCGTCCATGAAGACTCCTTCCGGACAACGTACAAGAGGGCGCGAAACGATGGCCCCAGAACGGTAACGAGGTCGTGGCTTGCTATGCTCAACATGGTATTTGCCCTTGCCACCAACGTGTTGACTGCAACGTCACCTCCCCGGGAACGGGCCTCGCGATCGGACATGTACTTTGAACGAGCCATGGAGCTGGTGCGCCAAGATATGCTTGGGCGCATCTCTGTGGAACATGGTATGTTTTCTATGATAGTGATATCGAGTAACTTTTTTCCCTGGTCTCCCTCCCTAGAGTTAACACCAAAGACAGTTCAATTTTTCCTGCTTATGGGCATATACCTCGAGGGCACAACATCTTCTTCCCTTGCATGGACATTCCATAGTCTTACGGTCAAAGGAGCGTACCAGCTGGGCCTCCATTACCTAGGGTCGAAGAACCACTCGCTGCTGGACCGAGAGATACGCAGAAGAGCCTGGTATTGCTGTATCATGAACGATCGGTAATGAACAGTGGAAAATCCCCTGACCAGAAGACCTAGAATCTAACGACTCGACGCAGTTGGCTGAGTTCCGCATACGGCCGCCCTCCTCTTATTCCTCTAGCCCATGTGAGGCTCGAAGCCGGTTCGCAAGTGGCATTTAGTAGTGTGCCTAGAAGCGTCACCACGTCGAGTTTAGCTTACTTCGATGCCACCATGTACGTATTTTGATCCCCTGGTCGCCTACCCTTCACTACACTCCGATATTTACATACATCAAAGGTCTATAACTCATATTTTGGGAGAAGCTGTGGATCTGTTATATGACCAAAACTTAAGTTCTCGCCCTCTTCTACCTACAAGCGAGGCGCTTGACCGCACGTCCAAATTATGCTGGAAGCTGGCACAATGGCAGGATAACCTCCCCCCGTGCTTAAAGATAATCACTTCACGAGACACGACAAACGATGTCCCTCCTACCCTCGAAACGACTCGGCTACGTATCCTTCTGTCTCTCCGTTATTTGGGGGTTAGAATACTTGTTTTGCGCCCCGTCCTTGGCCAGTTCCTCGACTTGCCCGGGAGAACGGTATCCAATGAACACCAATCGAAATGGCTTCTCACTTGCGGCGCGGTCCTCCTGGCCGATTTAGCTCACACTTGTAGCGACGTGCTCCACATCAACAACAATATACTGGCGGCGTCGCGAAACGAGCAGAACCTACTTGGAGCATGGTGGTTCTCCTGCTACTATAGTACGGCAATCCAAGCCTATCGTCAACACACATCGAACTAGACTTATGATGTAGCTGACCTCCTGAAAGCCTTCAATTCGTCTCTAGCAATCATGGGAATACTCTTGATCAAACGTATGCCGGCGTTCTCGAATGAGCTGTCGGATATTTCTGCTGTGGACCTGCGGGCCATGTTAGACACCGCTATGGACGTGCTCCACGGCCTAGATAAAGGGAGTAAGACGATTATGCGTTGTCGGGACACCCTTACTCGCCTCCTTGCAGAGTTGGACTCCAATAGTGCTCAAGGTACGCAATTCTCCATTGTCATTGCCCTGGTATGATTACTCTTTTTGGCGTCGCTAATTTATTGCCATCATGGTAGGGCACGCACCTGGATTCACACCCACCCCATTCTCATTATCCCCATCGAGTGCCTGGGCTTGGCAGCTCATGCATCCAGGAATGTTTAACCCGGACGTACCACTCGGCCTTTCACCCCGACTATCAGAGATAGGGCGTCCTTCGCAGTCTCTTCATGGCTTTGATATTCATCTTAGTGATCAAATATATACTGCGGCCCACCCAGGGACAGATACAGGCCCAACCTAGTTCTCTATTATATGAAGCGTTCCCTCCAGGAAATGACGAAGGCAACACTGGCTCAAAGAATAATAATTAAAACGAAATTGATAGAATCCAGGGTTCATCTTATCAGCCGCATGTCCTACTTATGACGGAGATCAACACATCAAATGGAAATTGGTTCTAGTGTCGTGATCCTCTTCCGTTCTAGTCGTCAACCAACCTTTCCTACAGCTTCAAGCGGATCACAATATGAGCTTTTCCCACTTTCGCCCAAGTAGGAGTGAGCAAGTTGAGCGAGGGTGTCTCTTCGTTAAACGGCCTGAGAAAAAAATCTACCTACGGCTGCGGAAGGCAACCAACTATTCGTAATGAAGCCCGAGTGGAAAGAAGATCAATGCAGATACAACACCGAGGCGGAAGTAGGACGTTAACTCAATCTCCCAACACCGCAACCTTAAGCTCTATCTACTACGGCTTTGCATCATCAATCGACTTGGAAGCACCTTCGCTGTCATGCACAGAGCCATCCGAAGGTTCCTTTCCCTCGTCCGCTTTCCCTAAATCGACGTTCTTGAGAATAAACATTATCAAGAGCATGGGTGCGAGGCCAGCCGTGGCGGCGATCGCGAGCTTCTGCTGTGTCTCACGGTACGCTTGGTTAATGGCGGCTCGAACAGGTGTGCCCATGTCGAACTTTTGGGCGACGACGATGGACTTGTAAATTGATTGGGCCTTGTCTTTGGCGTTCCCGGGGAGATATTCCGTCAGTCTCTTGGGAAGGAGACTGTTCCAGATGGCACCCCCAACGCTGTTGCCATCAATAAATTTGTTAGCTGTCAATCCGATTCACCTTATCGTGGTTGGGATCCATAAGAGACTACGTGCCTTGTTCCAATGGCGCCGCCGACGCTCATCGATGCATAATAGACGCTGGTGACGACAGCGACATCTTCCTTCTGAACGATTGCTTGGATGGAAACCTGCGCGGCAGTCTGGTAGAACGCGCGACCCACACCGACGAGAGTCTTGGCCGTGATGAAGCACACCTCATTGGCTGGGCCATCGCCATTCTTGTTGACAAAGTAGATCTGAAGCCCCTGGCCGAGCACGACTATTGGGACGCCGATGAGGACGAAAAGTTGGGATCGCTTTGTGTATCTCATCAGCAGGCCGACGAGGACCGAGGCGATTTGGAAGGAGACACGCAGGGCGTTGCTGAAACGTGCGTTAGTACCCTCTTCAAGAGCACATCTTTTGTTTTGCCTTCTGTGTTGACTCTCAGAACTTACTCTATGCGACTGGCATGGCCGGGTGAATACCCGCCCACGACCTGAAGATAACTTGGAAAGAAGATGGTAAAAGTCGAATAATGGAAGAAATCGAGTAGCGACAGCAGACAAGCGGCGATGACGGTCCTCTCACGAATCATCCGGAATGGCACAAACGGCGTCTTGGCGAGCTTGGCATCCCAGAGAAAGAAGACAGCAAGAACGACCACCCCAACCACGAGCATGGCGATCGTCGAGCCCTGCTTCCACCGCTCGCTGTTCCTCGCACCCGTCAAGGAGAGCGGAATCAGCGCAAGGCCCAGACCCACGACCATGAGCACGGCGCCCAGGATATCAAGATCCACCCACACGAGACGGGCGATGCGCTTGTGGAGAGGCATGTTGGCAATCTCACCGGTCCAGATGCTTTTGCGCGTGAAGCCGTTTTTCAGAGCGCGGCGCTGTAAGAAGTACATGGTGGTGATCAGGGGAGCGGCAGCGACTGGTAGGATGATGGCCCACATGCCGTATCCCCAGCGCCAGGTGGACTTCTCGAGGACTTCGTCGGCGACGATGGTCCCTAGATACAGGGTTGGGATGGCGGCGACAGATTCAGGAAGAGAGGACCAGAAGCCTCGGTTGATGAGGCTGGTGGTGTCGGCGATGAAAATTTGCTGCATGATGGTAAAACCGGTGTCGCCGATAGACTCGAAGATGCCGCCAGCCTGACAGGGAGAAAAGAAATTTAGCCCCAACAAGCCCCTTATCGCATATACGCACAGATGGCGATAACTTACAATGTAGGTCTCTATGTTCTGACAAGCTGCGTACAGCACCATGGAGAGAACCATGAAGGAGATGGCGAAAAAGAACCCTTGCGGCCGGCCAAAGACATCAGACAGTTTGGCCATGATGGGATAGGTGGTCAACGACGTAATGGTGTACACAATGTTGGCCGTCGTGAGGGCCGAGTGCTTCGAGAAATCGCTGGTCGCGTAAGCATCGTACACCTTGGTAGAGTACTTGACGAAGGCGCAGATGAAAGAAGTGGCAAAGAGACTGAAGGTCAGGTGGAGCAGTTAGCAGCGCAACGCCTGTATAGATAATCACGGAAATTTGTGATCCGTTCGAGCATACCCGACAAATGCAACGATCATGGCTCTCTTGGACCACGACTGCTGCAGAATTTCAACGTCCGTCATCGGTCGGGTGTCTACGGCCACTTGGGCCTTTTCGGGGTAGCGCGACACCGCTTTGTGGGCGCCGTCTGGGGCGACAAGAACCTTTTCCCTATTCATACTAAAAAGCTTTAAGGTATAACTGCTACGATTATGAGAAAAAAAAAAAACAAGTTTTTCAAAATACTTCTTCTCTTCCGCGAGAAAGATCCCAAGGACTATATAAACACCGATCCTATCCTTTTTAAGAGACGAGGAGCACCCGAAGTCGGCATCTGGATCGGCTGACGGGGGGACATGTTGGGACCACATGGCAGGAGAAAATTTCTGGGCACCCAAGTTGGTCCGACCTTGTCATTCCATCTAATCTTATCAGATTTCGTTTATCAATCAGCGCCTTCATGGGGTGGATCTTAAACCAATGCCGAGTGGGCTGGTAGTGCACTCGTGGTGCACCAAGTGTAGTTTTGATTCGAAACCTTGGTTCCTGAAATGGGAAACGAATGAGAACTTTTACTAGTACCGATCCACTCTGTGGGCCCTGTTGGAGGCTAGAGAACGCCGTTGGACGGCAGGAACAGGTTTCCTGCGAGGTAAAGTAGAGACAGGTGATCTTTACGAAATCATGGAAACATCGAAGGAACGTGCTAGGCTAAAACGGGCAGAGAAATCCGAGCGTTTATGAGGATGTGGGACACTATTTGCACACATGGGATGTGGGGGTAGCAAAAACTGTCGTCTTTTCACACTAGGGGACCAGTTCGGAGATGGAGATTGTGGGCTTCTTGCGTGCGAACGCTGCCCATGGCAAGGGGTTCCCCGCCAAGGGCAGAACGAAGCTGGGAAGAAAGACACAGAATCAACATACAGTGTAAGCCCCTGCTAGATTATGCCGAGCAGGAACGGAATTTTCAGAGCAAGAATGGTCACATTGTTTGCTCGCAGCATGGTGGGATGACGGAATCGAATGAACGCCAAGATCAGATTGATAAGATCAAATACTTTCGGCGTTATTGCCCTGTTTGGGGGGCATCCTCGTCTAGCACTGGAACGGGATTGAGTCGGCAGACTCTGAACTTCTGGCAATCGACACGCATCGTTTCCATAGCAGTGCGCGTCACTAGATCCTGGTATCTTTACGAAAAGAAGCTTAGAGCTTTCTTTTGAATAAACTGCCCAAAACCTTAAAAGATTCGTTGGAATTGGCAGTTATATATTATTCATATTTCTCTCTTACATCTCTTGCGCTCACTTTGCGCGAGAAAGGTCGAGTTGTCCGGCTGGTCGGGGTCACTCATTCACTGTTGTATAGCAGCCCGGTCCTGGGTTTTCGTTGGGTCTTTCTGCATCACCCAAACGGCAATGAGGGCTAGGTTCACTTCATCAAGCCGGCTAAGATTATCACACGTGTAAAATGCAAACTCTATTCGCGCATTACATTTGCAGTGAAATGGGTTTCTGGCTGCTGTTACGATATTTTCAAAGTTCTTCAGGATAAAACTATATATTATCTTGGTCTATCTTTTTTTTATTTTTTATTTTTATTTTTATTTTTTATTTTTATTTTTATTTTTTATTTTTATTTTTTATTTTCTTTTTTTTTGGCATGAGTCGCCGACACCCATAATGACCATGGAAACCGCCGAGGGACTATCTTATAACGCACCATTCCGGATCAGGTGCAGCGGGAGGGTCCTGGAAATGCTATCAGGGCAGTCCAGAGTCTTTAAAGGATCTCGGCGCAGAGCAGAGGCCCAACACGTGGCATAGGCACATGCTGATTTGCCTGCGCCGAAAAGAGAAGAACGGGAACCGAGAGCGAACGAAAGGAACGAGAAAGAGCGGAGCGAACGTCATTAGGCCCATTGTTCCATTTGAAGCTTATCCTGTCTTTTATCCTAACGTTACTCAGAAGCTGATAGCTCTATTTTACACTCCTCGGCCAGGGAACAAAGCAGAACGAGACCCAACCTTCAACTCGCGATGGAATCCCTTCTATCCCTTCTATGGTCAAGGTGGCCCACCGTCCCACTGATGGATGCTACGGCGTAGTTGTCGTATATTCTACCCCGATATTGTCTTATTGTCGAATATCCTTTGTCTCGACCGAAGGCCTAGTTGTAAAGCCGACGTCGGCTTCTCTAGGGATCTATGGGGATAACCGACAAGCTTCGCCCCTTTCGGCTGGCTCTGCCCTGCCTAGCTCTTTACCCCGCGGGGTAGTAACACCGGGGATACGTATTATAGGGCCTAAACCTTTGGCATTACCGACTGTGAGCAGATAACCGTCCGCCGAACCGAAACTTGGGGACTAGCGAAGTGCGAGAGCTGGATTTTGCAGACTTCGTCTTGGACGTGGACGCGACGGAGACTGTTACAAATAACTAAGGTACTAACCAACTTGTATAATTTGTTTTGAATGATTTCTCTGTCGCATTCACACGTATGTCTATCCGTTCGAACCTGTCTCTTCCTTCAACATTACGAACATGACAGCGAATCCGGCATATGTTAGGGGCCCGAAAGACCCTGCTCTCTGGATCAAGACCCTAGGCACGGCCCTCGATGAGCAGGCAGCTCGTTTCGGCGATAAATCCGCCCTCATCGTGCCGTGGCAGTCGGTTCGCTTGTCGTATCGCCAGTTAGCAGACCGAAGTAGAGTTGTCGCGAAGGCGTTGTTGCGATTGGGACTGCGCCATGGCGATTCTGTGGGGATCATGGCGGGCAACTGCCACGAGTATATCGAGGTCTTTCTCGGCGGAGCACGCATTGGATGCCCCGTGGTTGTTTTAAACAACACCTATTCTCCGGATGAGCTCAGAAATGCTGCGTGTATAAGTTGTAAGTGCCGCTTATTCTACTAGGCTTATATACGTTGAAGGTCCTTAGACCAATCTGAAAAGCATGCAAGGTCATATTCATTGCTTCGAAGATCGGCACGAAAGACCTCGCGGCCCATATCGCAATTCTTAGAGGGCAGGGTCATCCGAATCCCAAACTCCTTGAGCTGCTACAACTTGTGTGCCTTGGAAATGATGAATTTGACGGCAAGGGTATCGGAATACAATCGTACACCCAGTTGAAGGTAAAAGCGGCTTTTGGTATTACTGACGAGGAGATGCTGCGACGCGCAGAGGCTCGAGTTGATCCTGACAACGTACTAAACTTGCAGTTCACGTCAGGTACGTTGGTTGGACCGGAGCACCCGCGAGGCGTAGCCGGGGACACTGACACTTGGAACAAGGCACTACTGGCGCTCCCAAAGCAGCCATGCTGACACATGTGTAGGTATCCCCATGACTTGGATATAGAAACGTTGCCATATAACTTATATTTACCCAGAAACCTCCTTAACAATGGTCTGTTTATCGGGGACGCGCTGCGTTTAACGCCCGATGATATTGTTTGCTGCCCCCCGCCTCTTTTCCACTGCTTTGGGCTCGTGGTGGGATTCCTTTCGTCGCTTAGCCACGGCTGTGCTATCGTGTTCCCCTCAGACAATTTCGACGCAAAAAAGGTTGTGGATGCTGTCATGAGTGAAGATGCTACTATTATCCTCAGCGTCCCGACCATGTTTATGGCTCAGCTGGAGGTCATGGCCAAGTCAGGCCAGAAGCCTCGTCGACTCAGAGCCGGGCTCTCAGCAGGGGCTGCCTTATCCGTGTCGCTGATAGCAAAGGTGCGCGAGAAAATGGGACTTAGAAAGATCATTAATGCCTACGGCATGACGGAGACAAGTCCAATCACATTTATGACGGTGCTGGATGATTCCGACGACAAGGCCGAAACCATTGGCAGGGTGATGCCTCACACGGCAGCTAAAGTCATCGACTCAAACGGTAAGATTGCGGCTCGGGGACAGCGAGGCGAGATATGCACGAGCGAAATATTCGCCATATCAATGATATTTCATTCCACTCGGTTGTGCCGCTCAGCGTCGTAATAGCTTACATCTTCGTTGTTAATCGTCTCATTCACCCATCCCGTTACATCGTCACCATGCCGCAAAAGTTCTCCCGCCAACCACCCGGTGTCTCAGAGGCCATCCTCATTACGTTCCCCGCGCCCAATCTCTTGCTGGTGACGTTGAACCGTCCCCAGCAGCTCAACGCAATGCCGCAGGGCTCACATCGAGCTTTCTCGAGTCTGGAATTGGTACGATGAAGAGCCGTCTCTACGTTGCGCCGTCATCACGGGCAAAGGCAAAGGCTTTTGCGCAGGCGCTGATCTTAAAGAGTGGAGCGAGAAGAACAGAGCCGGAATACCAAGCCACGGTGCGGATGGGGATAGCTGGCTCGAGCATGGCTTTGGTGGCATGAGCAATCGCCGGGGAAAGGAGCCCATTATTGCTGCTGTCAGCGGGTACTGCTTTGGAGGTGGCTTTGAGGTCATGTTGAACTCAGACTGCGTCATCGCGAGTGAGAGTGCCAAGTTTGGTCTCCCGAGGTCAACCTAGGCATAGCCGCCGTTGCCGGTGCCCTACCACGGCTCATTCGGATTATTGGGCGACAGAGGGCGTCAGAGATGACGCTTCTTGGCCGCACGTACACCGCCCAGACGCTCTATGAATGGGGGATCTTGAGCAAAGTCCTCCCAGAGAATAGTGTTCTCGACGAAGCACTACGATGGGCCGCTGAAGTGGCGGCTCAATCCCCAGATGCCATTATTCTTAATCACGCGGGACTGCTAGGTGGTTGGGATGGGGAGGATCCAACGTCCAGCACCTACCGAACCAATCAAGGCATCTTCAAGGCTTTGGATGGGGGAGTTAGCATGAAGGAAGGCATATTGAGCTTTGTGGAGAAAAGGAAAGCTCGCTGGATAGATACTAAGCTATAATGACCCTCTATAGTCACGGCATTTGCTCACGAGAAATTCGAGTCGACTTTTAGCCGTCTTTTAGAAGCTCCTCGATGGAATTTAAGATTCCTATGCCTGTTCCTGCTCCTATTCATATAACGGGGTCAATCAGCCGGGTCCTTTCATCCCCTAATAATACGCTAGCCTGTATCCCGCTCCAAGTGCCCGTTTCCCAGCCAACTCTAGCGGTAATTTGTTAGCTTCCATCCATGGAGTTTAAAACCAAAGCATTTAAAGTAGCAGTTGAAGCAGCCAAAGCTACATCCTAACTCTACCGACTATAACAACCTCCGTTCTCAAGCTCTTTCTCAAGATCTCTCCCGAAAGTCCAATACGGATTGCTGTTTGGGAGACAGCTTGGCCTGACGCGTGGCTAATCTATTGTGGGGTTGTAAGCCGATTGTATCCAGCTCAAATTGTAACAATGCACGGCGCGAAGTAGAACTTTCGGGCCGGCAAGATCCTACACAGTAACGCCGCATGGGCGGGAATGTCAGTGACGGCTATGGAGGAATTGCGAGCCCAGCCTGCTGTTTTGACTTCTCACATAGGCAATAGCAATAAAAAGTGGCAATCTTTCCCCAAATTATTCATGGGATGTAGACGGATAGTTCGTAAAGCAAAACTTCAAGGGACATCGCTGCAACTTCTCGAGCTCCTATTAGTCCACGACCTATCGTAACTTCTTACTCTGCAACGATGGCAGCCTCAAATAGTCAGGATATTTCTCACACTCGTCGCCAACCATATGCGTCACATGTGCTAAAACTCTATGAAAATAGCCTCTTATCCAACCATCTTCCTATCGTTACCACCGACCCAAATGCTCTCGAGGAACAGGCCCGGGGCGCGATGGAGACAAAGAGTTTTAAATACATCTATAGGGGTGCAGGCGAGTTGTCTACCATGGATGCGAATCGCCTCGCCTTTCGTCAATGGAGGATCATACCTCGTGTTCTCAAGCCAGCCAGCCCCCGGGATCTGACAACCGAGCTATTTTGTGTCAAGTACGGTAAGAAAATACCGGTGGAATTGACGTGGTTTAGGCCCGTGATATTAGACAAGTTGCTGAAACGCATTCTAGATTCTCCTCTTCTTGTGGCACCTGTCGGAGTCCAAGCCATGTTCCACTCTTCTGGAGAGAGGGGGTTGATCGCGGCCTGCGCCGAGCTGGGAATTCCTTATATTCTCAGCACAGCCGCAACACAGAGCATTGAAACCATTGCTGAGGCCTGTGGCCCACACCCCCGTTGGTATCAGCTGTACTGGCCCAAAGATAACGACATCACTCGATCCCTCGTCCTACGCGCCAAGAACTCCGGTTTTAGCGCGCTTGTCGTCACCCTTGATACGGTCACCGTTGCCTGGCGTCCGCATGACCTTGATATCGCGAATTTACCATTCCTGGAAGGAATAGGAAATGCCGTGGGATTCAGTGATCCGGTGTTCCGCGAGAAGTTTTATGCCAGGAGCGGTAAGACGCCGGAAGAAGATCAGCTTGGCGCCTCTAGGTACTGGATCAGCGAGGTATTCGCGGCAGAGCATCACTCTTGGGAAGATCTCGAGCTCCTCAGGGAACTCTGGGAGGGGCCGATCGTTCTCAAAGGCGTGCTGAGCGCCGAGGATGCACGCTTAGCATTGCAACACGGAGTTGATGGGATTGTCGTCAGCAACCATGGAGGCCGACAGATTGACGGTGGGGTGTCCTCCCTTGAGATGTTGCCAGAAGTAGTTGAGGCGGTTGGCGATCGGATGACTATTCTGTTCGACTCCGGCATCCGGACTGGGTCGGATATAATCAAGGCCATAGCACTTGGAGCACAAGCCGTCTTCGTTGGGCGGCCTGCACTTTACGGATCGGGTATCGCTGGTAAAGAGGGTGCATATGAAGTCCTAGCTGGATTACTCGCAGACATGGAACAATGCATGGCTATAGCGGGATTTCAGAGCATTGCGGATCTGAAGCCGTCTATTATTAGAAAAGTCTAATATTTGGGGGAATTTGAGACGCTTCTACGGAACTGATAAGTTATTTGTTTAAATTCGTGGGTTATGTGGGACCAGGGCCGGGAAGGGGGAGTAATTATTATTCGTCAAGACTGTCTTGAGAAATTCGATTCTTCGACTTCCTGTTTCTCGCCATAGCCTCCCTGTTAAGCTTATGTACTCTGCACTCGAGGCTGGCCTTGCCGCCCGAGTCCCTAGCGAGACACTGCTGATACCGCATTTCCGTGGTAAACTTTAGATTTGTACCAGATAGCAGGGGGGTCAGCTTCTCTCGGGACTATTAGCTTCCTTTTATTAGGGCACACTGGCACGGTTGACATGCGACGAGTCTCAGAGCTCGTTATCGCCGATTTCGGAGAACTCGGCCAAACCCGCCAGCCAAAGGATTTGCCGATTTACAGTGCAAAACGAATCTCAGCGTATTCTAAATGCAGCTCGGGTAATCGGTTAAACACAGGACAACCGCAACAAGAGAAAAACCGGGTCAACCGCCAACTCGTTTCAGGATGACCAGTCATTCTGTCGTGAATACTAGCGATATCAAGGGCCCCCTATTTGATCTCTTCTATAATAATCCAGCCGCGCGATATACTTTTGGACTACAACATTCTCATTTGTGTCAATAGTCACAGGAGGCTATCCTACTTCACTACTCGTACGGATTGATCGGCACGATGAGAATTGGATTTATGGGTCTCGGCGTCATGGGCACGCCCATGGCGCTGAACCTCGCTCGGAAATATCCGCTTACCGTATGGAACCGAACCGCGTCTAAATATCCGCTCGTTCGCCAAGCTGGGGCAGAGGTGGCTGAAACACCTCGAGCACTTGTGGACGCTTCAGACGTCGTTTTCACAATGCTTTTCAACGAGGCTGCCTTCCAGTCGATATTGGGCGCAGAGTTTATGGAGGGACTTCGCGGCAAAACTATCATCAATACGAGCTCGGTGTCTGTCAGCTTCAGCCAGGACTTAGCCGACCAGGTTCACCAAGCCGGCGGGCATTTCATCGAGATGCCGGTTAGCGGCAGCAAGGTTCCAGCTGAGCAGGGTCAACTAATAGGCATGATTGCTGGCGAACCCAGTGTCGCCGAGAGAATCAGACCCTTAGTTGAACCCATTACGAAAAACGCTGTCTACTGCGGTGAGATTGGCACGGGTCTTAAGACCAAGTACGCTGTAAACCTCTACCTCATCACCATGACGGCCGGTTTGGCCGAATCGATGGCCCTTGCCAGAGCCCAGGGTCTCGACATCAAGGCCTTTGGTCGGGTTCTGGATGCTGGCCCCATGGCCTCAGCCTACTCTAAGCTAAAAGTCGCAAAGATGATCGACCAAGATTGGTCGGCACAGGCGGCTATCAAAGACTGCTATAATCTCACTCAGCTTATCGACTCCGCTTCCGACGCCGTACATGCGCATTCGCCCTTGATTCACCTTTCCGGGTTACTATACAAGCAAGCGATTGAAAGGGGACTCGGCGACCACGACATGATCGCGATAGAGAAGGTGTTGGGCAACACTGTAAACTGGGCAGGGCCGAAAAAGAATTGATAATGATTACCAATTGATCTGTTCTTCTCCCTCTCCAGGTACACGAATATCCCGAAAACGCACCGGATGGTGCTGAATAGTGTCTGGCAAAGTCCTGGCTCATGGGCTCAGCCTAACCCCAGCATTGACTACCCGAGAAACAAGGTCTTCATCCAGTTGGAATATGGTACACCCCTCTCTCAGGGACGTTCCAGCCCAAACGCTGTCCTATTTGCGCGCAGCCGGAGATGTTAAAGACCCAACGACCCAACCTTGCTAGATCCCAGGTAGAATTAGGCACCATAGCAAGCCATTCGCAACGAAAAGTAATACATCACGTTTTCTCTTCTTGATTTCCCATATGAGTGAATGGCGAGCCGCAACATGATGAACGAGAAGGGCACGGCTAATCACTCGAGACAAAAAAAAAAGGCATTGCAGCAATGCATGGGGCGTCGTCTTATATTGTTAGTGCGTCCCGAAATACATTTCAAACCAGGCTGCAAATACTGAAATGTGGGATCTATGAGTTGATGCAGTAACGTGAGCGGCCTTACAACAGGTCCCTACTAGGATGCTGGAACTCAGAAGTTGTTAAAATAACGCATGCGAATATTACAGCTCCTACAAACGACTATTCGCGTGGCCAAGTAATGGGCATAGCAACAGCAACAAGAGCCCCATGGAGAAGCCCCATTCCGTCGATATCGCCAAGAAGAAAATTAGTGGCCTTCGGATGGTGGTATAAAGGGGGAAGTAATAAAATGTGACGCCGGGAAACATGCCACCTTTGGCAAGGCCAAGTGCCTTTCGCGTGGCAAAGAGTCTAGCATAGTCATGAAAGATTTCCCATCGAAGTCATTCCGCTACCCGACGCCAACATTATAGCGGGATCCGGATGGATGGATGGAAACGTTTCATGGCGAGGTTCGAAGGGATTTCCAACGCCAGGTAATTAGGAAATTCACAGACGTCGCGACGTGAGATTGATCATCATATTAGCGGAGTCTTCAGGAAGAGTTCCGGCACAGAATGCGTTCATAATCGTAGTCCCATTTGGTCGTCATGTTCAAATCCCCCTGGAGTCCAGCAAGTTTGCATTGCCCAGATTTTCTCGATCCTCGGAAGCAAGAATAAAACGGCAAGAAGCAGGAGGTCCAATTGATCTTTCATAGAAGTTTTCGGGTCTCCTTTAAGGAAAACTCTTGATGCGTGCCTTCGGCATGCTCGGTATCGGGCTTCACGACACTCTTCTCCCTATTAGCCGATGCAACCTCCAAACCTGGAGAGCGTCCATGGTCACTACGCCCATCTTTGTATTGGCGTTTGTATATGAAAAGAGTGAAACGTTTATTCAAAGTCCAACCAGTGTACTGGTGGGAGTCAAGTAGTTAATTGGTGCCGAGAGCTCTCTTGGCCAGTTTATAGGGTTCACCAGGCCAGGCGGCACTCTTATCGGTTATAAGAGTGCCACACGTAGAACATATCGGCTGCTAATAACCCAGCATCATCCATGCCGCGAGGTTATTCCATCTTGAGACCGGCTTTGTTGGAGAAGCTCTAACTGTCTACCGAGGTAGGTGAAAACGGTTCATGTTGGTTAACTGGGGACTCAAAGCCAAGGTCATGTCTACCCCAGTTACCTTGGATTACGCGGCAGTTGGTGGCAGGGGCTGTGGACTCCACTTTGCCGGTCCAAAGAAGAAGGTTTTAAAGTGAGACCAGTCATACTTGGAAAGGTTCAATCAGGCCATCTTGAGTATTGATTTCCCCGCTTTCAAAAGACTGGTCATATCACAATTACCTTGACGACAACACTTGAACTTGTCGACACAATAGCACCTCCCAAATTTCAATACCCTATTGTTGATGTTTGGTGCAACCTCCCTGGAGTACGGAAGCTTCCTCAACATCTAGATGGTATGCCCTTGCTAACCCTTTCTTTGGTAGCTGGGCGCCGCCAGCCATCCCCGAAGTCGCTCGTCTGCTCGCCTACAGCCATTCTGATCCTGAGATTGCTGACAAGAAGCGTTCTCCCGATGAGGTCATCGCACTAATGGATGAAGCGGGAGTTTCCCATGTCTGTCTATCCGCTTGGAGCCGCCCTGGCCAAATGATCTTCTCCAACGAGGAGGTTGCCAGGTATACTCGGCCTTACCCGAATCGGATTTTTGGCCTTGCTGCTGTTGATCTTCACAACCCTGTTAGGGCGGTCAAAGAGCTCGAGTACTACGTCAAGGTTGAAGGCTTTGTGGGCCTGAGAATAGTTCCCTGGCTCTGGAACCTGCCGCCAACTGATCCTCACTACTGGCCGCTTTTTGTCAAATGCATTGAACTTGACGTGCCGTTCCTCACCCAAGTTGGTCATACGGCACCCGCATGCCCCAGCGAGGTTGGGCGCCCAATTCCATACATCGACACCATTGCGCTCAAGTTCCCGGACCTCAAGATAATCATGGGCCACATAGGATATCCCTGGGCCGCAGAGACCGTGGCGGTTGCTTGGAAGCATAAGAATGTCTACATCGACACTAGCGCATGGTCACCAAAATATTATGCACCGGAACTTATCACGTTCGCCAATACCACTGGGAGGACTAAAGTTATGTTTGCAACGAACTTCCCACAGCTGGGACTCAAAGAATGCGTTGACAATGTCAACAACTACCTGGTCGGCAACAAGGGCGGGCTTAGAGAGACGTCAGTGAAGGAATTTATGGGAGAAAACGCTATTCGAGTCCTGAAGCTGCCTCCTGTAAACTTGGATAACCTTAGGGCCAACCTTTGAGATTGTAGCTCAATCAGATGTCTTCTGAACCCCAATTTCCATCTGCACGTTTCAAAGTCGTAATCCAAGTTTGTGAGAGATCTTATGACTTGGCTACTTCAGACTAGTACAGCACTTGTTCCTTGGTACAATGACACTCTTAAAGCGTAAACAGTAAATTATACGGAACCTATTACCCTCCTATACATGACTTCTACGAATGTCACATAAGCTAAGCCCTTTTCTATGAGGATTCGACCGTCCAATTCGTTTCTTCTCTGCATCGCTATCCCGCCCAGTTGCCCGTTAATGGTCTACATCACCGAATGCCTAAGCGGGCACACCGGACAAATCGGACTTCGGCGCCATTATTCGGCGCGATCGGCTGCTCATTCGGTGTTATGTGGATAGCCTGTCTAGTCTCTATCTTAAAAACTCTTTTAACCAAAAAAGAACAAGAGCAGGTCAAAACCGAGAAATACATACGATCAAGAACTAATATTCTGCGCAAGAAGTGCCCATCACCTCATCACATCAGAGGATGGAGCCCTGGGTCCGAGCCATACCAATCACGACACTTCCGCTCTCCGCTGGCGAGACAGAATGTGGTGAGGTATTGAAGATGGATAGAATAGAACCTTTATCCTAGAAAGATATCCTGCCTATTCGCTACGTGGGAGACGTAAAAAGCCATGTTAACATAGCATTGCTATGCTCGGGGATTTCTACCACATGGAAAGCCCTACCACGTCACTGAGGTGTGGCGCCGGGACAAGCGTGTATACACTTTGCTTGGCTTGTTGAACCAGTAGTTATGAGTCTCCCACTCCTTGTTCGGATGGGCGAGTTCCAGATGGAACGTGCGGAGGATTTGCGGAATCATCTTGTACATCTCGCAAAGGGAGATCTGGTAATTGTTAGCCATGTGCCATGGCATAGCGGGATTCAAACACAGTTTGTCTGCTACTCACATTCTTGCCAATGCAAGTCCTCGATCCCCCACCAAACTACGCAAATCGTTAGAGATAGCTTCGGCACTAACGACTCTCAGAACGACAAACCTGGAACATGTATCGGTCCATGTTCTCGGCCCCTTCGCGGAACCATCTATCGGGATTGAATTCATTGGCATCTGGCCCAAAGATATCCTTGTTTCGGTGGAGGACAGCGGCGTTGATTCCAACCCTAACGCCTCCTGGGAATCTTTGACCACAGATATCGCGTCCCCCGGCTGGGACCTCTCTGGGTATGGTCAATCCCACACTTGGATGCATCCTCATGCCCTCCTTGCAGCAGGCGAGAAGGTACGGCAGTTTCATAGCTTCGCGATACCGTATAATGTCGCTCAGGCGACCTTCGTTGGTAGCCTGATCAATTTCTTCGGTGAGTTTCTTATAGGCGGCAGGATTCTTCATCAAATGATAGAATATTGACGAAACTGCGGCTGCAGTTGTATCAGATCCCGCAAAACTGGCGCACGGTTAGAGGCTACACAAATGTTCCGGGTGGTGTCACGACATACAGGGCAACATAGACTTCAACTTTGACCTCAGTCAGACCAAAGTCGATCTCTTCTCCCTTTTTGTTCATAATATCAAAAAGGCTGCTCAAGATATCCTTGGTCTCGACATCTTGTCCGTTTCTGAGGAGAGCCTGTCGTTCGCTGATGCAAGAGTCTGCCGCCCTTTCAATGTCGCCGATGCTTTTGAGTGCTCTGAAGACCCCCGGGATCACAGCTCCTCCGAGCAGGAACACTGGACGAATATAAGTCGGCATAACACTCGCGGCGCAGAGAATCGGCAGAAGCAAGTCAAGTGCTTGGATGTATCCTCGATGATCTCGCATCGTCTCCATGAAGCCAAACATGCCGCTAAAGAAGAGTTGTCCGATCACGTCAAAGGCATACCTAGAAAATAAAGCGTCAGTCTGCACCCGTTTTACTTGCAGTCTTAGTCGGGGGGATTAGTGTACATCTGGGACCATTTTGCAAGATCAATCACTTCCCCTTTGCTTGCAAACTCCTCCATTTTAGATACGAGCATCTTAGTGCAGATATCGATGCTTTCTTCGGATCGAACGATGTTAGACATTGAATAAAGATTGTTTACTATCTTTCTACGGCTGGCGTGTACTCTTTCGTCAAGCGATGTGAAAGCATCGGGATATTTGCCTGCATCTTAATTAGTATAATAATAATATCCAAGGTCCTCGTTGGAGTTAGAACGTACACCATGCCGGCCTCCACGGAGTGTAAAAATCAGTCTGGATGCAAATTAGCATGAAACGAAGATGTCAGGTACGAAGGTATACAAGTCTCTATACCTTTGTAAAACCGGAGTTGATGGCGTAGATACTCCTGATGCCATCGGGATCAGAAATCGCAACCTCATTTGGGGCAATTCGTACGATGGGGCCTATTACTGTCAGTTTTGGAATACTGCTTTAACGGCAAGTCGTAACCAACCGTGCTTTTCATGCAACCTCCTCTGTGTCTTCTCGGCGTCGGCTTGCTTGATTTGCAATACAATCCAGAGCCGTGAAAAGGATGCTAGAAAGGGACCCGGATACTTCGCCAGGGGATGAAACCATCTCGAGTAAACAACCCAGGCTGCCCAGTAGCAAGATACAACGAGGCAGCCTAAGGCATAAGGCGAAAGGGGCAGAGTAACCGATGATAGCGACAGGTGAATCATTTTGATGCATTATTTGAGTAGACTAGTCATATGTACTGGACATGGGCGGTTTAAACTTAATCTTGAGTTTGTTCCAGTAGCTGTGGACAGCTTGGATGGGGGGAACATCCGAGAACTTATGTCCTTTGATTAATTCCATATTTCTGATCTTTCCTGCTATTGATGTTAATGTGCTCGAGTCCTCTTCTCTCTTCCTCCAATTAGATATCCTGTGCTCCAAGTATTTCACACCATCTTCCTCAGGTCTTGGCATTAGTACCCGCCGAGGACAAGCTGTTCTCTGGACGCTCTTCGACAACACAACTAAAGTAACGGCAGTTCTATGGGAAGAGAATGAACTTTCTTGATTAGGTAGGTGAAGTTGTAGGGCGCCGTGTTTCTCGTTGCCGTTGCTGATACCCTTGTGTGGGATATTCTCCGTGACCGTGAGGTCTAGTCTGTGGAGGTGGGAATATCCCGTACCTGGGGTAGATACTAACCTTTTTATGTAGATGAGCAGGTCTTAATACGAATAGAGATAAAGAATCGGAGTATTGTCTCTGAATAAAGATGAGCCCCTGGTATTAGATTTCTAATCCTCGGAGGATGGTCGCTCTGTGAAATGTGGGGGGATATAGTGTTGGGAGGTGGAAGTATGAAGTGAGGCCACGAGCTCGGAGAACGGAGATGGCCCTCCGCTTACATAAGGAACCGGTGTCGCACCAAGACACACGCATCGAATAGGCCTGGACCATCACATCATGAAAGGGGATGACCTATTTCCATGCACCTGTGCGCAATTCACCAATCGTGTCGAGATATACTGTCTTCCCTAGTTAGTTTGCTTTTCATCTTCCTGGAGGGATTTGAGGCGTGCACCGTTAATGGCTATAACTCGGTGGACCCCTAGATCACGCCATGGGCCATCACGCGGAGGAGAGGGGTGTGACTCCGTGTGAGCAAAGTGAGAAGGAATTTAGCTTTGATGTCTTGGGCGGTAAAGGTAGTCAATTGCCTGGCTCTGACACTGGTTCATATAAGTATCTAAAGGCAATAAGGTTGCCGCTCTGACTGTCACTATCATTGAAATGTCTCTGAAATTTAACGACTGCATCATTCAGTCGCGAGCTGGCCAAGGGCCTATTTATCATTTATGCTTGCGATCTCTAATTACCTACTATGATTTTGCCGTGGCTCTCCTTGGTGGTGGGATTCTGCCCTCTCGCGGCATTTGCGGCCGTCATCTATCCTCAGCATGGACAACCTCCAGATGCGACGTTGATTGTGCATCTTCGAAATCCCCATCGTACGGAGGCTCCTATAGTGGCCTACAACCTCGCGCCTCTGAATGGAAAATCGGCGCCGATTGGTGAGGTGCGGAGCTCTCGCGAGCGCCCTCCGTCTATCCCCGAGTTATTAAACTGACAAATTTAACGACCTGGATGTTAGAGAACCAACATTGAAGGCTTCGCACTCATCATCAATGCGGCAAACATCGACATCCTCGGTGAACCCGGCCGTGCTTGCTGGCTCTCCTGCGATATTTCTTCAGACCTTTCGACGTCGCCGGGCCAGGACGATTTGTTTCAGAAAATACTGGATTCCGAACCCGTGGCGATAATCCTGTACACGCTCATCGGGGAATGGTGTTCCGTCGACTGGTCGCGATTAAGATCCGACAAGGTATTCACAACAATCAGCGCAAGCGACGCAAATAGCGCTCTGGGGTATATTCACGAAGGCGGCAACAATACCAGTGGTATACGGCTATCTATCTCGGGAAACCCAAGTGTGACAACGGCAAGAGAGAATGGTGGCGGAACAGAAGGAGGCAGGGCCAAGACGATCGTCTTGATCGTTCTTGTTGCCATCTGGGGAGGGCTCATTACCATCGGTCTCGCGGCCGCCGTGTTTGGAGCTATCCGAGCCCGTCGGTACCCGGAAAGATATGGACCACGCCGGGAGACGGAGGGTCAGGCATCTCAGACAAAAGTTGGGGGTATCACTCGAGCTGTTCTCGATGCCTTGCCGATCATCAAGCTCGGAAGTCAGGGTTCCACTTTGGAAGCTCCTGGGTTCGAATTACAGACAAAGCAGGAGGAGGGTGGAAATGGGAGCTCAGGCGGTGAGGCCGGACCTGAGGCTACCTGTAACATTTGCACCGAGCCGTTCACCACCCAGGACGAAGCTCGTCTTCTGCCCTGCGACCACATGTTCCACCCGGAATGCGTCGATCCTTGGATACTCGACGGGCCTGCTACCTGCCCATTATGGTATGTTGAATTTCCTTTGGCACTCTGGCATCAAAAATATAGCTTCAGCTAAACCAAATTTGCCGTAGTCGCCGAGATATTCGACCACATCTCACCTCCGGTACCGACGGCGCTGAACGCAGCGGATAAACATTGAACGATGGAGAGAGACTAAGGTATGAAGTCAATTAGTAACCTACAGGTAGGAGATTTAGCCCAATCAAGCGTTATGAAAAGTCATGCCCCCCTAAGGATCATGTCCGCCGTACATCAATTCCTTTAAATAAATATTTAAATGTAACCGTCTTTACAGCCCTATAAGGCTCTCGGATGAGGGACAAGTTCCGTTCAAGTTAGATAGCGAAAGCTTTTCTGCTTGTCACCCAGCTCCGTAACATCGACGGACTCGTTCTGATCTGGGAGCCCGTACTCTCTGTCTCTTCTTTTGTTTTCTCTCTCCAGAGCGAAGTGTAGACCAAGGGCTAGAAAGATAATAGTGCCGGTGAATGCGCACCCGATGGCACAGCCTTTAGTGTAAAATGGCCTGCAGAGCAGTGCGTCAGCTAAGGGGTTGGGAATGAAATTGGTTGCTCGACTTACGCGTCAGAATTCGGAAATACAGTGCTGCTCACAAAGGACGAGCACTGCCCAAATGTAGCTAAGATGGCTAGGCCGGCACCTTTTTTAGAATCTCCTCCTTGGTTGTTGAGAAGCCAAGTAATATTAATGCATAAGGCCGGAAAAACGCCGCATGCCGCTAACCAGACTCCCGCGTATCGCGGCCCTGTATTATCATTGTCCTGTATAAGAACAAGTAACAGATAACCAACCATTCCCATGGTGGCAAAGCCGCTGACAATGTAGCCACGTTTGCCGTACCTGTCAGACGCGTACGCGGCCGCAATGCAACAGAGGAAGGCTGCGAAATAGACGGGTGCAGTCAGACCTTGGGCCGTGACGGAAGAATAACCCATCTCCCTAACAATTGTAGGAAGGAAGTTTGAGAGGCCGGCAAACGAGTAGTTGCAGAAGAAGTGGATCGTCGCGTGGACATAGTTTTGATAATCCAACATGCCGGCAAACACTTGAGACCACTTGACACTGCTCTTCTTAGTGTGGTCCCGAACCTGTAATCGCTCAACGGCGTGTGTCTTTTCTTCATCCGATAGGTATTTGGCCGTGCCTGGAGAATCTGGCAGGTAGAACCAAGTAACGAAGGCAAATAAGACGGTTGGTGCACCCTCTGCATATGCATGTCAGACGAATGTTGGGGGAAGTATACTATAGTTGTTGAATCTTACCGATGATGAATAGGTATCGCCATGGCTCCAAGGATCCGCGGATATGCGTAATGCCGTACGCCAAGGCAGAGGCGAAGCAGTTGGCCAAGGGAGCCATACCTAGCAAGAGGGAGACGCGAAGCCCCAGCTCTCGTCTGCGATAGAACATAGAAAGGAAGTACGGTGCCCCGGCACCGAAAGCTGCTTCGAAGATGCCCAGGAATGCACGGCAGGCAACAAGATCGGCCATCTTTTTCGCCGCGCCAGAGCACATTGCAGCGGTTCCCCAACTAGTTATATCAATAAGAAGAGACAGCCAGCGCATGACTATGAGAACTTACAGGACACAAAGAGTGCTAACATATTTGCTTGCAGGCAGGATCTTCCACAAAACTGTTGTCCACTCGAAGCAGACATAGCAGATGTAGAAGGTGTTCAAGACCCAGGCCCATTGGGAATCGCTGAGGTTAAGGTCACCCTGCGCTCCGGCTGTCTTGGCATTGCCAATGTTGCCACGGTCAAGATAAGAGAGTACGTAAAGGCAGCAGACGACAGGCATGAGACGCTTATCGAACTGATTTCCATGTTAGCCCGGCTACTCAATTAAGCCAAACTGATTAGGACGATAATAGCGCACTCACAGCCGTTCGAATTCGCTCGCCCAGCGTTTGCTGCTCTGCGGCAAATACATTCAGGATGACGGGCTGCTCCTCAAGTTCTTCTACCTTGGAACTGCTCCGTTTAACCTCGAGGATAGACATCGTGCCAGTTCCCCAAAGCTTCGCAAGGTTCAAATTGTGTAATGGAGAGAGTCGATCGTTAGAACAAATAGTGGAGATGTCCTGAGGCTCCTTGGAAGACTTCTCTGGCGTTTACCTCGAGGCCCTGTTGGACTTTATATCCCCAAGCGGTTACCCTGCAGAATCAATTTCCCCGCAGATGCAACATCCGGCAGTACCCCAGAGTATCGGTAGGGAATGCAGCTCTCCATTAGCTCCCTTCCCGTCTGGGGTACCCCGCAAAACTACTAAACTAAAACTAAGTTAACAGAGGTCCACGACCGTTATACTCTACGACTAGTTCAGCACCATCGTTAATCGGAGAAGCACGGGGATTAGGTAACTCAAATCTGGAGGATCGGAAGGCTCATCAACGCAATAAATGTATAGTCAATTACTGCTGTAATACGTTTTTCTTTTCCCTTTTTTGTTCTATTTCTTTACTTTTTATTTTTATTTTTAATTTATAATTTTTTAACTACAGCTCTGAAACTAAGAAAACTCCAAAAGCTAATTTCGACTTGGATCGCTCGGTGTTTTGAAGTTCAGCAGGCGCTTTGATGGCACGAGCCTAGAGTTCTCCCGGCGATTTGTACCAGTGTAGGCTCCCGGACAATCCTGTTCAATCCGGGACTATCCGGGACTATCCGACCATAGATCCGACTAGTCCTAAGGCATGGTCGTCTATGGGTTCAACGGTCCGCAAGAGCCCAGCACTTCTGCTGGGTCCGGTACGTAAGCTCCCGACCTCCCTTGAAAATCCGTCGGAGGGAATACTTCTCACGCAAGTTATAAGAGAGCCTGTTTCGCCATACAGGATAAATACAACCACTTAACTATCTCCCCAATCCAAGCAACTCCGTATCCTTAAAATAACATACGACAAGATCTCGGCAGTTTATTTTCTTCATTCGCCTTTACCATGTCTAAGTCAATTGTCAATTCCGTCCCTTACCCTTTCTCTTTCACACCGACCGTTGTCCAAAAACCCGGCAATCTAGGTGTAACTGAAGATGTCACCGCAACACTCAAGAACGTGCGCGGCAAGATCCCATCCGTGCAGGCAAGCCGCCTCCGCACGATGATGCTCGAGGCACACGCGGATCCGAGCAAGATCCTGGCCCATTGCTGTTCTTATGATGGCCTCTCCTCTCGCCTCGTCGAGGAAGCCGGCTTCCCTATGGTCTTTCTTGCAGGCTACACAGTTGCTAGCGCATACGGCCTGCCGGACACGGGTTACATCGCCATGGCGGAGATGTGCGACAAGATCCAAGAAGCTGTCCGACAGGTGTCTGTCCCCGTTATGGCTGACGGCGACACCGGGTACGGTAGTCCATTAAATGTGCGCAGGACAGTTGAGAGCTTCGCCCATGCAGGCGCAGCTGGAATCATGATTGAGGACCAGACGTGGCCGAAGAGTGAGTGTCGAAATCGATTGCCTTACGTTTTGCGACCGAACTGACGACAGTTATTTTTGGCGGTTGGTAGGGTGCGGCCACACAAAGGGAAAATCCGTTGTATCGAGGGGAGAGGCCTACGCCAGGATCCAGGCCGCATGCGACGCTAGGGATAACGGCAAGGACATCTTCATCCTCGCAAGGACGGATTCGCTGATTCATGGCTTGGACGAAGCCCTCACCCGGGCGAAGGAATTTAAGAAGATCGGCGTCGATGCCGTCTTTATCGAGGCGCTGCCTGATAAGGAGGCTATGCGCCAGTGCGTTGAGGAGCTCGGCATTCCCACTTTTGCTAACAGTGCGTATCGGTCCTACTATTTCTACTTTTATGGCTGAGCCACTTCACGTGCGGGTCGGTTCTGATATGCTTGCAGTTATCGAAGGCGGGAAGACTGAGAACTTGTCAGCCAAGGATCTCGCTGAGCTTGGTTTCTGCGCCGTTGCGTACCCGTGGACGCTGGTGGCTGCGAAGCTGAAGAGTATTCGGGAGACGCTCGAGGGTCTGAAGAGGAGTATGACGGTTGGCGCCCCCCCAATGATCTTGTCGTACAGCGAGGTCTGTGAAGGCGTTGGCTTCAATAAGTACTGGGTAAGTACTGAGCACAGGACAACAGGCCGATTTAGACATAATGCTGACAATTAACGTCCAGGACCTCGAGGAGAAGTATAAGTTTGAGGAGAACGGCTTGGTCAATAGAAGGTCTGCCTAAATTTTCCAAGGTACTGGGCCGATTTTGAGTCCAGATGGCGACCCTTAGAGCCGCGCCTCTCAAGTAACTAGAGCATTTCATCTCATGCAGGCAGGTAGAACATATAGAGTCAAAACCGTGGGATCGCGGACGCTTTTGCACGCGTCAGGTTTCTACATTTGCGCAAATTCCACTCTCATGCTCTCAGCCCTGTCTTGCACTTCATTGTCTCGCGCTCTCGCTCCACCAAAACTACCACCGCTTACCTTTAGTAGGTGTTGATCTGCTCCTTTGAGTCCAGTGTAGTCTGCCGTGAGCAAAGGGGAAGCCCCTTGTGCCGGGGTTCAGATTCCAGCATGTCGCGTCCGAGTCTAGAATATCTTCCTTTGTAAATTGTACCTCGTCGGAGCCTAAACCTCTATTTCTTCCACACAATGTTTGATGGTTGGTGTTTAGCCGGCTCCAGTTATTCCTAAGTTCAGTATGCCAGAGGAAATCGGCGCAATACTCTCGAGCTTGCTAGGCAAGCACGTCCTCGGTATTAGGCTAGAGAAGTTCCCCGAGGACCCTAGTGAATAAGCCAACTATGCATACTGACCGACCGATTGCCTGAAGAAGAGCCTAATGAATTTATACACATCATATTGAACTTGACCGTGATGGTACCAAGGAGTCGTCGTATACTGCTCAATCGTTCCGGCCTGACAGATCCTCTGCCCCGTGATATTACTGTGAAGGCTCTGGCAACCTTAATGATCTAGTGTTCCTTCTTTCGGAATAACCTCAACCTAGGTCACGCATTGACACAACGTTGTGAGCGAATAATTAGAGTTGCAGTTGGTACGCGAAAGATAATGTCGCCAGTTAATCCTAAGCACTTGGCGAAATCATGAAACTTGGCCTAAAATTACATGTCTGAAGTGACACACTTGGCACTAACTGGGACCGAGTATCCACAGCTACGTAGCTGGTATCTAAGTGGTATTGTCCAATGTACCTGTGTGAAACGCCTTGCCCGTGTCTCCTAGTTTGTTATATTCTTAGCCCTGGATATGTCCGGGTACCGGGGGGCGAGAACTCGAGCCAAGCAGGAGCCGTCCATATTCCGTGAACCGAGTCCGAAGACCCACGTTCGGCTTGAGGGTAATCAAAGCAGGAACCGAGCGGGTCTGGGGTAAATTTAAGGGATAGGTACCTCAGTACCTTTTCCTTGTATATCCGGTCGGCTCGTCGCGGCTTGAGAGACCTTCGCAAATCGTGATAGTTAAGGGTGATATAATAACATTTAACATTTCGGATGATATATATCCTTAGCAAGTTTCTACAGCGCAGTTCGGAAGTAATCAAGCGGGATTCAGAGGAAGATAATTAAGCTGGTTGAGGGCATAGAACGGTTCAAGGACAAGCAAAACAAAGATACGCTATGTCCTGGCTATCGATCCCCCCTGACAGCCACTTTTCGCTTGCCAACCTGCCTTTTGGCATCATCTCCTCGGCCACGAATCCAACACCTCGCCCAGCAGTTGCCATCGGAGATCATGTACTAGATCTTCAATCCTTCGCCAGCGCCGGCGGCTTCTCCGCTTCCCCGGAAATCGATAATCATGCGTCGGTCTTCGAGCAGTCCACGCTGAACGCCTTCGCCGCGCTGGGTCGCACCTTTCACCGCGCTGTCAGGCAGTATCTCCAGTCCGTTCTGATTGCTAACACCGAGTACCCGGAGCTGCTCCGCGACAACTCTGCTCTGAGGTTGCAGGCACTCCTGCCTCGCTCCGAGGTCTGGAACCATGTTCCCTTGGCAATTGGCGACTACACCGACTTCTACGCAGGAAAGAATCATGCGTACAATGTCGGAGTGCTTTTCCGTGGCCCATCTAACGCGCTGCAGCCCAACTACAAGCACCTCCCTGTTGCGTACCACGGGAGAGCAAGTAGCCTCGTCGTATCTGGGACGCCGATCCGACGACCATGGGGTCAGATCTTAAGGGATCCCAAGGCCGAGCCGAAGGTTCCAGTCCTGGCACCCTGCGAGAAGCTCGATCTCGAGCTCGAGATGGGCATGTTCGTTTGCAAGGAGAACAACCTGGGGTTGCCCGTCCTCGTGGGCGAGGCGGAGGAATACATCTTCGGATACGTACTGCTGAATGACTGGAGCGCAAGGGATTTGCAGGCGTGGGAGTACGTCCCGCTAGGTCCGTTTACGTCCAAAAACCTTGGCACGAGTATTAGCCCCTGGGTCGTGCTTGCCGACGCTCTAGAAGAGGCTAGGGGCCCTGGGATTGAGAACCGGACAGACCTGTTGCCGTACCTTCGCGAGAGCAGGAAAGACAGCATACTAGGTATCGAGCTCGAGGTTGACCTCATCACTGCCAACGGAAGCAAGACCACTATCAGCAGGACCAACTCCAGAAACCTCCTGTGGTCCTGGCCGCAGATGATTGCCCACCACACGATTACAGGATGCAATTTACGAATTGGGGACTTGTTTGGTTCCGGCACAATTTCCGGCACGGAGCCTGGCTCAGAGGGCAGCATCCTAGAGCAGACGCAGGGAGGGAAGATCCCACTGAGACTGGTATCAGGGGAGGAGCGCAAGTTCTTGCAGGATGGTGACACCTTAGTTATCCGCGGTTGGTTCGGACGGGAGGGTGCCTTGGTCGGATTTGGAGAAGTGTCAGGCAAGATTGAAGCCGCTTTGCCTCTCTTCTAGCTTCCGGGGCTGGCGTCCCGAAAATATCCCTCACAGTGCAGCAGTATAGCCTAAGCATTCTCGAGCATAATAAGCGAAATTCGGTGGATTTTGGCATCAATTTTGTACCTGGTTCCTTGCTTCGCCTGCGAAAAGTGTCTTCTGAAAGCTGCCTAACGCCTCCACTCCCTACGGTTTCACTCTCAGCCCTTTCGGCGTATCCGGTTGACTCGCATAATGCGCCGCTACAACCTCAGGACGGACTAATAGCCGCTCCATAACTTTCCCCAGTACGTCAAACTCGCGGTTCTATCCTCCCGCGTCCCCAGAGCCCGGACCGCCTTCATCACTCGCATGTTCGTCACTGGCTGCGTGTCCGTACAGATGATCCCAACGAGCGTGCGCACCGCAGCGCGAGCCTCGGGGTCCGACACCGGTGGTAATAGCGGGTATGTGTCCGGGTGCGCTTCGTCGAGGTACTCGAGCGCAGCGACGGATTGGCCGATCCTGAAGCCTTCACGGCAGGTGGTGTGGCAGGCAAGCAGAGGTTCCGAGCCGGATGGGTTGAGGGATCGGTGATCGGCAGAGAGGTGTTCACCCTGCAGCAGATTGACGACGATGAAGTTGTAAGGGATCAATTAAAGCTTCAGAGTTTTGCGTAAGCGGGCAGAGCAAAAGGAACGGAAGCAGCTGTGAAAGGTGTAATCGCGTTCGGGCATTTGGGGCGGTGACTTGAAGGACAATAATACCAGAATCTTTTAGAACATGTTATGTATTTGGTATAGCTGCTTCCTCGATTTGGATTTGCTTTGGTTGGCAAAATCTGTGTCTATCCATCGTGTCCGTCATCTTCACATATGTATTCATAATACATCGCACGTTACGGGCACCCGACGAATATAGCCAATGCTAGCCTCCCGCCATCCTAACCTTGGAAATCATCCGAGGTTCGTCTCCGCTGCGGGCCGACCGGGACTTACCCGAGCCCGCCCCGCGCGAACAGCGAGTGATGCGGCAAAATAAGCAGATGCATATGGGAGTTCAGGGACCTGTGCTACAGTCATTGCTTGTCGCCAGACGTGGTGCCTTTATCGCGTAAATCGGATATCCTGATCTTCTACTGGTGCAAAGCTGCGCCAATGATATTTACTATGAAGATACTTGCACTCATCAGCGCTTAAGCACATGCAGATAGAGTTTGATGAAGCTTTTGATCTCTGACACTGGATGACGTTTGTAACTGGGCAGATATCTCCATCACTCGCCTATTCAAAGGCATCATATCTCGTATATTCACTCACTTCTGCTCTGGATGCTTGAAGTGAACCTTTAGTGGCATCCAGCTTTCCAAGTTATAGCCACCTTGCACTTTCTCGCACGTCTTGAGTGCCCATTCAGTCACTCCCATCATCAGACAACTCTCAAGCATGAATGCCATGCTGCCACTGCCAACTTTGGCCGGCTTCAATTCCGCCTTGCTCGCCTTCTCGAAAGATGCCGAGTCCGGACCATGTCCACTCATGACGTTGTGCAAGCTGGCACCACCGGGCATGAACCCTCCGCCTTCTTTTGCGTCATAGTCTCCAGAGATGAGTCCCATAAACTCCGACATAACATTTCGGTGATACCACGGCGGTCGAAAGGTGTCTTCCTGGACAAGCCAGCGCGGAGGGAAAATCACAAAATCAACGATTGCTGTGCCCACCTGGGGTGACTGCGCTGTGAGGACCGTGAAGATGCTAGGGTCGGGGTGGTCGTAGCTAATGCTGCCGATGGTGTTGAACCGGCCCAGATCATACTTGTACGGATAGTATGTGCCGTGCCAGGCAACCACATCGAACGGAGTATGGCTTTGAGAACCTGAGAAGAGCCGGTTGTTGAACTTGGCGATTATGCTCCATTTCGAACCCAAGTCTTCTTCGAACGCGGCTCGCGGTGCCTGGAAGTCCCGGGCATTGGCCAGGCAGCTACTGCCAATGGGTCCCAGCTCCGGCAACGTGAAGTGGCCCTGGTAAAGCTCGCAGATGTAACCACGGGCAGGCTCCCCCTGGTGGAGCGTCACCCGGTAACGGAGACCCCGGGGCACGACGGCGATTTCGTTGGGTCGTACCAGCAGTTGGCCTAGCTCGGTCTTGATGTCCAAGGTGCCTGTCTGCGGTATGATGAGGAAGTCCCCGTCCGCCGAGTAGAAGGCGGTCTTCTCATCCATGTCCTTGCCCGCCGTGAAAACATAGTATCCCATTCCGCTCTTCATCACCGGCGAGCCGGCCCCGCCGATGCGGCGTAGGCCCCCGACCCAGTCGACGCTCCAGTCGATGGCAAATGGGCTCCATCGAAGCTGGTCGGGGACGTATTGTAGCGGCTCCGTTTCGAGGGAATGTGCACCGGAATCGAGTCCGCAAGGGGCGAAGCTCTCGTGTGCTGCAGATGGGAGAATACGGTAGAGCCAGGACTGCAGGTTTTCAGAACGTGGCGCAGTGAAAGCTGTGCCAGACACCTTCTCAGCGTACAGCCCGTACGGGCATTTCTGCGGCGAATTGGACCCGACGGGTAGTGCCCCTGATATGGCTTCGGACCTAGGAATCTTCGTCAGGCCATTGCTGCCAGCTCGGATAGGGGCTATCTAGGAAATCTAGGAATTGGCACAACTCACTCGTGATATGAGCCGAAGCCGTTCAGATATTGGTACTTCTCCTCAGTTTGAAACTTCGTGGTTGGCATTGCCGCGATCCTCTTGAGCTTTCTGCCCGATTTCCAACTTGTTACGGTAAAGATAAGTGTAATTTTGAGGGAGCTCCTGTCCTCATATCCATCAATGTTATAGTTGTCTCGTACATTCTATTTGCTTCCCGATAGCGGAATGTCAGCCGGAAAATCTTTACCAGTCCGGACCTGAAGGGTGCGGAATTGGCCCACGCGTGATGGGGTTACATGACCGTACATTATGGGGTACCCGGGGGTACCGTGAATATCCGGGTCTTCGTACGTAGCCCTGGCTCGGTTGGAATTAACGGATCGATTTGCTCTCGGATAAGTCCGGCGCAACACGACGAAGCCAGATCATCATCTCGTGGATGAGCGATCTATAGACAGGATGGACACTACGCAGGACACCTCTAGCCATTAGCGCATACTGGAGTGCATAGACTAACGATCTTATATTCGGCAGCTAAACATTCGTGTTATCTCCCTCCTGTCCATAACTCTGTTCCGCAGTTTTATTAGGCAGTATCAGCGGCTCTGAATTCCTCTTTTATCGCCTGTTTCACCATTTCACCGCACAGCTTCGCGTACGGATTTGTCCTTACTGCCATCTCCTGCGCCATCTTGTTCCCGTAGAGACCTCCCAAGCGAAAGTGATGACTTGCCAGCTCCTCAGCTGACCGCCCGCTCTCCGGCCTGAGAATAGAGGGTACCTCGTCCGGGTCTTGGACCCTAGATGCCAGCAAGAGCAAAGACCCCATATGTGTATGCGAGCTGGCAAGTATCTTCGCCCGCGTGGGGCTCACTGGCTGATTCGGAGACGAAGGCGACGCGAGGTCAATGGCGAGCTGTAGGTCCAGCGTAATGTTCTCAATAGTCTTGGCATTTGCAGAACGTATGATGTCGTCCCCATCAATGAGAAGCCGGGTTGCCTGAGCGCGGTTCGCGTAGGCGGGTGCAAAACGTGGTTCCTCTTCCAGGATCCGAGAGAGGGTGTCAACGGCTGTTCGAACCGTGTCTTTGGAGGGATTGGCGTGGTTGATGGTTCGTAGGGCATCTGACTGCATTTTGGATAGCCTTTTAAACTCAGGCTCGCTTACATCCGCCAGAGGTTCTGCTTGTCTGCTGATGGCCGCATGGGCGAAGTTGGAGGTTCCGCTGTCGAAGAGGGCAGTGAGGACCTTGGCATCGTTTAACGTCAAGTTCACTTCTGTTGCAGATGCCATTTTGAAGGCTGGTGCAGATTTTCCCTCGGGAGCTTAGTAGATTAGATTCAGACTCAATTCTATAGTCTGTTTAATATTATCATCGTTGATGTTCATTTGTATTATTGACGGCGATCGTATGTGATCGGAGCCCGGAAATTTCGCGGAAACTCGCGGAGGTTCGCACGGAAACTCGCGGGCCTGACCCGGGCCGAGGGCCTACCTACCGTGTCGACCCTCCACATGTCGCTCGGGCTGGATACGGTAGCAGAACACTTCGGCGGATCGTCTCTTGAACAGCAATTGTAATGGGCTGTAGGCTTACGCTTTACCACCATCAACTTCTGGCTTATAAGGCTGACATCGTTGGGCGGCAGCGCGAGGAATTTAGAAACATCGGGAATGATATATCAGTGTCTGTTCTTCGAACTAACGGTGCATTTGCGACTACCTACCAACCGCCACTGACTGAACAAATTCTACATACCTCCAAATCGTAGCTTGAGCCCCTCGACGCTTACATACTTTCAACACCCATTCACCCCTTATTAGAGAATCATGGCTCCAATTGCCCTGATTTCGCCTGAAGAATCGGCGGCTCCGGCTCCGACCTCGACTGACATCGCTGCTTACCAGGGATATGCCTACGTGCACTGGTACGTTGGAAACGCTAAGCAGGCGGCGTCATACTACGTTACGCGCATGGGCTTTGAGAGAGTGGCGTATCGAGGTCTTGAAACGGGTTCAAGGGCAGTGGCATCCTACGTCGTCAAGAATGGGAAGGTAACTTTCGTTCTGACGTCACCCCTCCGCTCACCTGGAACTAGTCGTTCTCAGTTGAGCGATGAGGATGAGCAGCTACTCAGCGAGGTCCACAACCACCAAACTACCCACGGTGATGCAGTCAAAGGTAAGTCCTCAAATAGTCACTCAATGTTCACTTCCCGAGTCTAACCTACTGCAAGATGTCGCCTTTGATGTCGACAACGTCGATCTCGTCTTCCGTCAGGCCGTCAGGAATGGCGCGGAAGTCGTTCAGTGGCCTCATATCCTCCGGGACGAGCACGGCAAGGTTAAATTAGCATCGATTAAGACATACGGAGATACCATTCACACTCTGGTTGAGCGCTCCGAATACGCGGGCGTGTTCCTGCCAGGCTACCGTGCCGAGACAGTCGAGGATCCCACTAGTACATTGCTGCCTTCTGTCAAGCTCGAGGTGATCGACCATTGCGTTGGAAACCAGGACTGGGACCAGATGGAAGAGGTTTGCAAGTAGTGAGTACATTCATGCACCGCTTAGACTAGACTTGTGCTAATCGCCAATCCAGCTACGAGAAGGTTCTTGGTTTCCACCGGTTCTGGTCTGTTGATGACAAGGACATCTGCACGTAAGTCTCACATCGTTAGGCGTGTAGTGCCCTCGCTCTCCTTAGCAGCCCAAGCACCTAACCTCCATTAACAGTGAATTCTCTGCCTTAAAATCCATCGTCATGGCTTCTCCCAACGATCTAATTAAGATGCCGGTTAACGAACCTGCCGTGGGCAAGAAGAAATCGCAGATCGAAGAATACGTCGACTTCTATGGTGGTGCGGGCGTACAACACATTGCCCTCCGAACTAATGATATTATCAGCACGATCAAGAGCTTGAAGTCTCGTGGTATCGAGTTCATCCGCGTGCCCGATACTTACTACGACGCCATGGAGCAGCGGCTTAAGCGAGCGGGCATGGTCCTTGACGAAGACTTCGAGATGCTAAAGGACCTGGACATTTTGATCGACTTCGACCAGGGAGGGTATCTCCTGCAGCTGTTCACGAAGCATTTGATGGACCGTCCCACGGTATTCATCGAAATCATACAGAGACACAATTTTGACGGATTCGGAGCCGGCAACTTCAAGAGCTTATTTGAGGCTATCGAAAGGGAACAGAAGCTGAGAGGAAATTTGTAGAGGACAACATAGTTTGAATAGTTGCAGTGCATAGTGGCCCAGAAAGACATCGAATGGGAAGCAAATTGAGATTGATGTAAATAAAAGCAGCTCTCGGCCGTTATACAAATTCCTCCATGTGGCCCCGGGCCGCGGCAGTCCTGGCCGGCCGGCCTTCTGTCGAGAACGCCCATTTACGACCCTACACTGCCGGTAGATGCCACAGGAAATCCCAAGTGTTATCCTCAATCTCGGGCATTTCATACGATTCCCCCAATCCAAATGGCGCCATCGACGGATCAAATGGTAGTGACAGCCAATCGTCCTCAATTGACTGAAAATCCGAAAAGAGACGCGTGCTGTCGTTGATCCCCGGAGTCAGGCCATTGCAGCCAGCCCACTCGAAGTTGAAATCCGGAGCCGGGATTCCGGGCGGCGCTGATGAAGGGATCAAGCGCTCGCGGAAGCGTGCGACGTGCAGCTCGAGCAACGCCGCGTACCGGGAGGCGAGATGCATGTCGTCCAGGCTGCTCCAGTACAGCGCCAGGATGCTTTGATCCAGTATTGCCAGGGACGCTTGGAGGCTGGAGGTGTGGGAGCCCAGTCCTAGGGCTTTGAGGAGGAAGATGGACGCGCCGATGATCCGGATAAATACCCTCACGGGGCAGAAGCGTAAGTTGCCCGTCTCGGCGAGCTTGATCGCGCTCTGCAGGATCTGGCAACTCCCGTCGATTACTTCCCAAATGAACTGGTAGTCTGTGGCTGTCAGGGATGCCCGTATTCGGCCGCTGGTTTGGTCGATTCTGGAGCCCCTGCCGCTTTCTTCGAGTACGCGGTCCACCACCGCCTGCATGCCCAGGCTGTTCATGAATATCCGGACATGGTTATATTCGATGGAGAGCTCCTGGTACAAGTTCGGCTTAAGCCCTACGTAAGCAGAATATGGTTAGAAACGTCTCTCTCTTGTATTCACTTCACTTAGGCTTCCAGTATCGTCCGGGGAGTGGAGGGTTTTGAGAATGATGCATACTTAGCTCCTGCAAATGCGCTGCCTTCCAGTTGAGGAGCTGCTGTTGGAAATGCTTGATGACATTCACATACTTGCAGCTGATGAGCATCTGCCGGGTGCCCGACTGTGATGATAAGAGCGCATCCGATATAGTGCGTAGCAGACGGGTGATCTCCATCCAGGCGCCCATGAAAGCCGATTCGTGGTCGCTGTCGGACGGCATGGCCGGGAACCGGCTCAAGCTTAACGGCACCAAGGACGAGCATCCTAGTCGGATCGACAGTTGCTCCCCCAGGGTGAGCAACAACTTGCGGATCCGAGACCTACGCGCCATCTGAATGTCAGACTTGTCACCATTTCCGTTGCCGTTGCCGCTAGCGCTAGCGTCGCATACTCCCAATTCATGCGCTAGAGTTTGCGCGCATCCCAGCAACATCCACGACATGCGATCCGACATCTTTGTGGGAGTGACCACATCGCCTATCCAGCGCTCCCCGGCATGATCTGTTTCGGGGCGATTACCGAGCGGGTGATCGCGGCGGTCGCTCGCGCTTAGCATAATATCGGCGTCCCAGCCATCAGAAGGAGGGGGGAAGTGGATAGCCTTGGGATGCCACTCGATCATCAAGAGTAGCGCCTCGATAGCACCCACCGTGCGTGTCCTCGCCTTAGATCGCTTCTCCTGCCCGAATATGATTCTCATGATTAGGTGTTGGCAATGTTCCCACAACCGCTGGTGAATCAGAGTGCCGCGCGAGACCCCTCCGGTCCCCGGTAGCGTGTGGTAACGAGACGAGATCATCAGGATAGTGCAACAGAGGAGCGGCTCCTGCGTTACGAGCCAGAAGTGGTGATCGTGGCTGGAGTCGAAGGCCTGACATACGGGTGAGAGAGGGGCGAGGTTTTTGAAGAACCTGGAATCATGAGGGTGGTTTCAGCGAACAACTTTCTTGGCTATTTTCCGCCTCACGGGAGAGTTCAAACACACAGGTCTACATATGTCACGGCTTCTTCCGCCGTGAACCACCCCATCCTCGTGAAGCGTAGTGCATCCCACACTTCTAGCACCGACGGCAGCGCTTGTGACAGCTGCACCGGCTCCACTGCCGTTATGGAGGGTCTCCCGGGTGTGGGAAAGTCGCCTCCGACTTGGGAGGCATGAGAAACTGAAGTCTGATATCGTGGGCTCTCGGCATCTCGCTGTTCTGCTGCTCGGAAAAGAAGCCTTAGTGCATCATTGTCACTCGAGACGATTGTCCTCATTACGGTATCAGCCAGCCCATTGTCATCTTGGGGACTTGGTGCGGACGCCGACGCATTAATTGTGGCGGGTGGTTGCGAAACTGCCTGAACTGCCGTGTTGTTGCAAAGCCCTAACGACATGCTTTCGAGCGAGGGAGTCGGTTGCTGCTGCTGCTGCTGCTGCTGGGTGACGACTATGGTTGCGACGGGGTCTTCTGCACTACCTAGGTAGGTTGCAGAGTCCACAGTTGGTCCATCATCTTGTGTTGCTACTGTATTAGCAACCAAGTTAGAATGCAATCCTTTGAGAATAACACCGTGGGCGCTTTCTAACCATTCCGTGGCGAGGCTTTCTCCTTCTCCCTAATGCCTCGTTTTCTGGTAGACCTCTCGGAGCTGAAAATGCACTCCCTCAACTCCCTGCTACATCGGATGCAGGGGGGCCCGGGAGGGTCTCTAGAGTCGTCCAGGACACAGCGGATCTTCTTCTTTCGGCACGACTCACAGGCCTTGTACATCCGTTGGAATTCTTTCGCATGTCGAGTGTCATACGCACTCCTTCTGAGGGACCGTTCGTTCATAGTTGCATATAAAGGGCAATGGGCAGAAAGGGAAAGGGGGGTTCGGCTAGAACGTGTGCAGGTGAAGGTGAAGATTGATTTTGATGAGGATCACAACGGATATTGCCGGAACTCGGGGTTGCAGGGATTGCTCAAATTTGAAACATTCCCCATGGGGAAAATGCGGGGAAATCGTTCACGACTACACCGAAAGGCAGTTTACATTGTCGTCCAACCACATCATCGCAATTTGCAAGTAGGGAGAATTTACCTTTCATGATACCTTCATGCGGGAACTCTACTGAACAAGACTCAGATCTCACAAGTCCTGGAGGAAGGAGTTGCAGGGATTTTAATAAAGTACTAACATGACCAGAGTTTTAATCGCAATGGCTCGTCGATGGCTTCTTGATGCCTTCCGTGACGTTGCGAAATTGCCCGCCAAGTTGGTTTGGCCCCCTCCCATCTTTCCCGATACTGTATAGGCCTTCTTCTCCGTGGCACCCAAGGTCCTTAGGAGTTAGGACCTGGGCCTTCGTTCCCTTCGACATTACGCTTATTCTCGCTCTCTGCTTCGCCGTCCACATGGCACTCTCTCCTCCGCGGGGTGTTGCCTTCCCCGAGATGCCTCCCATCCCTGCTGTTCCATCGTCCACCTCCCTCAACACTGTGGCCCTCGCACCTCCACCACCTTCGCGTGACTCCTTGCGTTTCTTCCCAGAAGAGAACAGCCGCGGCGCCAGCCGGCACAGAACCCATCACATTGACAAGGCCCCGGCTCTGAACTCGAACCCAGCCACGCAATCCTCCATCCCACCTCCACGCACCCACGTCTGGGCTACTTGGATGACGCGAAACGTCGACGTAGTTGTATTCCTCCCTTTTCCTCTCCGTCGGTTTGCTCGTCTACTTCGCGACCGGCTACGCCATGCGACGCTCGAGGAGAGATCAGTGTCACGGGAAGCTCCGATCCCTAATCCCAAAAGCTCAATTGTTGTCAAAACTTCAACTTGCCTAAGGATTGACTTGTGGGCCCTACGTCCCATTTTTCTCAGCTCTGCCTCTGACCGCGCTCCGACTGAGCACCGATGGCTGGCCCAGTTTCGTTTCACAGTGTGCTGCTGCCATGTCCGTACAAATATTATATAAGAAATAAAATTTAGTTATCTTAAATATATTTTTTTATTTTAATAAATTTAAATAACTAATGTTAATAATAAAGTATTAGGCTAGTATAGAGGAAGTTATAGAAAAGGGCAGTCGTTTTTGCTGCTGTGGCTATTTTAGTAATAAGTACTAATTTACTAATGCGAGGCGAGAGCCAAGTGTGGCATGGCACGGGTAGTCGCGGAACGAAGATCACATTTCCTCCGTCGGACTGCTAAGTAAGAGGCGGAATCGATCGTGAAAAGTGCGTATAAGTGTGTAAAAGCCACAATACCTAACGAGTACTCCTCCAATCGTCGAATCGCCGGGCCGCCTTGGTTTGCAAGTTCTGTGACGCAGCAGGCATGGACATGATGAGGGACATCTGCGCCTCCACTACATGTGCGTGTTCAAAAACCAGCGTACACTCCAACCAACCTTTTGTACTCTAGTGCTCGGGAGAGTCTGGCCCGAGATACTCCGAGTCGGAGGCTCGGAGGAATGAACACAGCCTGGTCACACAGTCAACCACAGCAGTAAAGGGGGGCCAGATCAGTCTTAGAGGTAATAGGGCGTTATAGTCCGTTCAGAAATGACCAGTCAATTCCCGTGCAATGGATGCGATTAAGGGTGTCAATTTCACTGTGACGGGGAAAAAGGTGACAGCGGAGGAAATGGTGACAGCGGAGGAAATGGTGACGTTCTCTCATGGGACCGCAAGAATGGGGGCGGATGAACATTATTCCTTGCCATGGCCTAGGACCTTGGTTATTTCCTTCCTTTCCCTTCCTCCCGGGAAGGGGGAAGAACAACTTCATTAGTTTTCATCATGTTTTCTTTTCAGTCAAGTATCCAGTCATTAGTTCTTCTTTCAATTGACTTCTTTTTCATCATTCTTTTGGATCATCTTATGTGGTGACTCCGGACAGTTCTTCTATTATTTTACATGCTAAAGTGTCCCCTATTTGACACTTACATGATCTTTGGCT